GTTTATATATATATATATATATATATATATATATATATATATATATTACGCACGACGTGTGGGACTCACCGGTGTAATACAGTCAGTACTACCCACTAAAACCCAACAAAACCTTCCCCCGTCTTAATGGGGCGCCGCAGGATCGCTTACGCATTCAACTACGACGCCCCGACGGCAGGTCTGCCGAAGCAGACCACCACAACCATGGGGTTGCTCCAAGGTCCACTCTGCTATCAGAGAAGTACCAGGAACAACCCGCATGGTACACCGCCCCCCGAAAAGGGCCACCTCCCACCGCCCACCGAAGTGGGCAACCTCCCTGTGCGTTTCTTAGCTTCGCGCCCGGTTGGATTGCCGGGCACTACTGAGCCCCCCCACCACGACAAGGTGAACGCACGTCAGGGGGGGATAAATAACCAAACCTACTCTATCTTTCTATTTAACACGTTTCTCTATTAGGAAACGTGCTTGTGCTGGTTTGCTTCAGGAAAGAATCAAATCTTGAAAGCCGATTTTATTCTGCTTCTAATCTGTTTATCGTATTGATTTGAAACTCTGTAAGTATGTAAAATGGAGATAATTAAATTGACACAATCAAGTTCATTTTATTGTGGCCTGTAGGTAAATAGTATGATTCTTCAATGACTTTTAATAAAACTTTTCAATTTGAGCTCATTTGATTCATTTTAATGTGTACCACACATAAGGGCAGGCTATTTGGCCGTCATTATGTTTAACTTCACTGTATCAACAAGTGGAGTTCATATAAAAAAAGATTGGCACAAGAAATCTAAGAGCTGCTACAATGGTTTCTTTTATCGTATTCAACTTAAAAAAAATGCTATTAGTTATGACTGGCAAAAAAACGATGGGCGGTGAGCAGATTCTCTACCGACAGGTTGCAGAATTAATTTCGATCAAAATTTAGATTATTTAGTCTGTGTATATTGTTTAAATAAGTATTCCCAAGGAGGGTTGACGTCAGGCAGGCGGTCGTAAAACTTTTGCCAAATCCTATCAGCAGTACAGAAGACGTACTGCGCCGACCCCAAGTGATTGGGAAATGGGCAGGTAGAAGAAGATATTGTTTAAATAAGTATAAATTCAAGTATCGATACACGCTATAGTAATTAAGTCTGTTGTTGTTGCTGTTAATTAAGCTGCAAACTACTGCCGATTATTCTGAAAATAGGCACTATGTAAATCTTATCTAATACTCGTCTTAATAAGTCAACAAATAGCAAATACGTTAAAATCGCTCTTTAAATATATGCGGTCAATAATCTGTTTATTAGGACTGCTAGTGCGAGTTCGACGCCCGCCATTGGCACTTCTCAGCTGCCAGGTCAGGGTCGGCGCCTTTCTAACTTTGTTAGAGCCTCGATCCAAATAAACCAATGGAACTTGAATGAAATATATATGGAGTGTTAAAAAAATCATTTGGTTTTTGATTAAAAGTAAAAAAAAGTACTTTACGGTTTAATTTTGAATTGTATATATACAATAAAAACATTAAAAGTGGACAAGAAGTGATTGCTCGAATCCTGACAAATTCTCTTATAGTTCTAATTTCTGGAAAGCTATTCTAACCATTCTGGATCAGTCTTCTTGGAAACAACTGTAATGTTACAAATCGCTGTGAGTGGCCCTCTTGGACCAATATTATGGCTCTAGTTACGGTTTCCAGGTCCATCCATATGTCTTCTAATCCTCTGCACAGCTCTTAAAATTAGACTTCTAGAACCAGGGTAGCCTCCATATTGTAAATCATGGTTTTTGTAGTTAGGCAGGCAGGCTCTGGTTATAGCAGCCTAAATTGGCGTAAGTTGTTAAAATCTAGATAACTTTTTCTAATGGTGCCAGTGCTATAGTGGCCTAACCCTCATAGGCTACTGTGGCACATTGAATTTAGTCGATTTAAACATAAGCCGAAATGGATTTGTTCTGCCATCTATTGTCGAGATCATGTAAATAATTTTAGGCCGCTCTGGTTTTGTAGATAAACATTTTTAAATTACGAAAATGCAAATAGGTCAAAAGTCGCTAAATGCAGAGCCACTCTGGTTCTAACAACCTCATAGTGGTTTATTCACGTTCTAACTTATTTTAGCAAATGTTCAAACATCATAAAAGATTTCATACTTTGAATGACTTTGCTAATGGTATACTCATATCATGTTTGATAACATTTAAGGTTGCTCCACTTACTTAGCTTTGCTCGGTATTTACTCTAACCTATTATTTATCTCTGAAAAAATGTAATAAAATTTTAGTTGCAAAGTTTACGAAACACGTTATTAGTGGATTTTATTTGATGTACCTAAATATCCTGTTATTTAAATAGAATATACAATATATGATTAATTGAGAAGAATATACGATAGAAGTTTGTCTGCTTCTTATACATATTTTCCAGCTAATTGAATGGAGCGAGTCACTTAAAGGAAACCTTTTAATAACTAATGTAATCAAGCAACGATATCGTTTGCATATAACTTTACTCTTGCCAAATAACTAGATTTTTCCAAACAATAAGAGTAAAGATAAATTTTTGATAAAAAGGATTTTTAGATGTGAAACTTTATTATTGAAGTAAAACTTTTTTAGGTGTGAGTCGTGACTGAGGGATAGGTAAGTCAATACATTTAAAAAATGAGTGATTTGACTCAGTTAGAATTTTATTATATATATAGATTTAATGATTATAATCTATACTATAATATTATAAAGAGGTAAAGTTTTTGCGTTCGTGACGTTGTAGGGGGTAATCTCTGGATCTAATGAACCGATTTAGATGACATTTTGTTACTTACATACTTTGTTTTATGATATGTATAGATTTTATTGTCGTTTTTACAAATGTATAGTAATAGGCTGCGGGAAAATTTTTTTGAGGTTAGGTATTTTTGTTTTGTTATGCCAAAGAAGTATAACTTCTTACGTGCGTACATAAGTACACAATACCTAATACCTACACACAAATCTTTTTTTAAATAAAACTTCTTTAGGCGTGACTGAGGGGTAACTTAATAGGTACATTGAAAAATGAGTGTAGAGTGTGTCGTGGAAGTGAGAGTCATTTTTTTTAAATCTTATATTTTTATAATAATTAATAATTATTATGTAAAAAAATAAATATTTATTATTAATAATTTTATAATAATTATTACTTACATATAAAAATGAATACTTATTACTAGGGGCCATCCATAAATTATGTCACAAGAATTTAATGATTTTTTGGACCCTCACACCTCCATGTTACAGGTGGTCACATTTGTGGCTAAAAGTCAAAGCTAAAAGTGGTTAAAAGCTATTATGGAATACTACTATTAAGGAATATGCGTGTTATTTTTTTTTAATTTTTTAACATAGCTATTACAACTATAAACAACAACAACAACATTAGCTAACATTGTTATATAATTGTAAAAAATATCCAGCTCCAAAATACTAAAATTTAGAAGAAAAAGAAATTAAATATCATACCGATACGGTTACTTCTAATGCCCGCCATTTCGCGCGGATGGGGTAACGTCACATCTTTTTATGTGCCTATTTAAAAATTTCCAACTATTTTCATTAACTATAATAATTATTTTACTTAACTTTAAAGTAAAGAAGAATTAAATGTTTATTTCTGCAACGCATGCTTACTATCTTATCAGTTATTATCAGTAGATCAATCTACAAAACAAATCCACTTATCTAATCCAGACTTATAAGGAAATGCTATAGTATAAATGTATAGGACTATACGGTTTATATAGTCCTATACAATACTACATATATGTATGTAATAGGTATGTGTTGTGTGTACGTACAATACTAATCAAACCGAATCAATTGCGCCCAAACTAAATTTTTACTAGTCGCTATTCATGAGTTCCGCTATCCACTTCCATCCATCAGGTTTTTTTAATTGTTTACTAGTTTTTGCCCACGGATAAAAACTACGTACTTAATAAAAAATGGCCTATGTTTTAATCCAGAATATCTTTTTTATTACACAACCTATCGCATTTAAGTTATTAATGAGATATTTGGTAAATTAAATTAAACGAACAATATTAGGTATTTTTTTTTAATTTGACTTATTGACACTGTACAGTGTCAAGTCTTTATAGCGAAATTAAAGGGACCGAGTATTTTTTTACGTTATAAAGAGTTTATGTTAAACGGAAAGTAGAAGAAAACAACAATAAACACTTAATTTAGTACATACTTTATTTACAGAACAAAATTATAATCTGCTACTACTTTTTTGTCTTTTTTTACTATGCCAATATTTTCTCTTCTCTTTTTTATCGCGCGAATTAATGACACTTTTTTGTCAATACACAAAGTATTTCTTTTACTTGTCATGTTTATAGTTCAAAAGTTTGAATGCAACTAAGAATATTATAACGAAAAGGACGATAATAGGGAAGTACAGTAAGTAAACATGTGCTAAGAAATTACAATAAACAATGTACACATTTCTATGAATTGTGGTTACAAAATATTTAGAACTCTATATAATATATTGTATTATAGGTATTGTCGTTGAAGGTGATGAAATTAATGTATATTGGGGTCTAAATAATGACTTATTTTTTCGCTATTAAGAGTGTTTGTTACGTTATATAGCTAGTAACGTAAACCACATAAACCTTACAATATTGACGTTTTAAGGAGTTTTTCGTTAAATAGAAGTTTGCTGTATAGTGTTTACACTGTATTTAATAGCTAAAACAACTTTTATCTTATGTACGATTGATATTCTCACAACTGCACGTTTAAATACGATGATTTAATAACAACCAAGGCTCATAATAAATAGCACTTTTTTAATTGTTTCAGATTTAAAATCGAGCGAGACATTACGAAACGAACCGATAATCTAGTCAATTTTTTATATATACAAATTATTAAAAAATGAAATAGATGTTAAATAAGTGATTAAGCGTGTACTTAGTGTTTGTTAAATATTTTTTATATAGGTAGTTGTTTTTATAAAGATGCAAATCCTCAAAGCAAGGTACGCTTTAAGAGCGACCGCCAATCATTTACAAGCATGGAGCTGTTCAAGAAACCGGACCGCTGTCACAGTGAGTATAAATATTACATGTTTATGCTACTTCGTATGTTTGTGTGTAGTGATCTTTATTTGACTTTGACTTTACAAAACCTTGTTGATTTCGGTCAAGTGCCTTTCCAAATAACAGCATTTATTTTTTAATGGCACACATACTTTTATCGTTAAGGTGGTATAACCATATTGTGGGCCGCTTGAGTTCTAGTACTATTGCTAAGGGATTGTATTGAATATTGATTGTTAAGATTTTATATTTAATAAAAAGCGAATATTTCATTATTATTTAACATTTGCTCATATACACTGACCACTGGGTTGCCCAAATTAAATATTTAACTTAATTTTGTAAGTTTATCTGTTTAATTTTCTGTCATCTTGAATATGAGTAGGTATTAATAATAATGAATGAAAAAGTCAAATATTATTGCCGAACTATCCATAGAGATATATTAATGTTCGTGAATCGTAACTATACATAAAAATTTAATTAAAATCGTAAGAGTTTCACATAAAATAACGTCTTTTTATAACTCATCTAGCGTTGTAAATGCAATGTCCTTGAACATTCTTAGTCTAGTCACGGTAATGTTACGTATAACATTACCGTGTTTAGTGATTACTTTTTTTATTGTTCTTTTCGGAGTATTTTAGTTATGAAGTTCATTCACCTTTGTAAAATAAACTCACGGTCTCAGATTTTTACAACCTATTGCTCGTCTCAAAAATGCGAAACTCTACGTGTAAATGCGGCTGTAGCCACGTAAACTGGCAATTGATAATAATGAATTAAATAAAATAATCATAATATATACACTGGACATAAATTATTGAAAGTACACCCAACTTTAATCAATTGATAACAACATTTTTCATCTATAAACAATCGTATATGATGTTTGTATACATATAACGAAATTTTATTAAAATATGTCTTTTTTATTTAAAACGAGTACGAAAACCTACTTAATAATATTCTACTGGCGTCGGTATATTAACATTTATTTATTTACTCTTTATCTATAATATTGTATAAAATATAATTACATATATAATTTGACTTAAATTAATTTTCAATAATTTATTTATAGTGTAATATATTTATAGTACACAGTATAAATATCCATAGAGTTAGCGATGTGCATTATTGTGCAGTCAAATTCAAGGGTTGTCAAAAATGCCAAGTTTTACTCGAAAAAATATGATTATAATTATAATCTTTCCATTATTGTATACATGTAAATTTCGTAGCAGATTTGAAACTGAAACTTATTCCCAATCAATATAATACACATGAAATCATAACAGTTTTAACCTCGTCATAATAAATGATCTAATAATATAGTCTATAGTACTAATGTAACGCATTCGCATTCGCGAATATTCGCATATTTTTTGACATTCGTATTTGCAAGAAACGATGGGACTGCATGGCGAATGTATTTGACAAACAAAAAGGAAATTATATAAGGAATGAACGGACGAATGCAAATACAACTGTGCTTTACTCATGTTTTTATATCACTTTGTCAATTTGACTAAATAATAGGACTTAAATTTGACAAATGCAATAATACTAATCCAACCTCACATAACAACTAACAACATTTTCGAACTAACTCTGTGACTAACTTCGTTCATTCAAACTGTATCGGCTCGGCTATGTTCGGTTTAAACATGGCCGACACGAAAGGTCAAACCTATCTGTTTGACATTTTGACAAAATCAACATTTGCATTCGTATTCGCGAATATTGGAGATGAATATTCGTATTCGCATTCGCGAATGTGAAAAATCGAACATTCGTTACATCACTAGTCTATAGAGATAAATAAAATTGAAGTCTTTTTGTAATGTCAAAGTAACAGCTTTTCACAAAATGCACATGAAATTATATACGGTACTAAAGAAGAAAACCATTTTCAAAATTTTTGTCTGTCTGTTAGTTCCGACTAATCTCCGAAACGACTGGATTGATTTTGATGGAACTGGCACATAGCTAATGTTAATATAAGGAGTAACTGAGGCTACTTTTACGTCAGAAAAATAATTAGGGTTCCGTTCAAAAAAAATAAAACGTCATCAAGTCGAAATCAAGTCAAAATCAAGCGAGGGTAAATCGCTATTATAAATACATAAGAGGGACCTGCTTTCAAGTTTTAGAAAATGTAGTTATTCTTTCCTTTTTATTCTAGGACTCAAAAAAGGTCGAATACAAGCCCATAAGAAGTGTTCTGGTAGCGAATAGAGGGGAGATAGCAATCAGAGTGTTCAGAGCATGTACGGAGTTAGGCATTCGATCTGTCGCTGTATACAGCGAGCAGGATCGTTTACAAATGCACAGGTAAACTTAAAAATGTTAAAGAATTATAAACTACACGTAAAATCTATTTAAAATGTTCCCTTTTCAATTAAAAGTTATTGAATGTTTAAAAATTGGAAAAACCTTTGTACGCTGTAACGAAGCAAAACCAAATTTTTGGTATAGAGTTTTTAGGTTTCTAGAAAAATTTACTGAAGAAATGATGTTGAGGTTTGAGTAATAGGAGAGCGTGTCGAAATTAACTTATTAATAATTGAAGTTCATAAAATGTGATTTTTGAAGTAATTTTAGAATCTAGTCTAGTCTGCTCTTATTGTATTTTAATTTATTATAATTTAAATTTAAAATAGAATTATAATAAACATTAATATTGAAAGATGATTATTATAGGTTAAGAGGGTTTTTTAATCTCGAAATATTTAGACCAGGCTATTTTTTTACACCATCAGAAAGTAGAGATTTCAACGAACAAAAAGCCCACCGACATTTTTAAAAAAGCAGATATATTGACGCGAGAATTTTCGATTGAAAATTAGGGTGCTTTTTCGATATTAATCATAATTAATTTTTGTTATATTCTCTTCCTTTTCCAATGGATTTCATCCTACTATTATTATTTTTTTCACTTTTCATTTTTTACCATTTTCAAAGTCTTCATCGGCCCTGGTCTAAATATGATATCGTAATTATGATGTCATAATATTTAGAGATTAATAAACCATTATCATAAAAATATCTATCAGTCAAAATAATGTATTTGTGATTTCATTATCATAGTATATATACTCGTATGTATATTACCGATGACAGTCTTTTTTAGGAAAAATAATTAACGAGTACAGATGATAGTGAAGTTAATAAAAATTTAAGATTTTTTTTACCAAGACCTATATACATATTTGGTCATACTAAAAAATAAAAGTATAATGAAAACCAGCTTTTTTGATGTCGTAAAAACCTATAGATTTATTTCAAAAAAACTATTAATTAACTGTTAAACTTAAGAAAATTACTAGAGTTCTCAATTGATAAAGATATCGTGTATGTATAGAACATAAGCATAACAAAATATTTATGCCAAAAATCATCTTACTGTACAGTGTACGTACATATTATACCCTTAGAAGGTTACCCTTCAAACCTCGTAAAGACAATAAATTATTTTTCGAGCGAATTTACGAAGTTTTTTTATTATAGAATATAAACGACGTAGATGTAATAAAACGATAATCGCATAAATGTGTTGGGACATTAACGCACAGTCCCATCTAATAGCATGGTTAAAGCTACGAGGCTTGTGTTATTGATATTAAATAGTTGATACAATACACATATATGACTTTATAAATATAAACCCATTGCTGGAGTACAAACGTTCGTGCTCATCACACAAATGAATGCCACGAGCGGGACTCGAACCCGCGACAGCTGACATAGCATTCATGATTACTGCATTTCTTTATACTCACTTTCACTAAGTAGTAGGTATATTTATTCTTGGAACAATTGACTTGCTCTACATATCTTAATATAAATGTGTTACATTACAAACATCATTCTATTATAATTTATTACATACGCATAACACGTTACTTATTTATCATCAATACAATCATATTATATTGAATGTCATATATTTTACCACTTTTGTCTGATATACTTAAGACGCGATAATTTAAAAATATAATAAATACTTATAAAAGAAAATTTTCTTATTAGGATATTCTTATATACTCATATATAAACTACAGCTTTTTCTGTCATTATCTAGAAATATAGACAAAATATTATTTTGAAATTTTGAACGCTTAAAGTTTTAGAATACACAAATAATCCCATTAATTAATTAATTATTGAAGCTGGATTTGTAAAATTTTAGTATGAAAATACAAATTTTGTTATTAATAAAACATAAGATATTACAATATGTGTATTTGTTTGTAATATAATACCTAAATACAAGGTAAATTTATTGGCAATTTAAAGTTACTAAAACTAAGCAATAAAATAAAAAAATGTACCAAAGTAAGGAAAATATGACATAATAATAATTAATAATATGTATATACTTATTAAATAATATATCTTGCTAAAATAACATACTTATTTGTATGTTTGAACAAATTAATCATAAACATTTTAAAATAAACGCAATTTTTGATAATCTTAAATGATACTTAATATTATAAAGAGGCAGAGTTTGTTTGTTTAAACCCGCTAATCTCAGGAACTACTAATCCGATTTGAGAAATTCTTTTTGCATTAGATAACCCGTTTATTGAGGAAGGCAGCTATAAGTATAGAGTATAGGCTATATATCATTATGCTACTACCAAAGGGAGTGGAGCAGTAATCATAAATGTCAAAATCGGGCAGACTTTCATACAATTTTACTACTAGCATAAAGCCAGAGAGTTTTTTTAGTTTAAGCGCGAGCGAAGCTGCAGGTTCTGCTAGTATTAGAATATGACAATAAGTATCTATCGATTTAAATTATAAAATCGAATAGGGAACCTACCTACTCATAAATAATTCTTAAATATTTTTCCTTATTTTTGTAAATTTCAAACAAACGTGGTTTTAAGTGTAACTGTAAATTTTTGAAAAAACTTGTAAATTTTACATTAACAGCAGTATACATCTGACACTATTAATTATCAATTTCAGACAAAAAGCAGATGAATCATATTTAGTTGGCAAAGGATTACCGCCAGTGGAAGCGTATTTGAGCATTCCAGAGATCATCAGAGTTGCAAAGGAAAATGATGTGGATGCTGTGCATCCCGGTTACGGCTTACTATCTGAAAGGTAATTTTATTTGATAATATTTGATACATACCATATTTAATAGATTTACTTAGAACAATGAAGCATCACTACACAAACCCAGATAAGACTCGGACGGGACCCAATTCGGTCTAATCTTACGACGCCACAGGTCTAAACAGTCAATAAACAGACCATTAACACCCAACTTAGACCCACTCGGGTAATAATCGCTCGTAGTTTTCATACCTACATCACTACATAGTATAAAACAAAGTCGCTTCCCGCTGTCTGTCTGTCCCTATGTACGCTTAGATCTTCAAAACTACGCAACGAATGTTGATGCAGTTTTTTAAATAGATAGAGTGATTCAAGGAAGGAAGGTTTAAAAAATACATGCTTATTATAGTACAGAAAAGCCCACAAATTCAAAGATTTCTATTACATACTAACCGTTATAACGTATCTATGTATGGATATAATAGCGCGATTGTTTCTAAACCAATTTAACAGACTAGCCTTTCACATAGGATACAGTGAAATATTAATAGAATTGTATGTATTAAACCTTAGTACAATTGGCACATTGTGGCGGCTCGCATTATTAATATGATTTATTACTAATAAGTAACATAGAAGTATTTGGTTATACAAAAGATGTTTTCCTCACGCTGAAACACTAGCAGCAATTCGAAATAAAAATCAGGGGCCGGTCTTGCTGTCTTGCTGAGTGTGACAATGGGGGACCCGGGGTCTACGGCGACGTGATGTTCGCCGTTCATTATTTTTCTACATGAGCGTTAGCTCTGTGGCGTGGCTCTAGCTAGCGGCCTTAATCGAAATATTATTTATTATTTATATGTTCGTTATAAAAGATATTTATTGATTTATTTAAATTTTATTATAGACGGAACATACATACAGACAGACAGACAATAGTTTTGTATCTAAAGTAATATGTTGGTAAAGAAAAAACTATAAACTATTTATTCCATAACAACACTTAAAATAATAATTAATTATTAGAATTATACGTATAAGGAAAATTTCATTCGAAAACCAATAAGCATAGTATAATTACGATTTTACAAGGTAATGTGGATGAAAAATGATTTAAAAAGCCGTTGTGGTCCCATGGCGTGTTTAGTAGGTACCAATCAATGGTTTTTAATCAGTAATTGGCAAACCGTTACCTATTTTACGTAGTATGGGAGCATATGAGGAAAATGTTAAAGGAAAACCCAAAATAGTAAATAATATATATTTTATATTACGAACTTTGCGGCTAAATGCGTCGCGTCGGTTCACATTAGTTAATTCTACCGTCTCTATTAAACATAATCTAAGAAGGATAAGGTGCTGTTATATATAGGATATGTTTCTATAAATAATTATGTGTAATTCACCATTTTGTAATTTTTCTGTGCATCTTATAATATTAAATGAGCAATTCTATGTATTTTATTTATTGTATCTCGGAAACAGCTCTAACGATTTGGATTAAATTTTGTATTTAGATAAGTTTAAAATTTTGAGAGCTCAGGTAATAAAACACTTTTCTAAATTATTATACTTACATATTGATGGAACTTCACAAATCACACTAAGACTTGCCTTTTCTAACGGCTACTTCGTTCGACAGTTGGCAATCAACTGTCCACTGCGCGCGAGCTACCTCCCTCCAACCCTTTTTACCGAAACAAACCAGGTAAAGGAAGTTGTCAGCCGGAAGTAGTGCGCGCGTTAGTACAATATTTGAAAATATTAATTAAATAATTCTAAGTTTCTATATTAGACCAGGGTAGAAGCCTTTAAAAATAATAAAAAGTGAAAAAAAAATAATAGTAGAATGCAACCCATTAGAAAAGGAGGGGAATATTATAAAAATTAAAGGAAAAATAATTTACGGGCGATCTGAGGTCGGGAAGGGGATGGGGGTGAGTTTTTAAGGGTAAAAAACGGTTTTTCTCGATTTCCGGCAAAACTAAAAGTCCTATCGAAAAAAGTCAAATGGCAAAGTGGTAGGTAATAAAAAGATCTAAAACTTTGTATTTACACTCTTTTTACATAACCTCAAAATTTATGTGAAAAATTCAAAAAACCAAGTTTTTGGTTTCTTATTTTTACTTTTTACAATTTTTTTTTATTTAATGAAATTTGGTGAAAACTTACCTTTTTGTGTCCCAAATACGCTGTAATTTATTTGATTAAAAATATGTATTTTTTCACCTTATTTTGAATCAATATCGAAAAAACACCCTAATTTTCAATCGAAAATTCACCCGTCAAAATATCAGCTTTTTTCAAAAAGTTGGTATGTTTTCTGTTCGTTGAAATCTCTACTTTCCGATGGTGAAAAAAAATGTTACTATAGTAAATCTTCTAAGAAAATGCAAAAAAACAAAAAACATTTTTTATTTCATACACTTGCTTATCATCTGCCTTATTGCAGATGATACAAACAAATTCATCCATACTGATAATCTGAAAAGACAAAATCGAATTTATAATTCCTTCACTATTTTATCGTGAGTATACCCCCATGAAAAAAAATATTAAAGAAATAAATGTCAAAATGTATAAAAAATATATTAAAAATCCATAATAAAATATATGAAATATACATGAAAATCGGCCAAAAGTTAGTTATTAAAAATTTATTTACTATAAATAATTTTTATATATTTATACATTTATTATAGATTTTTAATATATTTATAATATATTTTTTATACATTTTGACATTTATTTCTTTAATAATTTTTTTTCAATAGTGAAGGCATTATTAATTCGATTTTGTCTTTTCAGATTATCAGTATAGATGAATCTGTTTGTATCATCTGCAATAAGGCAGATGATAAGCAAGTGTATGAAATAAAAAAGATTTTTTGTTTTTTGCATTTTCTTAGAAGATTTATTATAGTAACATATTTTTTTTTCACCATCGGAAAGTAGAGATTTCAACGAACAGAAAACATACCAACTTTTTGAAAAAAGCTGATATTTTGACGGGTGAATTTTCGATTGAAAATTAGGGTGCTTTTTCAATATTAATTCAAAATAAGGTGAAAAAATACATATTTTTAATCAAATAAATTACAGCGTATTTGGGACATAAAAAGGTAAGTTTTCACCAAATTCCGTTAAATAAAAAAAAATTGTAAAAGATAAAAATAAAAAACCAAAAACTTGGTTTTTTGAATTTTTCACATAAATTTTGAGGTTATGTAAAAAGAGTGTAAATACAAAGTTTTAGATCTTTTTATTACCTACAACTTTGCCATTTGACTTTTTTCGATAGGACTTTTAGTTTTGCCGGAAATCGAGAAAAACCGTTTTTTACCCTTAAAAACTCACCCCCATCCCCTTCCCGACCTCAGATCGCCCGTAAATTATTTTTCCTTTCATTTTTATAATATTCCCCTCCTTTTCTAATGGATTGCATCCTACTATTATTTTTTTTGGTTTTAAAAATTATCGAACCTGGTCTATATGTAATCTCATTAAATTAAAATAATAATAAATTTAAACAATAATGAATTTATAATTGCCGAATATTTTAAAACATCATACATATGGAATAAATAATTAAACAATAATCTTGTGTAAATTATGATATGATACTAACAAAATTTATATAGGTGTCTTTTCTGAAAAAAACGCAACATAGCGAAAAAATACGATTTTCATACAACAAAAAACAACGCCGTGCGAAGTTATTTCCACTAGGTACTTTATTATAATACATTTAATAATGTTATAATATAATAAGTTACATCATAAGTGATCAAATATATGAATTTGTAGATCAGATTTCGCGCAAGCAGTTATCGATGCGGGACTCCGATTCATCGGACCGTCGCCATTTGTAGTGCAACAGATGGGAGACAAAGTTGCCGCAAGAAAAGCCGCAATTGAAGCTAGTATGTAAAATATTGTACATTTATTTTGTAGTTTTATATATTTCCCGTATTTTCATACATTATCGTTTATCATATGTCAATAATATAATAATAATCTTTTGATCGCTATTAAAAAAGCATTGTTATGAATGAACGATAGGCTATAATGAACGATAACGTATTTATCGCAAATCAAACAATCTAATTGTGCCGTCATAATAAAGAACGGCGTAATTTTGTCAAAGTTGATTTCGAGATATTTAAATTTTTGTCGTAGCACTTAGTAGTAGTTTGTACGTAGTTACGATGAAAATAGTTTTGGTATCTTCGGATTCATAAGACTTAGAGCTTTATGAGTAAGACTATCAACTAGCGTTTTTTTACTGATTCCGAATCTGCATTTAAGTCATTTTTGACCAAATTGTTAGTTAAGACCTTCTTTATTATGACGGCAGAATTAAAAATCAACTTTTTCCCGCTGCTTAGCCCTCGTAAATACATAGTTATTTATTTAGATTCTTAAGAATGTGCATAATATGTCAATTTTATACCTAGACATCGTTATTAATCTCAGAATCTGTTAAAGTTACCACTTTGTTATTTAGGGAAATGATACTTCAGACTTGGACAGATTGGTGAACATTTTCTCGAAGATATTTTTTTTGAAAAATACGTACATATTTTGCACACATATTGCTGTTTATCTGAGAAACAGCTGACTACTTTTGTAGAGTTTTCGTTTTATCAGGAAGCCTAGAAGTATTTCTTCCGTTAGCGAATTTCATTTTTCGATAGGTTGTTTAATTAACTTATAAGGAATTAAAAACTGTTTTGGCGCTTACATACGTTGAGCACCTATCGATCTATCTCTATATTTCTCACTTACGATAGAACATTATCTTGTCATCTCGATTCTCCGAATCCGAATCTTAGCGGTCACATGGCGCACTCTTAAACTAACTTAAATACGCATGTGTTATGTGTATCAATTTTCACGACCATTATTGAGATATAGAAGTGATCGCGCTGCAGTGTCATCTAAAGATGATTGACAAAATCAATTTGACGACTCGTTTGGCTCAGTTTGTATTGATCGTACTTGCTGTGCCAGCGGTCGCAGGCTCGAGTCCCGCTGGGGGCATTCATTTGTGTGATGAGCACGTATGTCTGTACTTCAGTCATGGGTGTTTATATTTATAATATGTATGTATTTAAAGTTATATATGTGTAGTATATCAACTATCTGGTATCCATAACACAAGCCTCGTTCGTAGCTTACCATTAAACTAGACGGTGATGTGTGTTAGTGTCCCAACATATTTATTGATATTTAAATTAAATTTTGTAATTTTCTTTTTAACATACTTTTATTATCTTCATTCGTAACAAACTACATGCGATATTTAATCAAAATCTAGGAAATTGATTCCAAGTTTTAATTTACTCCACAACTTCCCAGTTTTAATCCCTCCACGACTGCGGACACGCCGACGTTACAGTTAACAATAGATTTCTTAGAAATTCAATTAAATTCTTAGAAAGTTACCTGGATATCTATGTATTTGACATCTATCAATCAAAAAAAAATAGTGAACATTTCCAATTTCAATAAACGAAATCTTCTAGTTTAGATTCAGATTTCTTTAAGGTGTTTTATTCATTATAAATGGTCAAAAGTGATTTTTTTTATTTTTAATATTATAATTTTTATAATACTTTCTTAGATTTACGCGAATATTTGGCATTTTTAATAAAACTATCTTTTCGGATCTTTTTGGTTCCCCTACGTTTCGAATGCTTTACAGCAATCATGGTCACGGGAGAGACTAAGGTTTTAGATGTCGCAAAGGCATTATATAGTAGGTATTTAAAATTATAATTTTTATCACCAGAGGTGCCAATTGTGCCGGGAACTGATGGACCAATTACGACAAAAGAAGATGCTCTCGAATTCTGCAAACAACATGGTCTTCCAGTCATTTTCAAGGTAAAATAAACTTGTATATTTAACAGAAAATTATTTATAATTTTTCAAAATAAAAAAAAGTGAAAAACATGGGCGTGAAATATTAAAACAAAAAAAATGTTTTTTAATTAACAAAACGTAGATATTTCATTAATCTTTCTTTCTTTCTGATATATATTTATTCATATATTTAAATTAATACGAAATACCTTTCATGCAGTAAACAGATAAGTTAACTGACCTTACTTCGGATCTTAGCCTATAATCCTATTATTAATATTATAAATGCGAAAGTTTGTATGGATGAATGTTTATTACTCAATCACGCCAGGACGTCTGAACAGGTTTGGATGAAATTTGGCACAGGAATGATTATAGTCTGGAATAGCACATTGTACGGTTCGCGTAGAATAGATGTGTTTTTGTTTTTTACAGAACTATCTATTCTATACTAACTGTTAAAATGTACCTAGGACGCACCTGAGCAAAGCGAGGTTGAGTCACTAGTAATCTGTATAAATATTATAAATGTGAAAGTTTGTGAGTATGTATGGATGTTTGTTACTCTTTCACTCCAGAACGGCTGAATAGATCTGGATGAAATTTAGCACAGAGATAGATTATAGTCTGGAATAACACATAGGCTACTTTTTATCGCGGAAAAATATACAGTTCCCGAGGGATAGATTTGTTTTTGTTTTATAATATAAAATGTTGCTTAACACACAGGCTGCATACGGCGGGGGAGGCCGCGGTATGCGAGTAGTGCGGGAGATGAGTGAAGTGGCGTCTTCCTTTGAAAGGGCCTCCTCTGAAGCTCTCGGGGCCTTCGGTAACGGCTCTATGTTCATAGAGAGGTTTATCGAGAGGCCTCGACACATTGAAGTGCAGTTGCTCGGTAAGACTGATTAATTGGACTAAATTACACTATTGTACTGTTATAAATACGAAAGTTTGTATGTGTGTGTGTCGATTATATTATATATTAATCGATTATTACAGGCTTTCGTATTTTGAAATATATATAGGAGTAATCGATATAATATTGAATACGCTGTTACTACTACTTAATTAAACTCAAAGCGTATTTGAGTAAATACGTTCTAAGTAATGAATAAAAGCGTGTTGAATATTATAAAATTGATCGAAATACGACCACAAATGATTAAATTTACGAATAGGTATAATGCGTTATATATCATTAAGATGATATAAACAATACGTTTTGACATCATTTTGAACTTTGAATTTTGGACCATCTAATCTTTATCAGCATTGTTTTTAATAAAACAAGACAAAATAAATATGTAAAGATACAAAAAATAGTCTTGCTTATACAAATACAATAAACATACTCGAACTTGTATATAATTAAAGATATTCTTTTTTTTTGTATATGTATTACACAATAAATTGGTATATTTAAAAAAATAATAAAAGATATGCAAAGGCGGCTTTATATAAGCGATCTCTTACAGACAACCGATAGAAAAGCATACAAAAAATAAATGTAAAGAGTGGAAAGGTGCACAAAGTGCATTTAAAAACTTAATTATAAACATACATACAAAGTTCCATATAAGATACTAATTCAAAAATGTACTTTCAGTGTAACTATTCAAACAACACGTGCAAGTTTTGTATAGACACTAACGACTCATACTCGTTCCGCTCGGGTTCGTCCCTGGATAAGTTTTAACGTTTAGTATAGATATCGCAGATATGAGACATTTTCCCATAGTAAAAACTATCCTATATGATGACCCGGAGAACCAGATATCATCATACCAAATTTCATCTGTCCAATTGTTTTCTCGTGATGCGGTCACAGACAGCCAGACAGACAAAAATTCTAAAAACTAACATTGGGCCTCTGTATCGATAATAAATAATAATGTCTATTTCAATAAGATTTTCCAAATAATATTTAATGTACAGATTCGACTTAGTTAGAATTTTATTATATGTATAGATTACATTTAGCCTTGACAGATAACAGTCTAATTGACCTAATTACATGTTAATAACCTGCCTGTTTTGAAATGGACAGTTGTTATTTTCCTTTTGTTGTTCCGTAAGAACTAATTAAGATTATTCGTTTCATGCTTTAGATTTGAGAATATATAATTAATATCTGTAAAATTTCTGAATTTACGTCCAAATTGTGTTTATTTAATGAAACTGCCTCACTGATATAAGTTAATTAGCTAGGCGCGAAGCCAAGAAACGCAAAGGGAGGTGGCCCACTTCGGTGGGCGGTGGGAGGTGGCCCTCTTCGGAGGGCGGTGTAGCATGCGGGTTGCTCCTGGTACTTCTCTGATAGCAGAGTGGACCTTGGAGCAACCCCAAGGTTGTGGTGGTCTGCTTCGGCAGACCTGCCTTCGGGGCGTCGTATTTGAATGCGTAAGCGATCTTGCGACGCCCCATTAAGACGGGGGAAGGCTTTGTTGGGTTTTAGTGGGTAGTACTGTTTTTGCCGGTGAGTCCCACACCTCGTGCGTAAATGCATTTCCCAACGTAAAAAAATAAAATAAAAGAAATAAAAAAAAAGGTCCTGAATTCATATCCCAGATCGAGTCAAGTATAATTAACTAAATTATTCTGCTATGAAATTCTTAGTAGAAACCTAAATTTAAGTGTTAAGTTAGTTACACTACTGTGCCTTGTATATGCGCAATTGCATATCCATTTTTTAACATAATTTCATCTACGTAATTAGTTTCTTTGACATTCCTCCATAATTATTAAGCATATAATTATATAGTTGAGAACATACATATTTTTTTTAATAACACGCACAAACAAGGAGTCCGACGCAATTTCCCACCAGCAATATAAATATCAATGTCTATATTTTGACCTCAAAAATGATATATGTACTTCCATACCATCTACTTAGTCTTTTCCATTTTACCCTTTTAAGGGAAGATTTTCCAAAAAAAACTCCTTACACTTGTGTCAAAATTTTATATTTCTAGTGCTTGATGTTGTTTATCAGTGAATTAGTGGATTAATTAAAAAAAAAAGACATACAGACTTTGTTTTGACAAGAACAGCTTCTTTGATTTAATCTATAGGTCATATTTAATTTATTTTGAAATACATTTCTAAAGGTGACAAAGCGGGAAATGTGGTCCATCTCTACGAAAGGGACTGTTCCGTACAGAGACGGCATCAAAAGGTCGTGGAAATTGCACCTGCACCTGGATTGGATCCCGAGGTAACAATAACATAATATTTCAGACTAAGAAATAATATAAATAGAGTGTCATTGAAGTAAACATGATGCCAAACAACGTTAAAAATAGTATACCAATATTAATAGAATATTTATTACTGGTAATAAATATTAATAAATAAAAAAAATCGAAAAGAAATAATAATTACGGAAGGCCCACTATCGAACCGGGCTTAAAAGTTGCATGATGGATAGAAGTTTAAAACAGAAAATTGTGAAAAATATCGAAGGATACACACGGTTTTAAAAACACGATTGAAAACTTAAAATTCAATTTTTTTATGTAAAGTTATCCAAAATTTAGAAAAAAAATAATTGAACATCGACCATTATTAAGAAAGTTATGAGCATAAAATCAAAAAAGATCGATTTTTTTGAAAATTTGCTATTTTAAAAATACTAATATTATTTTTGACCCAGTGATCAAAAAATCTCAAAATTTACCAGGAAGCCTCTTTTGAAAGGTCCTAAAAATTTTTAGAAAATCATTTTTTTTTTGTGAATACCCCATATGCGTAATATTTAAATTAATATTGTTGTAGATCCGTCAAAGGATGACGGACTGTGCAGTGCACTTAGCGAGGCACGTGGGCTACGAAAACGCCGGCACTGTGGAGTTCTTACTCGACGATAAAGGAAATTTCTACTTTATTGAAGTCAATGCTAGGTAAAATATTTTTATTTTCTAATATGTTGTCGTCTCAATGCTTATTCGTCTAAACAACTAATTTACCGAAAGAGTTTTTAATACGGAATTATTGCCTTTTAAATGTCAATTCTATTGGTATAAAATATAAATTACATATTTTATTTTAAAAAGTCAAAAAAAAAGCTTTTCATTTATAATATACACGTCTAATTTTATATATATATATATATATATATATATATATATATATATATATATATATATATATATATATATATTACTAAAACTAGGAAAAGAAAACAAATGTATCCCTCGGGAACCGTGTATATTTCCGGGATAAAAAAGGCCTATGTGTTATATCAGATTATAATCTATCTCTGTGCCAAATTTCATCCAGATCCGTTCAGCCGTTCTGGCGTGATTGAATAAAAAACATCTATACATACTCTCAAACTTTCACATTTATAATATTTATTTTATTAATTAAAAAAAAAACAAAAAATTTCCAGATTACAAGTAGAACACACAATAACAGAGGAGGTAACGGGGATAGATCTAGTGCAGTCACAGATTAAAGTGGCGGAAGGTATGACGCTACCCGAAATGGGGCTGACTCAGGACAAGATCAAGACGCAGGGCTACGCCATACAGTGCCGGGTCACCACTGAGGACCCCGCAAACAACTTCCAGCCCAGCACCGGCAGGATTGAAGTGTTCAGGTGATGATGATGATGGTAATGATGGTGGTGGTGATGAGGAGGAATGAAAGTTTTTTTTGCTAAGTGTTTTTGTGAGGGTGCTTTTGGTAATTATAAGTTTTTTTAAGGGGCTAATCTATTGTGTTATTGGCTTATAATGACATCGAAGGGGCAACTACGTTACATAAAGATTTTGTTTAATTAAATTTTATTATTACTATTTTAGAGTAATGGTAGGAGAATAATGAATTTTTGAATCTTCTAAAATAAAATCAATGAAAGATAATTGTAAAAGTTAGCCATTGATAAAGGTAAATATTGGCTTAAGTGTAGTCTAGGGAGTATACTGAATGTATTATGTAGTTGTGAGAAGGATCTAGAATATTAAAATTTAATCAGCTATTTTATAAAAGAATGATAAGTATAACATTTATATTTTTCTAGGCAAAAAGCGTTCTCTATTTTATTTTAATAATATTAATATCGTATTTTTTGACACAGATCTGGTGAGGGTATGGGCATTCGTCTCGACTCGGCTTCCACCTACGCTGGCGCCATCATATCTCCCTACTACGACTCTTTGCTAGTTAAAGTAAGTATAAAAAGTTAATTCATTCATATTATACACAAATAATTAAGGTATATTATATCATTGGAAATATATATATATATATATATATATATATATATATATATCCAATGAGTTGTTTAATAATAATCTTAGTAATTATTATTGACTGTCCGCAGAAAGCTGCTATTTTAAACACCTAGAAGAAAACTAACTGATATCTTAAAATTCATCTATAATCTTAATTACATGCTATATTTACTTGGCTTTGGTCCGTAATTTATTTAAAACCAGCCAAAAGCTGAGAAAAATAACATATACGAAAATAATAGACTATTATATTTCTTCAATATGTTCTTCTTCGCGGCGATTTATTAATTAATGATGTTTTTTTAATAAATAGGTTATTTGTGATCTTATACGAGTATGTACATTAAAAAACCCTTTAATTTAAGTGACTTAGTCGAAATACCTTTTAAGTTAACAAGTAATCATGATTACGCAGGTAATTTCTCATGCACAAGACCTGTCCGCGTCCGCCGCCAAGATGAACCGCGCGCTGCGAGAGTTCCGCATCCGCGGCGTCAAAACTAACATACCTTTCTTGCTCAACGTATTGGAAAACCAGAAGTTTTTGAATGGTAAGATAAATTAAATGATCCCAGTACAAAAACCACCCCTATTATATTTTTACTGTCTTTGGTGTTTCAGTTTAAGGTTGGTTCTTATATTTTCATTTTTTTAAGAGCTATGTTATTTCTTGCCATCGTTTCCCTACAGAATTATCTCCGAACCCACTGATATTAAATTTAAATTAAAAAAAGTGTTTATTAACGATTTAGAAGTGCTATTCTATAATCAATTTATATTTCATTATATTCAAAATGCCTCATATTATTAATGTATTATATCTATAAATTATGATTGTACGTGAATTTACGTTTTATGTTTAATTAGATTTATTTAGATTAATGTATATTTTCAATTTCAGGCGCAGTAGACACCTACTTCATAGATGAAAACCCACAGCTCTTCATGTTCAAGGCGTCACAGAACAGAGCGCAAAAGATCCTGAATTATTTGGGTCAAGTGCTAGTGAACGGTCCCGCTACACCTTTAGCCACTAAAATACCGCCATCTGACGTCAAACCTTACATACCACCCGTGCCATTGGGTAAGTGTTATAGAAATATGAGAAAAAAGATAAATGATATACTTAATTACAAACAAATCATAAAAAAAATATATTTGAAAGAATTACATATTTTTCTTCTCTTTTGAACTTGATAAAGTTCAAAGGCATATAGTACTTGAATATACAGTACATAGTCTTGCTATGTTCCGTAGTACTTAGATAAAAAAAACATAATTTATTATATGTATACATATAATTACTTTAAATATTAAAAAAATATTTCAGCTTCCTCATAGAAAAATGTGTTAATTTCGTAACATACTAACATTTGTTCGTCATTAATCGATTAACGAAAGAGAATTCTAAAATATTTATATTTTGATAATAGTTTACTAAATAATTTTAATTATTTAAAAAGGTTTTAAAATTAAATAACCTCTTACCACAGACTAATGAATTATATAGACGGAGCACGCCAAAAAATGTCAAAGTCAAAAATAGTTGCGTGTTTTACTGTTTATGCTACTATTCTCGATTTTGCCATACAGTTTGTTTATCCTTTTGTTCAATGAAAAATGGAAATTTGACATAATTTTCAAGAATAAAAATAAAGTTATATTATTTTATAGTTTTGAAGTGTTAGTACTTTTTCTCTTGAAATAGAGATAGCATAATATATATAGCTTATTATATTATATATTGGACGTAGAGTATTTTTTATTCATTATAATAACATCCGTTAGCGACTTTTATTACTTGACACAGCAATTAATATTCTTTTAATATTTGTAGTTTAAAAAAAACTGTTTTAAAAAAAATATTATTTTACATCATTATAATTGGTTTCATATTTAGTTCCATGACACTCTGTCTATATTATTCCATAGTCTGAGCTTCTTACAAATTAAATATCACATTAACGAACATTTTCATTGTTATATTACAAATAAATGGAAATAATGTTTTCATCTTCAATATTTAGCTAGTGCTAGTTAAATTATATAAAATAATTTTCTAATATATAAATATCTCGTGTCACGATGTTTGTGGTCGCACTCCTCCGAAACGGCTCGACCGATTTTAATGACCCTCTCCTACCCCTACCCCTCAATTTTTTAATCGCGATTTTAGTATTTTTGTATGAACAATATTATATAAATACATATAACATAAAGCTAAAGATTTTTTTTGTAGATTGAACGCGGGCGTAGCCGCAGGTTTTGCTAGTATGCTATAAAAAAGTATTTTTTCCAAAATTATCTTTACCCTTAAGCCATTCATCAGACCAATATAATTAAATATTATTTATAAAGACATCTTTTTGTATAGTCTTTTGTTAAATCGAATCCGTTACCTTGACTTAGTTGGCCATAGAAACTAATACGCTATATATTTTCGCAAAAATAGAAATAAAACATTGTGTGTATGACAAGTATCTCAAATCAGTTCGTTTTTTTCAGTCGGCACTGGTCATGGTAGGTTCGAGAAAGTTTTTAATTAGCCCTTTATTTTTCTTACCTTTTGCGACATTGCTGCTTATTTAAATTTTTTCTTTTTCGGATTTACGTCCAAATAAAATACTCTGGGATGATGGTACTTATTATATAAGTCATGTCAGAATTTAACAATGCAACATTTTTATTTTTTAAACTTTCCCGATTTACCATATTCAGTTATGGATCAAAAAAGTTCTAGATACACAATCAGCGACAAAAAATGTCCTCACCGAATGAGCGCTCATTTGAACATTTGAGCTCGCTTTAATTTTTTTTTTTTTAGTGAAAACAACTTTAAGCATTGCATTTTAAGTTCAATTTCATGGGATTGTGTATCTAGAAATTTTTTGATCGATGTATTCAGTTGATGAAAATGGGACTTTTAGTAAATACATTTTGGTTCATTAAGAATTATTTGTAAATATTTAATTCGTGATACATATCACATTAATAAACATTTATTAATAGATAAAAAGAATATATGTTTGGTGTGCTTAAAATTTATTGTTTTACAGAAAATACGTTTTAATCACTCCATGACCGCGGACACGCCGGCGTGTCAGTTAACAATAGATTTCTTAGAGCTTTAATTAATTACTTAGAAATTTACTTGGAGGTGTTAAAATAGGCAGGTAGTAGGTTAAGGTAGGTAAGAAGAGTAGGTTAAGTATTATAACAGTGACAAATATGCCATTTTCATCAATATGAATACACATAACACTGTTAAATGTTTTATGGCCAAATTTTTGTTGAATATATCGGCCATTTTGTTTTGATTCGTCGTCCATATTTTCATTTTTAATTTGGCGCGCAAACTAACAAGAGGGCTAACATTATTTTGCCGATTCTCCTTACTTTAACGCCATTTTGTGTACGCACCGCTTTAACACTCGCGCTGTGCCATTATTTTCACTAAACATGTTTTTCAGACCTTTCACCTGAAGCCCTTAAAAGGCAAGAGATGACCGGTGAGAACACAGGTAAAGCTGAAATAGTGCTTGTTTTTTTATTTGTTTGCATGTTTATGTGATTTTTGTAAGTAAAATACTAAGTGTTTGGGTTTCCCTTAATAAGTAAATAAACAACATACCAATAATTTTTTAAATGTAAATAATTTTAATATTTTTGTTATCGTTGTCATTTCCATTTTACATATTTGATTCATATTTTTTGTATCCATACGGATCAGAGACATTTGTGTGTGCAAGTAAAGGTTTAATGTCATGTAACAGTAGACAGAACGAACTATGATATTGAAAAATGTAAATAATAACTATATAGATGCGATAGCCATATTTCAAAAGCTTAGAGTAATCATGCACAATAAGATTATCTGATTATCGCTGGATCATTTTTGCCACTATCTTCTTCTTCTTCTTCTTCTCCCTGCCCATTTCCCAAATCACTTGGGGTCGGCGCAGTACATCTTCAGTGTACTGCTGATAGGATTTGGCAAAAGTTTTACGACCGGCCGCCTGCCTGACGTCAACCCTCCTTGGGAATGCTATTGTCTTTCTTTGTCTGAATGGTGTTAAATATTATGCACTTTCGATTTTGTTGTGTTTTAAAACATTTTTTATACTATTAATTCAATTATTAATGTTTTTTTTGGGTATATTTTAAAATAAATTTCGATTACACAATAAATTTTGTATTATATTATGAACTATAATTTTATTGAATTTTTTGAAAGCACAGTAATTTATATTATTATACTTAAAAAAGTTCATAGGTTTAATTAATTTAAAAATAGAAAGCTCACCGAAAAAATTGAAAAGAATGTCGTATAAAAAATCTACAGATTTTATATAACAATACTATTCTTTATTATATAACATAATACGTTATCGAACTTAAAATAATCTTCTAAACAATATTATAACACAATTCTCTTATAACTTAGACCATTAAATACCCACAGCGGTGACCCCTCCTAAAGGGTTCAAGCAGATTCTCAAAGAAGGTGGACCTGAAGCGTTCGCTAAAGCAGTGAGACAGAACAAAGGTCTTCTTTTGATGGACACTACATTCAGAGACGCCCACCAATCCCTTTTGGCGACGCGCGTGAGGACGCATGACCTGCTCGCCGTCTCACCTTATGTTGCACATAATTTCAGTAACTTGTATTCATTGGAAAACTGGGGAGGTGCTACTTTTGATGTGGCTCTTAGGTATGTGACACTTTATTTTTAATGTGTTTACGGATTTTTATGAGTATGTTTTTTTTTTAATTTGATGGCGTTGATGTCAAATGCCAATCGTTAATGATTTAAAGTTGTAGTTTAACAGTTTATTAGGTCTAAGCAGTGGAATTATCTTAGCCAATACTATAATTTAACTCATCAATTGTAAACCATTAATAGATAAAAAAATAGATACACATTTTCTAATAAATATCTCTTCAAAAAGTGGCGTCGACATGTGATGGTAAGTCAAACCAAAGAGTAAAATTCAAAAATCGAAAGTTCTAATTGTCTAAATACAAATTCGAACTTACGCACACCACGTAAAGTATTTTTTTTAAACGAAACAACGTCCGTTTTAATTTTGCCATCCGAAAAGAAATGAACAAAAGAGATTTGAAAAAAGCACAATTCAATTTCGAATTGTGAACTTTTTTTGAGGACACTTTTGAGATGCTAATTGTGTATCTTGAATTTTTGTATATCAACGGTTGAAACGTAAAAAAGTCTTTATAATTGGCGTTCATTTTCATTCATTTTAAACAACTTTTTCAGATTCCTACACGAATGTCCATGGGAGAGGTTAGAAGATATGCGCAGTTTGATCCCAAACATCCCCTTCCAAATGTTGCTGCGCGGCGCCAACGCTGTGGGCTACACGAACTATCCCGATAACGTTGTATACGAGTTCTGTGATATGGCGGTTAGTTACTTTATTTATATTAAAAATTGTAGTAAATATTATATATAGTGTTACTTTCACGATACTGATTTCTTTAATATTAGAAAGAAATATGTGCCTACTTGACTTAATATTGTATAAATTCTTATAATTGATCGTTGGATTGAAGTATATATGTTAAAATAATATTTAAGGAAAAACTTAAATTTTTACGATTCTATCTTTAGACAGTTTATGACCCAATTTTATATAAAATATAGTGAATTTGAGAATTCCACAACAATATAATTTTATAACTCAAAACCATCTATCTATCTATAGCGCAACCAACAAACAATCCGAATAACCTTCGATAGATTAAATGAATGAATGCGGTTCAATTTAGAAATTTTCTTCCCAATGTTTCAAATGCTTTACAACAAATATGTTAACAAGGGGAACGTCTGCGTGAATCTAAGAAACTATTATTCTTTCACAGGTGAAAGCCGGTATGGATATATTCCGAGTGTTCGATTCATTGAACTATTTGCCCAATCTGATATTGGGAATGGAAGCAGCTGGCAAGGCCGGCGGCGTAGTAGAGGCCGCCATTTCCTACACCGGCGATGTGTCAGACCCTAGCAAGAAGAAATACGACCTGAAGTATTATTTGAACTTAGCCGATGAATTGGTGAAGGCTGGAACACATGTACTCGGAATTAAGGATATGGCTGGTCTCTTGAAACCTCAAGCTGCCGAGTGAGTTGATCAAACTTATGCTTTTTAGTGTAGTTTTTTGATGTTAGATGTTATTTGTTTCTGTTATATTTAAGAAATGATAATTGCGTTTTGAAGATTCTTTATTTGTTATTTTTTATTTGTTTGAAGGAGGGTTATTTTCAATTCCTTATCTCAATTTAAAAATAAATTTGTTATAATCATTTTTCTAGAAAGAGTGAATGAAGCCATATATTATATACTTTTTAGTATTCACTCAGCTAAGCTCAGTTAGTTTTAGATAACAAACTGGTTTTTTTTAATTTATATTTCGAGAGAACTTTAAGCCAAGTTAATTGATTACAATTTTTAAAAAATATCTCTTACCGATCTTGACTACGTTGTAATTTATATGTGGATTTAAACTGAAAATATAAAAATTATTTCCTTTAACCAAAACACCGTTTTCCCCAAACTGACAATAACAATGGACCCAATGCACATATGATTTAAAAACGTAAAAAATATATAATTTTTTTAACTATAAAATATTGTCTCCACCAAACTGCTAATATCTATACAAAAGTAATTTAGAAACTAAACTTTTCTAATTTTTTTCGCATCTATTTTGATATTGCCTCCCTACGTTTTCAATGGTTCACATCAATCATCGTCACGGAAGAGACTTAAGATTTTAGACGTTTCAAAGAAACACTTGTGTACCATTTGGTGCAGTTGATTATATTTGGTATAGTTGATTACCTATTTAGGTATATCAACTATATTTATTCTAAGACGACTCAAAGAATAACGTTCCCCAATCAAAACATGTTCCCCCCAGATTACTAATAACGGCAATCCGCGACAAACACCCGGACATCCCGATCCACGTGCACACGCACGACACGTCGGGCGCGGGCGTGGCGGCCATGCTGGCGGCGGCGCGCGCGGGCGCCGACGTCGTGGACGCCGCCGTGGACTCCATGTCGGGGCTCACCAGCCAGCCCTCGCTGGGCGCGCTCGTCGCCTCGCTGCAGGGCACGCCGCTCGACACAGGTGAGATTACTTCTTTCACATCACTACATAGTATAAAACAAAGTCGCTTCCCGCTGTCTGTCTGTCCCTATGTATGCTTAGATCTTTAAAACTACGCAACGGATTGCAGATGCGGTTTTTTTTAATAGACAATGATTCAAGAGGACGGTTTATATGTATAATGCATGCATATTATAGTACAGAAAAGCCGAGAAATTCATAGATTTGTATTCCATACTAACCATTACAAGGTACAAAAAATTGATTTAACAGGGTCTGTCAGGTCAGCTAATCTATATTGTCCTCCTGACCGAATTCGGACACAGCGGCCAATTTCACTGGGACTACCAAATGCAATTAATATTATAAATGCGAAAGTAACTCTATGTGTCTGTCTGTTACGTTTTCACGTCTAAACCGCTGATTTCAATGGATTTTGGTATGGAGATAGATGAGACCTTGGAGAAGGATCTTAAACTTGAAGGGAGTGAAATGAAAGTATAAACGTCGTATGTTCTTAGTTGCTCGAGATTAAAGAAGAGTTATATTTGCTGGTATATCATATTTATAGAAAAGAAACAAGTGATATTTTATAAAAAAGATCAAGGGAAGTGAGTGGAAATATTACAATTGCAAAAAACCACTAATAACTAAACTCAGTTTGAACTCTTTTTTAAACCGATCAATTCTCAAACTCGACCGTGTTTTTCCCATTCTACACGATGAGAAGAACATCACATAACATCAAAGTATTGCAATTAATAACACAATCTTACCCTTCACAGGCATTCCACTCCAGACTGTCTCGGAGTACTCAGCGTACTGGGAGCAGGCGCGCACTCTGTACGGGCCCTTCGAGGCCACCGCCACTATGAAGTCTGGCAACGCGGACGTTTACATCAACGAGATCCCTGGCGGACAGTACACCAACCTGCAGTTCCAGGCCTTCTCCCTGGGCCTGGGCAGCCAGTTTGAGGAAGTTAAGAAGGCTTATAGGTAATCTACACTAATATTATAAAGATGTATAGTTTGTGCGTTTGTGACGTTGTAGAGGGTAACCTCTGGATTTACTGAACCGATTTAGATGAAATTTGGTAAGACGATAGTTTGAGATCCTGGGAACGACATTAGATACTTTTTATCCCGGAAATCATCCCTTAAGTGGGTGAAAATGTGGTTCAAAGTTTGTATAGATAATATATTGCTCATGTTTTTATAATGCTAGACCCTATACACACCAAGTACGAACATATATGGTCCGTGCATATTGTGAGCTGATACGTTTGAAACATGCAGATTGATTGTCGAAAGCGCGTTAAAGTGGTGGTGTGTTAAAGCTTATAAAATACTTACATGTAAAACGTAATATACATTTTTATAAGATAATACAAATATTTGGTTCCACTGAGTTTCTTTCGCAGTTCTACTCAGATCGGAAGTGTCTTCTTTCCGAACTGGTAGTAGACTCATAACGTTCAGTAAAATATTATAATAATTTTATGCTAAATAAAATACTTTTATTTTGAATTGTACACACTGCTGTTATCGCACACACCATTTTTAAATTCTACAATTATTATTGACTATATTGTAAATTGCATGCTAATTTCCAATAATAATTTTTATTTTCTTAGCATTAAGCATCTTCACTGCTGCTGGTGTAGTTATGGATATTCTCAGTTACACACGTTCTAATCTACATCTACTATTACTAACGTCAATATTACTAAATTAAACCAATAATATAACTGCTTAAATAATAATCTTTCTAATTTCCAGGGAAGCCAACCTTCTTCTCGGTGACATAATTAAGGTGACCCCCTCCTCTAAAGTGGTGGGTGACCTTGCCCAATTCATGGTGCAAAACAAATTGACTGCGGCGGAAATCGAAGCCAGGGCCGAAGAACTGTCCTTCCCGAAGTCGGTCGTGGAATTCTTCCAAGGAGCCATCGGTACGCCATATTTGGGATTCCCGGAACCTCTCAGGTAGGCTTATTTGTCATGAATGCCGATTTTTTACTTATGACAATGTTTTTTTTAAATGTGCCACTATAATTACAAATGCTACAAGTTTGTATCTCTTGATCGAATTTGAAGAGAAATAGATAAATAACTTGAGTATACATTTTAATAGATATGCATTATTTCAGGTTATTATTTTGGACACAGTTCCTAGCAGGTGTTTTGTACTGACAAACAGGCATAATTTAATCCTTTTAAAATTATAATCTTTATATTTATAAAAAATATAAATATAATATTTTTTTACGCTTTTACATATTTTTACGTATTCAATTATACAGGTCAAAGATTCTCAAAGACATGCCCAGGATAGAAGGACGTCCGGGACAAGAGCTCCCGCCACTTGACTTCGCCAAACTGAAAGCGGACCTGCAAGAAGCTTATCCAGAGGTTAAAGCAAATTAAAATATATTTTTAAATTATTTAATACAAAGAATGTGTAGAATTGAATGATGTAAGAAAGGAAATAATATGTTTAACATTTAACTTTAAAATAATCAAAGTTTCAGAAACTAATCATTTTCATAAAAGTAGGGGCGAATGCCAAATTATGAGCCAAGTTTTAAGATCATTTTTTAATGATTAGGAAATTAAAATCGATGATTTTTTTTTGTATTAAAAGGGTATTATATTTATTACTCTATATTGATTTACTCGCTTCGCTTGGATGCGTCCTTATATATGTACATACATCACAGTAGTCTATATGTTATTCCAGATCATAATTATAATCTGTGTACTCATTCAATTTTGTCCACTTAAGCCTAAAAGAGTAACACGCCCACACATAAAAATCATTATTAAGTGTCAAGAACGTCATGAAGAAAATATGTCAGTCCAATAATTATTATTTATTATAATATTATATTTAATAATTTTGGGCATATGTAATTGAAAATGGCGATTAATTTAGTGAAATGTTCAAGTTGTAATATTATTATAAACGAGTTACTTGCATACGTTAGTAATAAAATTGATGTAATGGATGAAGTAAGCTTAGGACGGATTTGTGTTACTTCTTTTTCCGAAAGTGAAATTGCAAATGCGAAAAATTTATTATACGAGTCATTAACAAAGGCAGGCAAAAAGAAAGTACGTAAAGGAGATGGAAAAGCTCGTCGGGATATCGATGACATTATTGGCGTGCTAAAGAGCACAGATCCAGACGACATGCCAATATTTGCTGCACGTGATCTGCATAAGTTACCACCCATTTTGTTTGATCACGTCGACGTAACTAAAATTTTAAAAGATTTATTGAAAATGCAACAAGATATTAAAAAAATACGGGAGGAATATGTTACTAGTGAGCAGTTAGATATTTTCAAGTCACAGTTTTTTACAATTGATGATGGTGAGTCAGAGACCAACAGTGTTAAAACTGTTCTTGATAAAAAATTGAATACACCTAAAGATTATTCTATAAATGATATGACATGTTCGGATATTCAAGACATAGAGCAAGCTTTCGATGTGCCTTATGAGTCTATTCAAAACAATATGAACTTTATAAAAGAACCAACTATAAATAATGACAAAATTCGGACAGACCAGAAGAGTGGTTTGCAAAGTAATATGGCAATTAATTCAAATACAGTGCTGGATAAAGACGCAGCGATTAGTAATAAGTCGAATACAAACATCTCAAATGGTCACGCTAATAAAAATCCTATGTTGTCGAAGGAAATTACATTAGCTGACATTGTTCGGGAAGGAAATTTGAAACCTCAAACTGAGAGTGAAGAATGGAAAATAGTACAAAAAAGAAAACTAAGAAATCGATTTATTGGGAAGAAAGGGACTGCGGTTATGGAACAAAATCATCATTTTAAAGCGGCGGAAGTGAATATTCCAATATTTATTTATAACGTTGCAAAAAGTGTATCTGTTAATGATATCAATAGTTATATAAAGGCAAAAGCTAATATGTGTGTTCCTATTGATCAAATAAATTCAAAGTCTTTAAAAGATTATATATCATTCAAAATTTTAGTTCCAAAACACAAACTAGACTTGTTTATGCAAGATGAATTTTGGCCTGAAGGAATTGCCTATCGTCGTTTTATTGATTTTAAAAGAAAAAGGGAAGCCACAAGTGACCTAACACGGCAATTTGTACAATAATAAAGAATTATAATATTAACATCTAATTACTATGGATTATATATTGATCTGAAATGAATACTTATTATTATTATTATTATAAATACACATACGCGCATATATAATATTAGTTTATGTATGTAATAACATTTTTTTTTATCCAGGTGACAGAGCAAGACGTAATGTCGGCGGCGATGTACCCGCAGGTGGCTAACGACTTCTTCCGCATCCGCGACAAGTACGGGCCCGTCAAGCACCTCGACACCAAGACCTTCTTAGTGGGGCCCACTGTGAGTGGCAGACATGTGATATTCTGATTCTTTTATATTCATACTAGCGTACCCGGCAGACTTTGTGTTTTTTTTAATGTTGGAAAATGCATTTATGCATACACCACCTACAAACATACAGGCACATGCACTCAACTACGACGCCCCGACGGCAGGTCTGCCGAAGCAGACCACAATAACCATGGGGTTGCTCCAAAGTCCACTCTGCTACCAGAGAAGTACCAGGAGTAACCCGCAAGGTACACCGCCCACCGAAGTGGGCCACCTAGCTAGCATGTACGGCTGCACACCCGGAGGTCCTGGGTTCGAGTCCCGGGTCGGGCCAACTTTAGTTATTGAGTCTTTCTGTATAGTAAGTCTCAGTAACAGCCCGGAGTTGGGAAGTTGGCGGTGTTTCACCCCCGTGCCTCGGAGAGCACGTAAAGCCGTCGGTCCTGCGCCTTAACTCTCACCGGTCGTGTCGAGTGGTCGTCCCACCGGAGTATGAGAGTGATAGGAATAGAGAGTGCACTTGTGTCTGCGCGTACACTCATTGAGATTGGCCGCCATGGCCGGAATCGGCTAGGAGAACATCATCATCATATAATATACATATATAGGTATATTTGCCGATAGTAGCTTGATTTCCAATATATACTTTCATTCCCATTTTCACCCACTTAAGGGATCATCCCTATATAAAACATATCCCTAGATAAAAAGTATCCTATGTCCTTCCCAGGGTTTCAAACTATCTTCTTACCAAATTTCATCTAAATCGGTTCAGTAGATCCAGAGATTACCCTCTACAACGTCACAAACGCACAAACTATACCTGCTTATAATATTAGTATAGATAACTACACGACATTCCCAACAGGTGGGCGAAACGATCGAAGTGAAGATCGAGCGCGGCAAGACACTGGACATCAAAACGCTGGCCGTCTCCGACGAGATGACGGCTGCCGGCGAACGGGAGGTGTTCTTCGAGCTCAACGGCCAACTGCGCTCTGTCTTCATACGGGACGATCAGGCTAGCAAGGTAATTACAATAATTTATCCATACACAACCCATAAAAAACACCTCTTCTGGATACGGGTCTCCCATCATAAGTGCAGGTACTCGGCCAAGGGATTCAAATATAAAGAGGTCAGGTCATAGATCATCCACACAGAGCGGGTGCGGATTGGTGGACTTACGAGTAACATGTATTTTGAAAATTGGTCAGGTTCTCTCAGATATATAGGTTTCTTCATGATTCTTTCTTTCCTCGCGCATTAAAATATCAGGGGTGGTGGACTGCGGTTTTAGCCCTCTTCAACTATTTTTCCCAGCGAGCGTATTTACACAATGGTTTTGACACAAATATTTGTAAATATATACGTCGATAAAAAAGGTAGCATATGTTATTAGCAGTATTTAAATTCTTTAATCGTTACAGCATGTAATATAAAGACATACATTTCTTTAAATTATATATATATATATATATATACCTACTTACCCTCCTAAACACGAAGTTTCGGATCTTTCTTCAAACAAAATAATTAGTAAGTTATTAATTTTTATATATCAATGCATTTTTTTACAAAATAGAACCCACAACCATGGTAGAATGAATGGTAGAATCAAAATGGATGTCGAATCAAACACCGCTACTGTATTAACATAACCTGTATCATAAATATCGCTATATATTTTTTGTCTACTTATAGGAAATGAAGATTCATCCTAAAGCAGTGAAGGGAGACAAGAATCAAGTCGGAGCGCCCATGCCTGGAACCGTCTTGAGTAAGTAAAATTTATGTTTTTAATAAGTACTTAAATAATTTCATATATATTGAGTAGGGTATTATTATAAATAGCATAATGCTAGAAAGTTTTAATCCATAGTATATTCTAATAGTCAATATATTTTATAGTTTTAACCGCCTTTTTTCCACAGCAATCAAAGTGAAGGAAGGCGATCAAGTAGAGAAAGGCCAGCCCATAGCTGTGCTCTCCGCTATGAAGATGGAGATGATAGTGCAGGCGCCGCGCGCCGGCGTCGTGCAGACCGTTTCTATCACCAACGGGCAGAAGTTAGAGGGAGACGACCTGATATGCACTATCGAGTAAATGTACTGATACCATCGAACTGCTTAGGGGACGTTCATTAATTACGTAATGATGATATTGTCGATTTTTGACCCAATCCTCAAACAATTTTGACTTCTAAAATATTACGTAAGTATCGGTTCTACACCCCCCCCCCCCCTTGCGTAACCCTTACGTAAATAATGAATGGTCTAATACGTCTGTCTCTGTCGCACAAATTAGTTAAAATGGCCTAAGTGTACTGGTATATAAAAACATACTTAACGAGTAAATAAACTGAGTACCATCGGACTGTATACGTCTGTCTCTGTCGCACAAATTACTTAGTGGCCTAAGTGTATTGATATTTAAAAACGTAGATACACTTTTATTAATTAATGTCTCTTAAAAAAGTGGCGTTGACATGTGACACAAGTCGAACTAAAGAATAAAATTTAAAAACAACATGCGTTTTAGTTTTGTCGTCCGAAAAGCAATGAACAAAAGAGATTTGAAAAAAGGCGTTCAATTTCGAATTGTGCTCTTCTTTTTAAGGAAACTTTCAGACGCTAGTTGTGTATCTTGAGTTTTTGTATATCAATGCCTAAGTACATCGGATTGTAAATTTCTCTGTCACACGCGTTAGGTTTGTTAGAAGAATGGCCTAATTTATTTAAAAAATGATAGTGACATTTTCATTTGCGTCATTTATAGATAAAGCGATAGTGTTGTGAATGTATGTGTGTTTATTTTTTTTATTTTGTAAATATATTTTTTTTGTTATTGTTTTAAAGTAAGACCAATTTGCATTAATAATTATAACTATATACGAAATTATTTAAGTATTTTTCGAATCCGTATTGTGAATGGTAATTAGGTCATTTTATTAGGGATTGTAAGATTAAGCCTGGATGTGAGAAGTCAATCTGAAGTTACCAAGCACTAAATATTTAATGCAATATTTGTTTTAAATATACATATATCGCCTTTTTTAGATCTATACAAGGATTTTAATAAACATCTCACTGCGTGTGTACAATCCGATGTTAGTAATAAGTCCGTTTTCATTGACACGATAGAAGTTGCCACATTTAGACTGGTATTAAATATTTTTTCAATTTTATACAAAAAGAATCTGTTTTTCGTTACTATTTGCTGTCGTTATTCTATTATTTTTCTGAGAAAATTCTATAGTATCTATGGAATTTGTTTTTTTCAAAACTGATATCATAGTACAGTAAGAAATATATATATTTTGGAGCGATAAGGGTATGAAATTCGTGCAATTATAAATCGATAAACTGTTTCAAAACAAAACCTGTGATATTTCCACTATATGATAGTGGCACAATACTTAAGCACGGCGGTACAAAAAGGGATTGTGAGTAAATAGGCGTTATTTATGTTAAAGGTTTTAATGTTAAGGGCAACATCAAGTGTTATAATAAGATTATTTCAATTTTACTATAGTTTAGCAATTGCATGTTACCATTTATTTATCAATTTTTTTTAAGTGAAACTTCTTTAGTATCGTTGTGATTCGAAACTCGATGAATTGAAAATGCATAACTAAAATATAAAGGATTAAGCCGGCGAGAGAATGAGACAGAATACGTTGCCATGGTGACCATTGTTATTTGAGATAGAATATATTACACAGAAAGTGAAAAATAATAATATTAATTACTGAATAATATGTAATGTATGTACATTTATGTCAAATAAAATGTAAAATAACTTTTAAACTTGGTAAAAATATTATAAAAAAAATAAACCTTATAATAATTATCCTAGTCCTGATACTCTATATTTATCTCATTCTCTCGTAGGTTACTTTTCTGAAGTTAAACTTCAACCATGTGTGAATTGCACACGCACTTTTTTTAGATTATAATTTTGCTAAACATTGTGTAAATGGGTGTAAATTAGACGGAATAACACAAAAGACGTTAATTTTTGTCATATAATACTTTATTTGTTAGAATTATAAAGACATTTTTTTATCTCATAGGCATCACAAATGTTTAACTGCGTGCTTCCAATTTGTTATTTTTATCTTTTTTACTGTTACTTTTGCAAGTTTATAATTATAATAATTTAATAAACGTTTTAAAAATTTCTACTGATTCTTAATATTTATTTTCTCAAGGTCTTCGAAACTCCTTTAAGGGTTAAACCGAATCTACAATCTACAATTTTTTTTAAAGCCAAAATTTATATTTAGAATAATTTTATACATATAGTTAATATGTACTAATACTATACAATTCAAAATTCTAGCCATTGATATACAAAAACTCAAGATACACAATAAGCTTCTCAAGTGTCCTCAAAAAGACGCACAATTCGAAATTGTGCGTTTTTTTTGATCTTGTTCATTGCTTTTCGGATTTGATAATTAAAACTCACGTTATTTTGTTTAAAAAAGTACTTTATGTGGTGTGCGTAAGTTCGAATTTGCTTAGACAATCAGAACTTTTGATTTTTGAATTTTATTTTTTAGTTTAACTTGTGTCACAGGTCGACGCCAATTTTTGAAGTGATATTTGTTAGAAAATATGTACTGTTTTTATATATCAATGATTCTAGGGTAACAATGACTTACATAGGAATATTAAAAGTGATATATGAATTTATTTAGTATATATATTAAATGACTTGTTCAAACCTTAAAGACTTTGCAGAAGATACAAACTACACATTGACATTTCACTGATAGAATAGATTTATTTCATGTGACTTTTAAAATTAAAAATATTAATTTTAAAGCCCTTTATTTAGATTTAAAAACCTGTAAGGTACTATGTACTTTTGACCTACCCTACCCCAGCCTGCAAATTAATGATATTCGCAATGAAAAAAAATACTAATCGATAGATTTTTAATAGCTCAATTCAACTACGTAGCCCTTCCAAATTGCTCACCATTAATTATAAAATTAAAAATCAATAAAGTCCTTGAAAAAAAATTCATTTATCCGTATATTCAAATTTCTATATCTTTTGATTTATACAATATTTTAAATTGCTCAAAGTTCTAAAATACTGCTCAAGTTGCATTTGTAATTGCTCAAGTAGAGTTCTCACCAGCTCCACTTTCCTTAATTATTAAATATTCCTTAATTGATTTTTGTATAAATTGAACATAATGAATAAGTCAATAAATAATAAAAATACCTGATAATAGATGATGTTGTGCTTGGAGTATTACAGTTTTATTTCACTATGATGAGGTTATGAAACACTTGATTTTTTTGCCTTGCGACTCGCGTTACTGTTTGCGCGCATGCGCAGCACTCACCTATCTATACGTTAAATTTATTCAAACTATTTATATTTATTTAATAATTAAGGAAAGTGGAGCTGGTGAGAACTCTACTTGAGCAATTACAAATGCAACTTGAGCAGTATTTTAGAACTTTGAGCAATTTAAAATATTGTATATGTCAAAAGATATAGAAATTTGAATATACGGATAAATGAATTTTTTTTCAAGGACTTTATTGATTTTTAATTTTATAATTAATGGTGAGCAATTTGGAAGGGCTACGTAGTTGAATTGAGCTATTAAAAATCTATCGATTAGTATTTTTTTCATTGCGAATATCATAAATTTGCAGGCTGGGGTAGGGTAGGTGTACTTTTGCATGTATTTTATGGCGTATGCTAATACCACAGACTAAATACGGAATATAATTTTAGATTGGATTTTATAAAAATGTCCTTTGTAAAAAAAACCTTATTACGAATAGAGTTTACGCTTTAAGTATGTTTAAAAAGAGTATCAAAACTTTGTTACTCACTTAGAAACAAAATATATTAAATTATAATGATGTTATTTCTTTATATTTTTCCTCCGCATTTTGGAATGAATAAATTATTTTTCGTAAATCGTTGATTAATTTTAAACACATTTCATACAACCTTGTTACACCCAGATTTAGTCTTTAAAAGGTGAATAAATCTTTTATGGGTTCAAGTGCATACATATATAATAAAACCCTTGTCCTTTATGAGTTTGGAGCTCAAAATTCTGTACAAGGTTTTTTTTGTGAAAATATGTAGAAATAAGGTGTATTGACTTATATGCGGGATAGCTATGATATAAGATATTGTATTAAACACTGTTAATCGATATTTAAAAGAGCAACTGTCAAGTTTTTCCCTTGCTCTTTTGAGCAGAAGCAGAGTGATAGCTTCCTAACGCCCAGCGGACCGACTTACACAGACTCTTAATTTAAATTAACAATTCAAAACTGCTTGAAGAAAAATTATCATTTCAATTTTTGCAATCTCTGACTTTAGTCTGTGTCAGTCAGTATTTTACCGGATTATAGTTATCTGTTAGATTTATCAATATTTATAAAAATCTTATTAAAAATATCTAAAAATCTTTATTTCAATGGAATTACAAAATTATTAACAACGTATAACTTGCAAATCCTATTTCTAATCTTCTTTACATCATTTACTCTATCAAACATTTTTAATTGTTGTGTAACATCCTCAATTTAAATTCTAGTTACGAGTAGCAGAAGCATGGTATTAACTTCAAGATCATAATAAAAATAATAATATATTCGAGCTACTACGATACTATTAGAGCAAAGTACATACAGACGATAAAATAATAATATTAGTCCTATACCTATTGCTTAGTACTTTCTTATTTATTTACGCGAATATTTGATACTTTAAATAAAACTAACAGGAGAGTCTCTTCCGCGACCATGATTGCTATAAAGCATTCTAAACGTCGTGATCCTTCTCGTATTGAAGGAAGGCCCGTGCTCATGCAGTGGGACGTTAAGAATGGCTGAATACATTCTAAACGTCGGGAACCAAAAATCAGAATAAATCCGCGAAAAAATCCGAAAAGATAGGTTTATTTAAAACTAGCACTATTACAGTTAAATATTTGTAGTACTACATATATATACTGCCCTTAGTTCCGCTAACTTACACCAGGGAAATCTAAACACCACCACTATCAACATCCATATTACTGATATAAGTAGGTAATGTTTGGAATTCTGCAGACAAAACGCTTGACTTTATCAAAAACCGATACTAATCTATACATATAATAAATTTCTGAGTCGTATCTGCACATTAAATATTTTTTGGAAAATCTTATTGAAATAGTCATTATTATCGAAAGAGGTAAAATCTATAGTTTTTAGAATTTTTGTGTCGGTCTGTCTGGGAACGCATCACTAGAGCACCACACAGATTTTGATGAAATACGGTATGATGGTAGCTGGTTTTTCCAGGTCAACATATAGGATACTTTTTACTGCTGGAAAATATCTCATATTTGAGAAATCTAGACTAAATGTTAAAACGTAACTAAAGACGAACCCAGTTTAACTAGGGTGAGACGCATTTAATTTAAAAAAAATGATCTAAGAGATTCTTTAAAATTGGCACAATTTATATTTATGTATAGTAATGTAAACACGTTAAAATGCATTAATAAAACTAAGAAAAAACAAAAATTTATGTATTTCTTGTATATTAGAATAATTAAGTCACTAGAGAACGGCGTCACTCCATATATTTTTTTATTCCACGTATATAGTACGAGTATATGGGAATAATCAGAAAACGAAATAATAAAAGAAAATTAACTACATACAGTACGTTAACATTATTGTCAAAATTATGGGTGCACAAATATTACATGTATGTGAATAGGGAATATGCGTGTGATGTAAGTAAAGATGAAATATATATATTTTTTATAATATTTATTGCTTTGGAATTAAGCCTATATCAATATTTTTAATGTAATTGTTTTTTGATTAAGAAAATAATTATTAAAAAGTGCAAATATAGGTGGGAAATTCAAAGTAGTTGAAACTACAAATTGAGTCGTTATTTTTCTGTGTATATCATATTATGCGGTGACGCCAAGCGCGCGAAATGGCGGGCGCTTAAAGTATCCGTATCCGGTATCGGTATGGTATTTAAAAAAATATACTGAATTTTCGTTTTTTGGAGCTGAATATTTTTCTTACAATTATATAACGATGTTAGTTATAGTATAAAAAAAACACGCATATTCCTTTTTTCATCCAAATAATTACAATTGCTAATACAAAAAAAATCGTCACACTTTATGCAGTGCAATGAAACTATATGTAGTTTATATACATTTTATATGAATATTATTTGCTCTTGAATATTATATTTTATATGCAATTTGAAAGGTATTCTACATTAGTTACAATTTTTTTATAACCTTAGACTAAATAATTATATAGACGAACGGAGTCCGTCAAAATATTTGTCAAAAACAAAAATAGTAACGTGATTTGCTGTATAAGCTACTATACTCGATTTCGAAAATATGAATAATAAAAATAATACTATATTCTTTTGTTTTTTAAGCATTAGACCCATTGAAAGGGCGATAGCATAATATTAGCTTCTTTTTTTATCTTTATTATAACAAAGTTCGTTAGCTAATTTTATTTTATTAACATTTATATACTTCTCGGTATAAAAATTGACATTTGAATTCTGTTTTAAATCATTATTGTTCGTCTTCGTGTATAGTTCAAGTTCTATGACACTGTCTATATTATTCCTTATTCTGAGGTTATAACGTTGCCCAAAGACAAGTGGTGTTTAAAGAAATAATTATATTATTTGCAAATATTTAATAATGCAACACTGAAATCTGAGTTACATTATCGTGAGTAAAATAATAATATGGTAATACATAAACTATTTGAAATATCATTAATTGTAATTATTTTTCGTGATATTAATTAATATTAAATTAATACAAAAAAAAATTTACTATACATAATAGAGAAGTTTCATAATGTTGTTAATCATTTTTGCAATTATCATATAAATAAATGGCATCGTTTTACAATAGTAATATTAAAGTAATAAAACTATATTACATGTTAATATTGAATGCAAAAATACTTATCAATTTATATATGTCGTAGGGAAATTGTAAAATTAGTTAAAGTATAATATCACTAGTGCGATTATAATATAACAGATTCTACGATTTCTCGTCGACATATATATCTAATAATTTACTATTAAAGAGGCATATTTACAAGTGGTGATGGATACTTTTATAAAATGAACACAAAAAAAATGTCATTTGTAGTCATATGTCAGCACAAATGGCATAACCCATAAACATTTTTATTAAAATTCTACATATACATATTTATCACATTGTCAAATAAAACAATAAATCGCAAACCCTATTGGTTATGAGAAAAACTACATATAAGTCGTGTCATAGATAAATATTTAATTTTTAATTTTGTAAACATTTCAAAAGCTGGGTTAGGCATTTTGTGCTGAGCTATTCACTTATAGTTTATTTTCTAGCAACAGTATTAAAAAAATTTAGTAATACTAAAAAAGTATTAATACTAAAGTTGTTACATTCAGTAGGACTCGTGCCAACTCGCCTCGCACTTGAACATAAAAATTCGAATGAATGTTTAGAACAATAATTTATTGTATTGTTTATATTTAGGCAAGATCAAATAAGAAAGTTATTTTATATTTCAACTTTCCCATGGTTCCTTCCATTTCACCATCACTAATACAAAAGCCATGGAATATTGTTACGTATCAAATATCTTAACTATGATTGAATTATCTAAATCCGCAATATAAAAACAGACAATATTATTTTATTTCGTGTATTATTATCTTATGAGTAAGTGTTAGCCACTACGAGAGTCAAATCTAATTTGGCCTCCGGGTTCAGAATATTTACATAATTTTCTGAGATCATGTAATTCTGGTCATAGATACATCAGTTAAGTCTTACAGACCAAAATGTTTTTATAAATAAGGGTGGCGCAAGAAACCGATTATTTTTATTTTTCATGTCTCGTATGAAATGTGTTAAATTTTCATGTTCTAAGAGTGATCTTTAAAAATGAGCTCGAAAAATTTTTTTTTAAGGGTAGCTCAAGATTATTAAAAATCCACTAGAAAACATAAAAAATGTTCATAAATTTTGAGCGAACATTAAAAATCTATATTTTAAGCTGTAACTAGGAGTATAGGGAGTTACTATTTTTTAGGTACTTAATTTTACCGCACCGAAGAAAATAAAATAAAAAAAATGTATTTTAAGATTTTTTAGTATTTTTAAAAATCTTGAACGACCCCTAAAAACTTTTTTTTCGAGCTAAACTTTAAAGAGGACTCTTAAAACATGAAAAACTAACATGTTTTCATACGAGACACGAAAAATAAAATATACTCGGTTTTTTTTCGCCATCCTAGTGTATAATATCAATATAACAATCAATTAGTCCAAATCGCCGGGATGTAACAAATTCTTATCAACTTGGGCATATGCGAAAGAATCTGTAAATTCTTGGGTCAAATCTAACTTGGCCTCTGGAATGCAGTTGTCTAGTTCGTTGCCAGAGTTCACCGAGTTCTGGTCGCTTAGACTCAAAGTGGAGTCTGCATCTTCACCGTAGCATCTCCTCTTGTGATCCGACGGCATGTACCTGTAGGAACTGTTCTCTACTTGTATTGCTTGTGTTGTGTTACTGAAAAATAAAATATAATGTAAATTATTAGCAATTTTTAGATTTTACAAATATTTCGGATTTTCGCGTGATTTTATTTTTATTTAAAAAATAAAACAAGTTTGTAGCAAAGTATTCGAGATGTCGGAAATAAAAAATCCAAAAAAAAAGTATAACAAAACCGCGCGACTATCCAAAAAGATAGTTTTAATGAAAATGTCTAATATTCGCCAATAAAGTATCATAAATAATTTTTGTGTTTTTTTTTATTTTACAAATTTACCCTTTTAATATATTAAATCCTTTGTAAAAAATAAACAATTACCATGTCTTCCTTAGAATAGGACGTCCCATCTCCACTTGCAGCTCCAAGGAATATAACTTGGCCAAAGACTCTAGCTTTTCCTTCTCCACCGGGTCTTGGAAACTTGGCAACTTCAGCTCAGTTTGACACGAGTCTTGTAAGAACTTGGACAGTTGCTCATTTGCCGCACTCAAGATAAGAAAGCCCGGTCGTTCCTCGCGTATTCGTCTACAGCCAGCCCTTATTTCCCTCACTTCACCTACACCCGTATTTCCCATTGAATGTTCACTACAATAATGATCGCTTTGAGGCGATTTCTCGCTAAAATTCAGATCACTCGACGATGTTTTCTGCAGAGTGAAATTCGTGCGGGGCGTTTGATTAAATTTCTCCTTCTTCTCAGACTTCTCTTGAAACGCTTGAAAGGAATGAAAAAACGTCTCGTCAGCATTTTGTCCGGACGCTCCTGCGTTAATAATATCACTGAATGTGGATAGCGAGGAATGTGGTAAGATGCCTTTCTCCTTCAAAAGTTCGTCTTCTACATCGATCACGGTCTTCGAATCAGATACCATTGCATCATCATCATTCCCCGAATCGACTTTAGCCCTTTTCTTCTTATATCTATTCTTACAACTTGCCCAACCACTTTTAACGAGCAACTTTTCCTTCTTCAACCTTTTTGGCGGTGGCATGTTACTGACTGATTTGGTACAATTATTGTTTACGGATTTCGACGATTTAAACGTGAGGCTCTTGTTGAAAACCTTCAATTCTTCTATACCAGGCCAATCTGTTAGCTCGTCGTCTCCTTCTCTGTCGCTATCATTTGTGATAACTCCGTCCGAATCACTACTGCTGAGAGAACTGCTTTCGTTCCCACAGTCCATACCACTGATAGATTCGTCGAATTGCAGTGGATTCCTTAAAAGATTGGGCGGTGGATGACTTTTGTTTAGCATTTTTATCTTCCTCTGATATTTTCCGTCAAAATTTTTACCAGCACTAGTTGTTGCATTGAAGAACGGCGGCAAGTCTGTTGCTATTCTGTAACCGGTGAGTTTAGATAGAGTCAATGTACCGTTTTTGGATAAGTTCTTATAAACAAAGTTAAAGCTAGAACTGCCGGGTAAAGAAGGCGAGTTAGAGAACGACGAAGGCTTTTCTTCTTCAATATTATGACTTTTGAGCACAATTTTGCCGGGTTGTAACACTGAATCTTTTTTCTTTTTTTCGTTATCGTGTTTCTTGGATTTAAAATCGTTTTTGAAGTACGCCGATTTCGATGAACAGCCGCCACTGAAGGATCTCTCTCTCATCTCACAACCATCGCCTTTATCTCTATGTGACCACTTTCGTTTACCGCAAAAGGCATTTCTAAAAAATATAAAATCAGTAAAGTTTACAATAATATTACACAAACGAGGGCAATCTAGATTAAGTATTAAAAAAATAAACAATATTTATGACGATAATCTATGCTTTTTAAAACTATTAACTAGTTTATGCCGATTTATCTGAATAAAATACTTGATTATAAAAACGTTTAAAGAATATTAATTTATATGAATACAAGCGACTTCCTACCGCTTGTCTTGGTACGTGCGTCTTAGATCTAACAGCAGAGGTCTATATACTCTATAGTCTATATACTCGTCCAAATCCGATCAGCCGTTTCAACGTAAAAAAGCAACACCCATACACAAAGACATACACACAAACATTTGGTATTATAACACATCTAATAGTCAAATTATTATACAATATACATATTTTATTCTTAAATTGAGATATTCCAATATTTAAATTCCATACCAAAATATAAAAGAAATTGCATACCTTTCTTGTTTTTGTTTGCTACCGTGTAGTGACGGTGGAACACTCTGCGTCTGTAGAGTAATCGTAACTGGCAGGGCATTCGGCTATGAGAAACAATAATCAACTAACATTATATACCTATTATGTACCTATATTGTGAAATAAAAAAGTAATAAAATTTAATCTAATATAGAAATATCTTGTGTCACATTGTTAGTGGCCGCATCGTTTCGAAACGGCTCGACCGATTTTGATGGGGTTTTTTTTGTATATTTAGTAGGTATGAGACTACGTCGTAAAGTATTTTTCACCCTCCTACCCCCCTTTTTATTGTGATTTTAGTATTTTTATATGAACAATATTTAAATACATAGCGACGAACCCGAGCGATGCGAGGTTGAGTCGCTGTATAACATAAAGCCGAAGTTTTTTTTGTAGATTGAACGCGGGCGTAGCCACTGGTTCTGCTAGTTTAAATTTATATAATGTAAAATACGAATTACAAGTAAATTAAAAAAAAAAGAAAAAGAATTTGTCAGAAGTGGGATTCGAACCCACGCCCTCAGAGAGGACCAGAACAACTCGAACCCGTATGTACGGGCAAGGGAACCTTGAGTCTGGCGCCTTAGACCGCTCGGCCATCCTGACTGTTGTCAGCAGTGGCGAAATAGTTCGTCAGATCGCATTCGCATACACGATTTTATCTTTAGGAAATGAATATTTGCATTTTATATATTTATATTATTTTCAATATCATCGTAAAATAACTTAAAAGTAATTGTTATATGTATATTAATTTATGTTTTTTTGGCTTTATTACCTATTCAATATTTCTATATTTTGCAATTAAATGCATATTATGAGAAAAATAATTTAACTACTTTTATTATTTTTAGGACAAAACAAATATTATGTAAAAAGAAAATTAATTAAGAAACCTATTTCATTCATAAAAAAAGCCAACACTGTTATTTTATGCAAGAACTCATCTTTCACATAGTTACAAAATTCATTGGTTTCTTTACATGATAGGTACATTTTGTTTACAAATTACATAATTACAATGCAATAATTTTTATCAACTTTGATCTATCTTTTTTAATTAAGCAACAACCTTATTATTGTCAAACATAATTATTTAAAAAATAAATGGTTATTTATGTGTTACATTTAATCCGAATTCAAATGGCATTTTTAATATTTTGGAATAATATTAATTTAATAATTACTAACATTCCCAAATGGTTTTAATTTTAGAAAAATTCTCAATTAGTATTTATTTCAAATTTTTTAAATTTAGATAAAATGATTTTAAATCATTTTTTGTTTAGAAAATTTAAAAAATAAAGGTATAAAAATTTAAGAAGTCATTTGCTCAAGCAATTGCAAAATCAACAATGCTTCTGGATCCATAAAAGAATGTAATGAAAAATTTAAAGAATAAGGATAGTAGTATGCGTCATAGCAAGTTTCATGGCAAATGCACAGTCTTTAAGCCATTAGAATAATATGTAGTTCTATCAAATTATAATTATAAGAAAAAATATATCTTTTTTAATTAAAGGATAGTTATAAACCACCAATATAATAATCATAAACTAATTATATAGATTAATATAAAAACATGTTGGGAATACTGAGTTTAAAGTTTCAAATTCTTGACATTACTTATTATGTTTTAACATTTAATATAGATTTCTCAGAGATGAGATACTTTCCCACAAAAAAAACTATATTTGGACCCAGATAGCCAGCGGATAATACCAAATTCTATTGAAATCTATTCAATGGTTTTCTTGTGGTATGTTCCCAAACAGACAGATAGACAGACAGAAATTCTAAATCCTATGGATTTGGCCTCTGTATCAATCAATAATAATGACTATTTCAATAAGATTTTCCAAAAAATATTTAATGTCAAAAAAAATAAACAGATTCAACTCAATTTTATGTATATTTGTATCTATAATATTATAAAACTTTTAAATATTATTTGTAAAATAATGTAAAAAAACAAAAAATATAGCAAAATGGAAAATAAGAACATTTTCATTATTTCATTACTTATATTAACTTATTATAACAAATTAAATAAAATAAAGCACTAGAAATAATAAAGTCTTACCTCAGTGGTAACACTCAATATTTCAATTGGTGGGGATCTTTTTCCATCTGGATATTCAACTGGCATTTTTTTATACTTTCTCTTCCTTCTAGCATTGGCGGGCCGAGTTGGTGAAAAGTTTTCATTGAAAGAGTCCGATTCAAAATTTCCAATCTGACAGTAATGTCGAGATTTCAAATTTGTAGACTTATGTATATTTAATTGAGGATCATCAGAATCAGATAATGGTTGTGTGATGAGGGGTGCTTGCGGTGGACTACTTGAGCTCCCATCTTCTACCAAGCTTACTGACACTGCGGCAGCTGAAATATTACTAGAAATATATTGTAACTTAATATACCTGTAATACCTATCCTATTTATATTTTAAACCAAAATATTTTCTTTTTCAAAACTCTCACATTTAATAAAAATTTTGAATCTTGTTTGATTTAATATTTGCTTTAATTAAGATATATAAATTTACATAAAAAAGCTAAATAAGAATATGATTTTCATAATTAAATTTAGTAGTTAAAGTTTGTATCAAAAACAATCAAATTATTAATAGTTGGTATATCCTTTAACTACACAAAACATTATTAGATAATTTTAATATAGACAATTTATCTCCTAGCAGTATACACTACAATACTTTTGAACAAATTAATAAAAAGGTTTAACGAGATAAACTTTATAAACATTTACATAAGTAGTTTGATATATAATAATAATAGTTTATTAAAAACTAAATATGAGTTTCCTTTAGGTAGGTAATATTAATCTTACACTGTCATGATCTATGAAAACGAAATGTTAGTATAATATATATAAACAACTAACGCAGGTTCCCCGCAGATCTGGTCCGTCTTCGAAGGCCAATTTTGCGACGCTCCTGCCTGCCACAATTACTCTCTTCTAATGCCAGGTTTAAGTCATGAGAAAGCCTCTCCATAGTTTCTCAATACCATAACGCCTGATCCATTACCACGAACGACTTAGGTACGCATAGATATTAATCTAGAACTTACTACAAGCCCGGTAATACTTTGTTTACACCTTCATTTGCCCTACTTCCAAGTATCCTTTCACTAATTCTTTACACCGTTTAAAATATAATTCACATCATTTTCTTTAGAAATTAACGATTCATTTGTCATAATATATTAAAACAAGTAAAAAAAGAAATTAGGAATTACAAAACAATACTTTTTATATATTGGACATAGGAGCGTTCTATTAATTTCCTATTTTCCATTGTAGAATGTAGAAGTTAGTGCATTAACAGTATTATTTAGGTTTATGCGGTATTACTATTTATCGTAAATGTACAAAAAGTAATTTACACTTCAGTGTTCACAACTTCACACACAAACAAATATTCTATAATAATTATTAATCATCTATAATCTGCGCCAAAGAGAAAAGGAAAGTAAGTTACTGACTGCTGACATATTAAATAAAAATTAAAAATACGACGAACATTCCAAACACACAAGATGACACTATGACATTTTTTTTTTCTTAATTTTTCAAAGTGACTAATGAGTGAGAACTACAACTAAAAAAATGATCCACGTTATTTATTGACTCTAAAACCTAATATGTAATGTAAATTCGATCATGATGATGAAAACATTAAGTTATGATAATGTATGTCATTTTTATTCAGTTCCAATTTTATAAATAATAGACATTTGAGAATGTGTTCGTTTGTTTGTTTTCGATAGAAATATTTTTTACAAGGATGAAGGAGGAAATGCTCGTGTGGGTCATACGGTAATTTTATTGTGAAAAAAATTCTTTTTCCCACGTGATAAAACGCACCGCATAATGTAAAATTAATAAATTATATGTGATTACAAATGCATAAAAATACATGTCCAAGAAACATATTTATCATAGGATGAAATTATATATTTTGCCTATGTGTTACTAGACAACATATACAGTTCCTTTGAGGATTATATTTTTAGAAATTCGAATCGAATCGATACATTAGTACTCCGAACAATAAATTCATTATTCTGTAGTTAATACCTAGTACATTTATCTGAAATATTTGTAATTATTAGATAATAACCTTCACACTGAAACTTAAAACTAACTCGCTGATAAGTTTATAATTACTTACTACTAATATAGATAGTAACTACTCACAATTTTTTTTAAAGTTTTTCAATGTGAAGGTAGTTAAATATACATTTTTCAAATTATTATTCTTGATAAATATTTTGTGTATAATAAACGCTTTGAGACTTTAGATATTATTGTATAACAAATGATATAGAATTTATATAACATTCTTTTTAAATTTGAACGCAACAGTAAAAAATTTTAAAGCGTACATGTAGCCTGTGACCGTTGTTATACAACTGTCAATTTGTGCGCCAATTTTACGTTTATTTGAGCAAGTTTTAATAATTGTTTTTAAAACATTATCTGTTTACCAGGTTTGTATTATGTTTTATTAACTGTTATTTACCTATTTTTAATCTAATTATAAAGTAATATAACTCACTTCTTGTTGTATTTCTCAGTGTACCATTAAAATTTTATCTTTTAAAGAATGCTATAAACATAATTTTTGTTCAAAGCATTTTGTTTGTTTCGTGGTTTCTAGATGTGAATATATGATTTCTTAACGTAAATACTTTAATGACAGAGCATATTTAGATGTATTTTGTAAAAAGGTTTTATTATTAAAAGCATCTTAAGTGTAGATTCAACTTCCATCGCGATGACTAAATGAACATCTCTAGATGTCGTTCACTACTGCACTTTAAAACATCGTTCAGGTCAGTTATACTATTATTTTAGCCAGCCAAATGTTATCAAGCTTCGCTAATTTTAATTCTAATGCTTAAAATAAATTAAATCATTTGTATTAAATATCCATACATTCAATAATTATAAAAAAACATTTACATTTGAAAATTTAATAACATGCATAATCAATCATCATGCATCAATCTTCATTAATTATTTGAATTTAGCAATTTATTATCTTCTATTTATAAATTGTAAATAATATTCTTATCTAAATATATGAACAATAAAATACTATTTTTCTATATTTATAATTATAATTATTACTACAAAAGCCATCAAGCTAATTTGTATTTAAAATTATTTTCTCTATACTTCAAAAGCTTAATAATAATATACATATATATCATACCATTTTTATTGCAATATTCATAAATATAAGTGTTTCATTGTAATAACTATATGCTTATGTATATATATGTAAATTAAAAATGCTTGTAATTATAATACTGCAGTTGAAAATGTTCTTTGGGAATAGAAAGCAATGGTAGTGGCTTGTATATTGAAGTTTTAATGTAAATACTAAATAAGTACTTATGTTTTAGATAGTAGGTATCAAAATTAAATTTGGAAATATATAATTTATTTTAGAAAATTATATTATAAGAACACCTTTCAAACAACTGTTTGTTTTTTCAAATTTATAAACTGCTAAGTACATTTTATTATAATACCTTTACCTTCCATTGAATAGTTGTTACTTAAATCATTAAATATGATCATTTTAATAACACCAAATATTTAGTCTCCAGCTAATTGCCTTTTGCTTATTCTAGCAGCATATATGCAATATATTTTAAAATTTAAATACTACATAATATGTATATAGTTACTTAAATACTATAGGAAAGTGAATGTGGTCATTGGGCTTTGCCTTTTGAAATTTAAATTGACAGGCATCAAAATGAATAGATATGTTATAAAAATAATAATCAGTAAAATTATATATAATATTCAGTAAAAATTTAAATCCTTCTGGGATGTCCTGGCACATTTACTTAAAAGGATGTCCCAACAATAGTTTTATTGTATTTGAAAAATTCTTGTTTATTGATATATCATTTTAATTTTCAAATCTTATAAGGATTTTCTTCCATATAAAATTTGAATTAATTGAGCTAAGAACTCTGATAATATGTTTAAATATCATAAGACATCAATAAGTAAAGGTACTAATAAATTTTAAGAACTAAACAATATGTATATATGGTTTAAGACATTTATTTTCTCAAAAGAATTACAAAATATACTTTCAGAGAAAATACACAAATAAAACAAATATCTTGTCGTCGGACAAATCATTTCACAACTTTTTCACTATGAGTTATCTGCTTACCGAAACTAATATCACAAGAAACATATTTTGCTTTAATTTTATGAGTGTAAATTTAAATATGTTATACCAATATACATATTAAAAATTAAGAGGGTAGTGTTAATTGTTTTAATACAATAAGTAAAATAAAGCTTGTTCCACAGTACAAATGAAAGAGGTAATTAAAATTATAGTAATTTAAATTTTGCATAAGAAATATATATGTATGTTTTGGTTTCTTTTTTTTTTAGTTTTTAGTTTCGTTTTTGGATTGTATAAATTAGTCTGTTATACCCATTATTATTAATTTTGTTTTTTTAATCATTTAATATTATATTATTAGAATAAATTTAATCTTCACTTAATTTCATCACTATAAAATAATTCATTAATAAAATTGATGTTATTTATCAACTTAAATTAAAAATAAAAAGTATTTCTTTGTAATTGCACAATTCTCACATTGAATAATAACTGGGTATAGGTAATGGAGGTATCACCAGACGCGCCTAGGCGCACCCGCGCGGCTTTAGCCGAGATACCCGCGCGACTTGACCGTCTGCGTGTAACGCCTTTACGCACTTTAACCAATACTAGGGAAGTGTCACCGTCTCTCCCACCAGGATACTTGAGCCCTGCACCGTCTCCTGATGAGTTTCTCATTCAACAGAGAGGTTTGTTATTAAGAATAAATATTTGTTAACTGGGAAATACCATTAAATAATTTAAATTAAGTTTTTCTAAGTTTAAATTAAGTACATCACACATACGTGTTACACATTTTTTTAATAAATTAAAAGACTTTCATTTTAAATTTATATGGGTCTGCTCTCGAGGCATTACCTATTTAATGAAAAAAGAATTACAAAAATCAATTGACAATTGACGAAGATGTCGCGTAACATATACATATTAAACACTAAATCAAATAAACCGAAACCGTTTTGAAGTTTGAATAAAATTAAGTACATACTGACTGTTATCTTTACAGGTCGCAAGCGTCTCCCTGTGACATGGTCGCCGGACATCGACCTAAAGCGATCAACCTTCCTATCAACAGTACGTACACCACCGAAAAATACTCCAGGTAGGAACTCTCCTCCAAAGCTAGGTGTTACATTACGTTCTACACCAAGAAAACGTCTCCTATTAGGGGATATCGAACGCGTACCTCTAACCCCCGAAAAGATAGACTTCAGTGACTTAAGTACACCTCAGAAATTCAAAATTAATAGTCCAATTAAACTCACCCCACCAATAAAACGTATGCGTCTGGAAAAAACGTTCGACGGAGAATTTAAGGGTCCTTTAGACACCGCTTTAAAAGGGCTAAGTCCAACCCAACTTATCCATATGATAAAAAGAATCACCCACAAACACCCTGAAGTGGAGCAAGAGATACGTCAAGATATGCCCACACCAGACTTGTCGCCATTGGAAGAAAAACTGTGCTATCTTAAATCTAACATATTTAAGAGCTTACCAACTTCTCGTTTGACATCGAAAACCGATTCGCCGGCATACACCCGTGTAGCGACTCACTTGGCCGCGTTTAAGAAGTGTTTAGTTGAACAGGGGAAAGTGCTAGTAGAGTCACAGCATTGGGAGTCTGTAATAAAGTATGTTTTCTTGGCATGGTCTTATGTCCGAGCGACACCGGTTTGGGATAACCAACCCCACAATGCTCATCGCAAACAATGCTTTAAAGCACTCAATAATTTTTGTATGACGGCCCTCAAAAAGGGTGGCTTTACTAAAGATTTTATAGTCGATATCGAAGATAAACTACAAGGTATGGAGGCTGATAGTGAAGAAGTACAGTCTTGTATTAAATATGTTCAAGGGCTAATGCAAAATTAGCAATTTTTTTTACCTTGTGAATATTGCTCATTTCACATTTTAAAACATTCTGTAGTGGATGTTATGATACCAGTTTTATTATCAAAAATCGTTTAAGTATGTTATTAAAATAATTATTTTAATGTAATTTAAATTGTCTTCTTTAATCTTATGTACAATATTTCTGTTAGAATATTATTGTACATATGTTAATAATAAATTAATTTTATGATTATCAAATTCTTTAGTAGGATATTTTTTTAAGCGCAATGTACAATTCGAGCACCTTTTCAAAATGAATGCTTTATCTATTTATTATTGTTAAACATCAGATTGTATGTACACTGTAAATGTTTATAATATCATCAATCATAGCGGTCAAAAGTTTTGAAGTGTTTCCAAATGTCGATTTTTTAGAATAGATACATTTTTGTGTCTTCTCCATTCTACGTGAACTTGGTGAAGTAATCTGTTCTGAGCTGGCAAGTTTTGAAGCTATTAACAAGAGAATTGAACTGAATTAGATTAAATATTTCTATTAATTGTAATGAAAATTGGCCAGTGTTATGAAACTTCTTCATCCTATAGTGTTATTAAATTAATACAGTTTTTGATAATATGGAAGATTTTAACTAAAAATAAATATATATATATATAATCTGATGTTCGATATGTTATTATTATGTGCCTATTGAATTTTTCTTTTCCAGTAGATCGATCATGCTTAGAATATTTTTCTTAGATTATAAGTTGAGAATGCCAAATATGCCAGTCTACTTCTGCTTAGTAAGTAATATATTAAGTAACAGGCTATGAATGTGTTGTTTTAAAACGATTATTTTGATGTAAAATCGTTTTCAATTTTAATTATTTTAGTGATTTTTTATATAACTTTTGTATACTTTTTGTATACAAAAATTAAACTGAATATTGAAATTTTATATTATTACAGTTGTTTACTTATTTTCGTAATTCTTGGCGTATCATCGGCATGTATGTGTAGTTAATTTTTTTTAAGTTGTTTTTCAACTGTCCAGAAGAAAAGAAAATGAAAATGTAATTCGTTCGAATTTTAAAAGTGGCCTTATAATGTAATTGATATAAGTATGAATTGTGCCTTACTCGTAGCTAGTTTAAATGTGAAGGATGTTGACAAATATCCCGCGATATACCTCCCAGTTCGATGTTTGTTTAGTGTATAAGTGATTTTTTATTTTGAATAAATCATGTTTAAATTATTTTTTGTTTTATTTCCGTGAATTTTAAAACTAGTTTATTTAAAAAGCGAGTTTTCCCTGTGTTTAGCTAAAAGATCATCATCCTGCCCATTTCCTAAATTTCTAGAGTTTGACGCAGTAAGTCCATTTCTTCTTCCATACTGCTGACCGGTTTTCGCAAAAATTTTACGAACTACTTGGGACCTCTTTGGGAATGTTGTGTTCACCCGTCGTCGTACAAAATACTGTTTACACTTTACAAAACATATTCATTTTCGATCCTTTGAACATGAGAATCTTTTAAGAAATCTATACATATTTAATATATATATATCTATTGTGAGTCGAATCTGTACCTTAAATATTTTTTTAGAAATTCTTATTGAAATAGTCATAATGCCGAATCTATAGTTTTTAGTATTTTGTCTGTGTCCATCTGGGAACATCAAGAGAAAACCACTGGACAGATTTTGATGAAATCTGAATGTTAAAACGTAAGTAGGGACGAACCTGAGCGGAGCGAGGGTGACTCTCTAGTTAAATATTATATAATCTATATATATATAATAAAATTGTAAGTAAGCCGAACTGTACAATAATTTTTTTTTGAAAACCTTATTGAAATAGACATTATTATCGATACAGGGGCCGAATCTATAGTTTTTAGAATTTATGTCTGTCTGTCTGTGAAAAACCACTGGAGGGATTTTGATGAAATTTGGATTTTAATGATTTTTGGTAAAATGATATCTGGTTATCCGGGTCAACATATAGGAAACTTTTTATTACGGGAAAATATCTCATCTCTGAGGAATTTACAGTAAACGTTAAAATGAAGGGACGAACCCGAGAGCGAGGGTGAGTCGCTAGTATGTAGATATATTTGCTTATGTAATATGCTTAATACAAAATACTTTACGTCCAGCAGTTTCTTTTCCTTCACATAAATTAACTTACATTAAGGGTTCAACTAAGAAGAACTAATATTATTTAAATAATATTATTGTATTTAGTGACACAGTTATTTCTAAATATTAAATATACAACTATAATTTGCATTAGCAAATTAATTGCAAGATGTTTTTTATGTAATTAGAGAGTAGTAATAAGTAATTAAAAAAACCTAACTACCTAATTAAGGTTTATGGGAGTCTACCTAATAACAAATTAATTAATTATTGTTGTGTTATTTACTAATTGTTATAACTAAGTTTTGTATAAAAAGAAGGCATGCTATACCAAAATTATCAGTTCATTTCAATTCTTTGACGCGATTAAATCTAATTTAATAACTTGATAATGGAGTTCAAGTTGTCTGAAATTTGTTCTCTGCTAGGAGATCGCATTGAGCAATATAACAGTGTTGCAAAGAAACGGAGGATCGAAAGAGGTTAGATATTAAAAAAAAACATCTTATTGTATCGTTTTGAACTTCGACCAAATTTTTTTAATTGGTCGAAAGTTGTGTTGTATAGTTTTTATTTTGTTTAAAGTTTTATTTTTCTTATTTTAATTTTGTTTATTTAATAGATGTGTCTATTTTAGGAAGTACTGCTATGAAATCAAAATATGCTAGACTCACCTCAACACCAAATAATAATCTAAGAACATCAAAAGATATTCGTAAGTAATTGTTTAGTTTAATTTTACATGTAAATATAATAATTAGATGCATCAAGTCAAATATAAATGAAAAACAGCAATCTAGATCTATAGTTTTATTTATTTTGACTATTATTAATATTACTATAAAGTATAAACTAATATCACTATTAATACTAGGTATTACACATTATTGCAAAAAATTAACTAGGAATGAAAAAAAAATGAAAGTTAAAAAATCATAAATGCGAAAAATTGTGAGTGTGTCTGTGCGTTATGATCAATCAAAATGGAGCTTAAATCTTTACATATAATAAAATTGTAACTAAGCTGAATCTGTACATTCGATATTTTTTGGAAAATCTTATTGAAATTAACATTATTATCGATACAGAGGCCGAATCTATAGTTTTTAGATTTTTTGTCTGTCTGTCTGTTACCGCATCACAGAAAAACCATTGGAGGGATTTTAATGAAATTTGGTATGGTGATAGCTGGTTATCCGGGTCAACATATAGGATACTTTTTACCGCGGGAAAATGTCTCATTTCTGAGAAAAAATACAAAAACTGCAATGTAAGAGTATACTAATATGTAAAACCTAAGAAATTGGTTCTTGGTCATCTAAACGCGGGCGGAGCCGCGGACAATGCTAGTATTAAGTATATTTACAATTCGAAATGATAAAAATTCTTTTACTTCAAATTGGATTATTTTACCTAAATATATTTTTTTCTTTACAGACTTCTCAATACTAGAAACTCCAAACACAATAATACCTCTATCCTCTCCTGTAAGCTTTTCATCTGCCACCAAAGTTCCTACACGAGAAACTCCTATACGATCAACTCCCAAACGAAAAGTAATGCGTGTACATAAAAAAATTATATCACAACCAAAAAGGTTAATCTTTTATGACAGTGATGATTGTGAAGATTGAAAATGCCCCCTAATAATAAAAGTGCATTCATTTCTAGCTTGGGGCATAAACAACCAATCAAAAACATATGAGAATGACATAGGTGATTCTATAACATAAAAATTGAATTTGTCATTTTAATAGGTACAAATTTTAATTTTTTTATTCTGTAACGATTTAAGAAAGCTGTTTAGAAATTTTCTCGTGATACAATATTCTTAAGAATGTACGTTAACGAAAAATAATGAAAAAGTCAAATTGTAATTTTGTTAAAGAATTGTTACCTTTGTAAATTTAAATATTTATTAAATTAAGTATTTAATCCAGCTCTCGCACCTCTGTTATTTTTATGTGTTAATCATTTCCGACATAATTACCACTTGTCTTATGGTGAAGGAAAACATCGTGACGAAATTTGGATGGCTGAGAGAACTTAACAAGTTTTCGAAAGAAGTCCACCAACCCGCACTAGGCCAGCGTGGTGGACTATTGCCTGATCCCCCTCGTATTGAAGGGAGGCCCGTGCCCAGCAGTGGGACGTTAAATAGGACTGAACACAAATTATTTAATATTTATCATCTGTTACACGCATAGCTTATTTTATGAATAATTTAATTTTAATTAAGTTATTCTAGTATTTATATCTTAGTTTTAGGTCTTAATTCTAATGTAACAAATCGTCCAGTTATTTCTTACAATGAAATATAAATACATATATTAATATTCATTTATACTTCTCATTTCCTGTCACATAGAACCCTTACTAATATTATACATTAAAGCAGGACTAACTTGACTTTTTGAAAATGATGCTTTATTAGCCAGACTGATTTGGGCTACTTTTTATCCCGACACAAGAAGATATTTCTATTGGATATTAGTGTTACAAAAGTAGCCTCGGTTCACTAGTATCTGGTAATTATAAGGACTTTTAATTAAAATTATATTTTTAAATTATAAAGTTTTGACTTGTATCATTGCGATTTAGCTTTAAATTTTTTATTGTATAATATATTTACTTTTATTTTAATCTAGCGACTACATCACTTAGCTCGAATGCATCCCGGGGTGTCTTTTGCAATACATTTATACTGCTTCATTCCAAACCGCCGCGCCGCTTCGATTTTAATCGATTTTTAAATTAGCGCTGACAAAGCAACTTAACTGGCGGTTCTTTTCCTACTTCAATAGTTAAAGTTACTATGATTTCTGATAGCAAGCACATTTTTATCTTAATGAAAATATCCTATAGCACAATAATATATCTGTAGCCTGTCTCTATAAATACTTTATTTGCACTTGGCCTTGGCCTGTTAGTAAAATAATTTTTAGAATCAAATCAGTACCCACTTACAGAGATTACCTCCTGCTCATATATACGTAGATACCTATAAACTAAAAATATACCCAAGATTGATATATATACGTATGCAAAGTCTTTCACTTTAGACATAGTTATCCCTCTATCCCTATATGTATTAATTATTAAAAACTAACCCATTAATTATTGGAATTATTGGGTTTTGTATTTAAAACCGAACTGTAGTTCTTGCCCGCGGCTTCGCTCGCATGGGTGTTAAAAAACGTATGTGTTATTAAATAATTCTCCTTCTATACTGAAATCTGTTAATCTTTTACAAAAGATAAGATAAATCAGTAATACCTTATTTGCCTCTCTGTATAAATACCTTATTTGACCTTAGCCTTGGCCTATAAACCCTTAGGGCTTAGAGTTGACGGGCTTGTTATAAAGGCCGGTCGTCTACACACACGTACACTATGTTTCATAGATGTACTAAATGTTCTATAAAGAACAAAATAAATTTTAAATTAAATCAAACCCATCAATTTATTACATTACACAATTTATATGATATAAAAGATTGCGCGAGATTTGATCTTGATCTTGTCTCTGAGCACACCCTTCCATTTGATATCCGTATCAAGAGGGGTGCATAAAAAACAGTTTAAAGTATCACATCACGTATTCTTTCTTTATTTTGTTGATATCAAAGCAGAAACCAAGAATTTCTAGAGTATTTCAAAAAATGAGGATAATTTAGTATTTTGCTGTGCTATTAGTGGTGTAAAACATAAAGGCATCAAGTTAAATGCTCCAGAATGGTGACTTTTATAAGAATATCTATCTATTCTTCGAAAAGAAGCGCGAAAACTGTCTTGCATTTCAGCAATAAAGCATCTATACCTGTAGTACTAGTATAGCATTATATAATCTGTGCTTATAGTTTGCCTTAAAGAAGCTTATGCCACAGATCATATAACACTAGTTATGCTAACTTAAAAAGATTTTTAAAGAAAATAAAATGCACTGAAACCAAATGGTTAATTTACGGTCACAAAATCATATTATGCATACATCTCTTTATCAACATCTAATATGTAAAAGTTTATTATGACTCGTAAGGACCCTGGAAATTCATTTTCTAAAGCATATTAATTGTTTTCTAAGAAATCTAGGGGGCTACAGCAAGGAACCAGAACCATCAGGATTGAATCGTTCACTCCATCAAGACATAAAAGAGATAGAAAAAAGCTATCAAGGTAGTTGGGACATCACTATGGTGGAAGACTATTATATGGTGGAGGAGATGCTTGACTGTAAAATGGAATAGAGATAAAGCGAGCTTTATAAATGAAAACCGAACAAACAAAGCTTTTTATTGAACAAAATAGGTTTTTGTTTTGTTTTTTGTATACCTTTTTACTTTCATTTAAAAATTATACGTTAAAAAAACTTAGAATAATTTGAATTATAACTGTATATTATTTATTTTTTGTTTTACACTTATTAGTTATTTGTATTTGTTCGCGAAAAATTGCATATCTTCCCAAACATTTATATTAGGTAGATAGGTACTCTGTCTTAACAGAATTACAGTGAATTTTTATTTGTGTACTGCAGGTGTCGTGTAGATGAAGTAGAATGAGGGTTGTGTTTGATGATGTTGATGTATGATTGACGTAGTGAGTGGCGAAGTTGTATTTGAGTAGTTTGATTGGTTGAGTGTATAGCTCGATATAATAAAACATAATAAAGCACCTTATGCTAATGGCAATAAGGTTGAGGTTTGATAGGAAATCTGGCGTCGATAGCTTATTCAAAGTTCAAATAAAACACCATTTATGTATATCTGGTATACGTGGTGTACCTGTAAGTATATCATACAAAAACTATTTTATATTACTTTATACTTTAAGTACAATTATAACAAATATTGATAGTTTTAGAAAAAAAAACTTATTTCGCAGAACTGTGCTATTATTGCCAACACCAGATTAAAATGCAAATTAATTGTAAATACAATCAGTGCTTGAGATTAAATACTCTGGAGTTCTACTTCGATTCGTATCGCCCTCCCTAATTCGTGCCAAAAAACTCATCAAATGTCTATTCTTTTTTTCGGAGACTGTCCCGTTATAAAACTTGTCATTTTGAATTGATTTTAGTTTTCACTAACGATAAAACTCTGTTTTAATCGATAAGCCGCTTTAATAGTTTTACCGGGGGATTCCGTTCAGAATGTACTCAGAAGTTGATAGGCGGGCGGTAAACTAAGTGATACAATTACAAAAATAATAATGATTTATCTATCCACAAAATTACAGGCACTTCAATTTTACAAAAAAATATATATATAATTATAAGTAGGTATACCTACACGGCGCGGCGTTCAACCTCACTGAATCGAGCCATAATAAATTATTATCGGATTTAGCATCATCAGCGTGATGGACTATGGCCTTATACCCCCTCGCCTTGAAGGGAGGCCCGTACCCAATGGGACGTCAATAAGGGCTGAATATATACTAAAAACAAACCGTTTAATCAAGCATAAATTTTATTAATTTTTGTAGTGAAAACTTCTATAGACAGGTTTGGATATGGAGTAAATTCATGTAAGTCGTCATAGACATGGTCACCAGGTCACGTGACGTGTAAACGCTAACACTCAGAGTGCCGATAGATGTCAAAACCAGATACATGTGAACAGTTTCAATTTACAAATTTTTATATCGGCAGTCCTCATGACTGCTTTTTTTATTAATTAAATGTTGTGTATAGATATTATAATTGGACAACAAATTTAAAATGATATTTTAGTTATAATTTAGATTTTAATACGTAGTTGTAATATTTTTTTAATTTATTTTCTGTTTCTGTAATACATATTATAGTGCACAAGTACACTTTATGCCTTTCAATTTCAAATTCTGTTGAGGTCATAGATTTATACTCTACATCTACGTTTGCCTGGTTGGGCCGTTACTTCTACACGACCGGTGAGAGTTAGTTAGAGAGCTTTACGTGCTCTCAAAGGCACATGGATGTGACATTCCCTACTCCGGACAACTGAGAACTTCTTAACAAAACTCAATTACTCACCTTGGTCTGACCCGGGACTCGAACACGGGACTGGAACCAAGGATCTCTGAAAAACTTCAAATTACTCATTAGTATCTTATAACATGTAATTTAATTAAAAAAATATCTAAGAAACTATTTAAAACTTGTTTTATGTACCTAGTCTTACTGATTACAGTTTTGACATAAAAAGGTACTTAACGGCATCGTAAATACTACGTTCGAATTGTGTTACAAAATAAAAAAAAAATCTGTAGGCTGTTTGCAATACAAAAAAATAACTTTCATTTATTTATTAGATTGTGGGCTTAATTTATGTAAGAATTTAATAAAAGAAAAAAAAGAAGTAGGTAAATAGTCTAGCCTCCATTATAGTCAAACTAGTCTCAATTATATATAACAAATTATAATAATTAATTAAATTGTTTTAATTAAGTATATTATTTAATCTTTTTATTTACAATTAAATTGCATGTAATGTATTTTATATTATGTTATTGTATGTAAATAGTGTAGCGAGTAGTGGCGAAGGCTAGTGAGAATAATTATAAGATAATTTAAAAAGAATACTTTTTGAGTATTTGTGTTTACCCCACCGTGTTACTTTTCGCCCAAAGAATGACATATAAATAATCACATTATATATATATATATATATATATATATATATATATATATATATATATATATATATATAATTATATATGTATATATATATATATGTATAAGTATATATATAATGTGTGTGTGTGTGTGTTTGAACTCTGTGTGTGTAGTATGTATGTTTGTACATATGTCCAATGCTATGTTTTTGTTTGAATAGCCGGTACTTCAGTCAAACTTTCGAATTGGAATTTGGAATTTTTAGATAACGTTGGTTTAGTAAGTACCTAACACGAGTACTCTTCTTTGAGTAGATGTCTTATATATTTTAAGCTTTCTCTAAACTATTATAAAACGTACAACCAGACAGACTTCGTTTTTAAATATTATTTTCGTATAAAGATTAGTATTTGTTTCCTACTTAAGGAATTAGGTAGTTATTGTTTTTAAAACGAAATGTTTGTTTCGTTACAAACGAATATATTATATAAAACCTAATATCACTCGCCGTCAGTCGTCTGCGCGATTTCTTATAGATATGTCTTGTATTGAGTTTACTGTGAACGGACGAAAATGTTCAGGTAATAGTGATGTGTAAACTCGCGTATTTATGTAATTAATTAATAAATATTAATTTTACTATAAAAAAACTTGTGCAATGATTTCGTGGGCTATATAAATTTTATTTTATTTAACAAGAATTGAAAAAGTGCTTCCATTGTGGCTTGTTCTATAAACTAGTTTTAAAAAAAGTGATGCTAATTTTGATAATTTAGAAGAAATTATAAGAAAAGGAAAACGCAAAAACTTTCCACTCTAATCTAGATCTTATTTTGAATTATGATTATACATATGTAAAAAAATATCAGAGATTTCCAGGGCCCTTGCAAGGCGCTCTACCAAGTTTATATGTATTTTATAACTTATTTCGAAGCACCTGACCACAATCCAAGCGGAAAGCAAGCCAGGAAATCTTTTAAGTCTAGATTATATTTAAAAATTCTTTCACACAAGCTATTTATTATGTATATTTACACTCGAAAGATTTTCTTTGTCTGAAGGAATTGTGTTTAATTGTGCTTTACAATTTTTGTTTAAAATATTTATTTTATCACTTTCATACGCTTTTAATTATATTATTGAAAATATTTTTTTCAAACTGACTTTTAACTCTACCTTGCGTTTGGTAACATTTTTATTTTTTAGGTAGTTTCAGAATACATACTTCAATAAAGATTATTGGTTTAGTTAGATACCATAATACCTATTTGTTTTGTTTTTGTTAGTTTCGCTTAATTAAATAAAACGTACCTAAACATTAAATATTACTAAAAAAATTAATGTCTAATTGGATGTAATTTAAATTATTTTTAACTTCCCGGAGCCAACTACTTAAATATAATTTAAATAAATTATATATCCTTCACGTACTCGTTATGGTTTAAAAAAAAGATTGTCGTTTCAGTCGTTTGCGTGTGATTGCCGTTACAATGCCGCAATAGACTAAATAATGATAGCCATTAGGTATCTACTTGCTGTTTCGTTATGATTATCTTAAAATGATATTTTTTCTTAGAAATTTATGAGATAAGTACGTATATTTTCAGAAAAAACTCACATTTATAACAGTATTTTTTATTTAACGAAACTTATTTTTTTATATGAAAAAAATTTAATTGTTGAAATTATTAATTTAATTTATTCGGCGAACTGTTTATTCACCGAATAAATTAAATCGGCTCCGAAATTTGTGAAGAACAATCATGTACGTAAAATCTTAGTAATTCATCAAAGCTATTTACACGTCATATTTGATGCTAGGAACGATCCTCTAAGCTCTATATGTAGTACCTATTCAGCCCTTATTGACGTCCCATTGGGTACAGGCCTCCCTTCAAGGCGAGTGGGAATAGGCCATGGTCCATCCCGCTGGTCAATGAACAGAAAAGATTTTTTTTTTCACGAAGTTTTCCTTCACCATAAGGTAGGAACTAGGAGGGGAGGCAGTGCTAGCCCAGTGATGACGCGCACGCTTGTGAATACGAGTGAATCAGATTCAAATCTTGAGTCTTGGGCCTATAATATTCTAGTATATACTAGTCATTTTCTACATGATTATTCATTCATTTCCATTACGGTAAAGGGAAGTCTCCATTACCTACAGGACACAGGTATTATTTAATCGGTGGAATATAGATAACACTGCAATAACTTTACAATTTTATTACTTTAATATTAATATTATTGTATCCAAAAAACTAAACGAGTTACACAGGAAACGGTTATTATTTTATTATAATGAATGCTTATCTTGTTAAAAATGCGATACAGTCTGCTGTGAGAGGTAGGTACATTATTATGTATAATATGGGAGAGTATTGCCATTTACTTTATGCAACAACCTTTATTATATAATTAACTAGCGACTCAACCTCGCTTCGCTCGGGTTCGTCTCTAGCTTGCTTCCCAATACAAACTCATCCCCATTTTTGCACCCTTAAGGGATAATAAAAAGTATCCGATGTCCTTCCCAGAGTCTCAAACTATCTTCTTACCAAATTTCAACTAAATCAGTTCATTAGATCCAGAGATTACCCCCTACAACGCCACAAACTCACAATCTCACAAACTCACAAACTTTACCCCCCTATAATATTATTAGTATTAGTATAGATTTATATATTTTTTTCAGTAAACAATCAAACAAGTCGCGATACGACATTGTTCGCGTTCCTCAGATATCACTTAGGCCTCCCTGGCACAAAGGCCATGTGTCACCAAGGAGTCTGCGGATCGTGTATAGTTAACGTGTGTGCTAGAAGACAGACGACTGGTGTCATTGAAACTTTTTCTGTAAATTCTGTAAGTATAACTTTTTTTGTTTGGACGCATCAACGATTGACGACACGTTTGGCTCAGTTTGTAGTGACCCTACTTGCTGAGCCAGCGGTCGCGGGTTCGAGTCCCGCTGGGGGCATTCATTTGTGTGACGAGCACGAATATTTGTACTCCAGTCATGGGTGTTTATATTTATAATATGTATGTAAAGTTATATATGTGTAGTGTATCAACTATCTGGTATTCATAACACAAGACTCGTAGCACTGTTGAAAAACACCATAGACACCAATAAATATGTATTGGTTTCTATGTGGCTTTTGTCGCTTTTGATTGGATCCTATTGGATTTTTTAAATAGGGAGCTTACCATGGAACTAGATGGTGCTGTGTGTTATTGTCCCAACATATTTATTTATTTATTTATACTTTATGAATGTCAATATTGACCGTACACTTGCTGGTTTGGAATTGCTACCTATGTAAGTTTAATCTTCCCTCTGTTATCGGTAATAAGTAGGTATTACTCATTAAAACCATTAAAAGTGTTTATGTTATTAATAAAACTTCAAGGCGAGATCTAATTTTGTACATTCTTCTTAGGTACCTAATCCACTATTAATTTGAATCCTATTTGCATGGTATTTAATTTTGTCATCCGAAAAGTAATGAACAAAAGATATTTGGAACAAGCGCATAATTTCAAATTTTGCGCTTCTATTTGTGGATACTTTTGAGAAGCTAATTGTCTTGAGTTTTTGTATATCAATGATTGAGTACCTTTTTTTCCTCTGTTTGTCAAATTTTTTATTGATTCGTGGTTATTGACAAGTTTTAGTGTTATCACATTGCTGTACAAAAATATTATGAATAAAAATTGTTTTGTAAGTTAAATATATATGTTTTCCTCAAATTGTAGATTATGATTTTGGTAGAATTTGGGCCACTGGGTGAACATTGGGTTTAAAGGTTGTCTGTAAGAGATAATAAGGTCGTTGTCTGTTTTTATATCGTTACGAATATTTTTTAAATTATAATAATCTTACTACTTTATAAATGCAAAAGTTTGGATGGATGGATGTTTGTTCTCAATCATGCCAGAACGGCTGAACGGATCTGGATGAAATTTGGCACAGAGATTGATTATAGTCTTGGATATCACATAGGCTACTTTTTATCCCATAACTGCCTCGGTGGTTAGCATGTACGGCTGAACACCCGGAGGTTCTGGGTTCGAGTCCCGTGTCGGGCCAAGTTTAGTTATTGAGTCTTTCTGTATATTGAGCCTCAGTAACAGCCCGGAGTTGGGAAGTTGGCGGTGATTTGACGACACGTTTGGCTCAGTTTGTAGTGACCCTACTTTCTGTGCCAGCGGTCGCGGGTTCGAGTCCCGCTGGGGGCATTCATTTGTGTGATGAGCATGAATGTTTGTACTTCAGTCATGGGTGTTTATATTTATAATATGTATGTATTTAAAGCTTTATATGTGTAGTGTATCAACTATCTGGTATTCATAACACAAGTCTCGTAGCTTACCATGGAACTAGATGGTGTTGTGTGTTAATGTCCCAACATATATATCCCAACATTCATCACCGTGCCTCGGAGAGCACGTAAAGCCGTCAGTCCTGCGCTATGAGAGTGACAGGAATAAAGAGTGCACTTGTGTCTGCGCGTACACTTGTGCACTATAATATCTCCTGCGCAGTTGGCTAGTCTCAATGAGATTGGCCGCCGTGGCCGGAATCGGTCAGGAGAACATCACTTTTTATCCCAGAAAATTGTACGATTCCCGTGGGATAGATTTGTTTTTTATTTTTCACTAACTAGCTTGTAACATATATAGCTAAAAATAAAGCAGTCTCCATTTACACACACGAAATGTTTGACTATTTATTATTTACCTAGTGTCTAGTACTGGTGTTCTCTTGCCACGGATGGGATATAACGACAGTCGAAGGAGTCGGAAGTCGAAGTGCTGGATACAGCGAAATACAAAAACGAATAGCTTCCTTTAATGGTACCCAGTGTGGATACTGCACTCCTGGATGGGTTATGCAGTTATATAGGTTAGTGAATGTTTTATTTTTAAATTGTCAAGAAATCGAATCTCTAGACTCCGTCGTAGTAGAATATATCAGTCAGATACTAATGTGTTATGGCGCGGTAATCAAGTTGAATGTTGTATAATGTACTTAATATGTAAAGACATATTTTGTTATATTGAGTTTTTACAGTCGATGATATAATGTATACGTTATGTAATTATTTCTTATGAATAATTTAAAAAAAAATTATTATAGATAATAATCGAAAGTTGAAGTTGAATAAAAGTGATTTTAGTATTTTTATTTAATGTTATTATAAATAATAATTTAATTGAGTTTAATGGACGATTTGTAAAATAACTTGTTCGTTGCAATAATAATAGGGATTAATAATATATATATTATAGGGATTAATATATCATCATCATCTCCCTGCCCGTTTCTTGATTATTTGGGATTGTCGCTGTAAATCTTTATTATTCCTTTAGATTCCGATAGGATTTGGCAAAAGTTTTACTACCGGCCGCCTGCCTGACATCAACCCTCCTCGGGAATAATAGATTGTATTTATTGGAATTACAATATACGTAATACTAATATAATGTTTCAAATTAAAGTGTTGGAAAAATCCAAGTAGCTTTCGAGTTTGTCAGCAAATATTTACTATGCAGGGAAGCCACCACAAAAGCTACAACCAAGAAATGATTTTCATATGAGATGAATGGTTCTTTTGCTTTTATTAACCCCCGACGCAAAAAGAGGGGTGTGTAAGTTTGATGCCGATGTCTGTCTGTATGTGTGTCAGTCTGTGGCATCGTAGCTCTCAAACGGATGGACCGATTTTGATGTGGTTTTTTTCATTTGAAAGCCAGTTTCCTTGCGGTGATTCTTAGCTATGTTTGGTTAATATCGGTCTAGCAGTGTAAGAGTATCAGATCTTTTCCAAAATGATGTAAAGCATGGAGTGTGATTACTTGATTAAGTGCTTCACGCGTGCCAGTGTATTAGTTAAATGACAATTAATTTGCGTAGGGGGTTTTTTAAATTTTTCATTTATAATTATGTTTTTATAGCATGACATGAGATTTTATTTTTCAAATGCATCTAGCTGGTGGCGTACAACTATTATGCTTACTTCTTGTAGCGAGAAGCCTTAAGCTTAACAGTTTACACTGTTTGTATTACTAGATCATTTTAGATAGAGCCAGATTTAGAAGTTTGGGGTCACTGCCCACTGGCAATAACGGAAATAAGGAAGTGAAAGCTATGAATTTTATAAGCAAAGAAATAAATAAGATTACCTTATTTTTAGTCTACAAAATTTACAGAACCGAAAAATAGATTCAATTTTTTTTTCGAATTTTTAAATTTTCGACTGTAACAAGTTCGTAGATAAATATTTTCTTTTTTCTTTCATTGAACTTTATTAATGCTATTATTCATTTTTCATTTAAACCTTATTTTTCATTATTTTTTAATTTATATTTTAATTTTACTGAAAATGTTGTACTGAAAATAATTGAAATGTTATGTTAAAACCAAACCATTGTATTACTATATTATTTGAACAGGTTTGATTTTATTTGGTCAAGTGATCAATTAGTATAATTTAAATAAACATTTTAACAATAACAGATAATTCTTGCGCAATTTTCTTTTCCTTTATGGTATACTAAGACCTTTATAAATAATATTCAAATTTTATTCTGGTCTTTCAAATATTGTAGTCTTTAAAATATTGGACTTAAAAGCTGTAATTTGATTTTTATTTGCGTTAGAGTTTTTCTTAAGGTATAATCAGGAGATTTAGCTAATTTATCGTCACCACATATTTATACGAATGTTATAAAGAGACAGAGTTTGTTTGAACTACTAATCCGATTTGAAAAGTTCTTTTTGCATTAGATAGCCCGTTTATTGATGAAGGCTATAAACTATCATCCCGGAAAAATATACGGTTCCCGTGGGATAGATTTGTTTTTATCTAGGGACGAACCCGAAGTGAAGCGAGGGTAAATCCCTAGTAATGTCATAAAAGATCTAAAATATTACCTTTACTAACTTAAATTGTTAATTTTAATATTCGCATTAGGCCCGACATATTCAGTACACACATTTGATAAAGTATTATATTGCAGATACTTTTACTACAGATAACCTTATGATTTAAAGTAGTAAAATGAGCCAATGTCTTAAAATCAAACCAGACCTGCCTTTAAGTCAAATATATAATAGAAATAAAAAAATCGTTACTCATCATACTAAGATCGCTAGTGAACGTGGTGAATTGGTTATAAATAATTAGAGATATATACGAGTACATAAATATTATTTAGAATTATTTTTCGCTTTCTGTTAAGATTACATCTTTATTAAAGTCATGTCCTCTAGGTAGGTCTTAAACAATTATACTTATCATTGTGTATTCAGACCTTCAGGGCAATCTTTCATGCTTCTTAAAGCCTATATGATTAACACCTCCAGGTAAATTTCTAAGAAATTAATTAAAATTCTAAGAAATCTATTGTTAACTGACACGCCGGCGTGTCTGCGGTCGTGGAGGAATTAACACGGATTTTGGTTATTTGTTGTTATATATTACCTTCACACAACTACAAATATTATTTTGCAGTCTTCTACCAAAAAAGTTAACCAAGGCGGAATTAGAAAATTCTTTTGGCAGCAACACATGTCGATGCACGGGGTACAGGCCTATATTGGACACCATAAAATCCTTCGCTATAGACGCTGATCCACCATACATCAATGATATCGAAGAAATTTCCACTTGCCTTAAAAATAAAACCAAATTATGTGAAAGACGTTGTTCTATGAGTAGCGATTGGAGTGTTGTCAGTAATGGGAAAAGTCTGAATGATATGATAGTACTAAATTTTGGAGGAACTATGTACTTAAAAGTGTTTGAGGAAGAACAAATTTTTCACGTTGTAGAGACGTACAACATCAATCCCTACATGCTTATTGATGGGAACACTGGAAAAGGTGATTTTTATTATATATTACATAAAACATGTCTGTACATATGTATATAATGGCCATATTGAAAGATAGTGGTCGTCTAATTCTAACTTATTGAAGTTGGTGGAAATAAGTAATTATTTGACTTTGAAGTATTATTTAAAGAAGGATATAACGCGATGACCTTTAGTAGTTGATTGCCAACTTCTGCTAGTCGTTTCCTACGCGTGTTTCTTTCCAATTATTTGGTGAAATAAATGGTACTAAATCTGATGTCATGTTTTTTGCTTTTCGCAGTGAGAGTTTCGAGTTTTTTGTAAAAGCAGAAAACATCACACCGGATTCATATTTGACTCCGGATTCTTTCTTAAAGAAGTCCATTTTAAATCCATCGAAATCTGATGCTCTATAATCTATATGTATTTGTGGAAATATGCTGATGTTTTTGCATGTTATATAGTGCAAATTTCTTGTGCTCTTGAGAAAAAACACTATGTTATTTTTTTTACTTGTTCATACAGTTTTTAATTTAAAATGTTTCAGCTGTCCTAAAAAACTTCGAATATGCTTCAGTTTTGATAGACATTAGCGATGTGACGTCACTAAAGCAATACCATTTCGATCAGAACCTAATCCTCGGGGCAAATATCTCTATAGAAGACTGTATCGATATATTTAAAGCTATCGCCGTGAATACTAGCGATTTTGGATATTTAGAACAACTTGCTAAGCATTTAGACTTAGTTGCCCACGTTTCCGTTAGAAAGGTAAATTCAGAGTTTAGTTCAGCAACTTTTGTCGGTAATATTTTAATTTTTATTATTTTTTTGGTATTTTGACTTTTGAACTCGTCTTGATTTAACGCCGAGTTTAAATTTATTTGACTATAATCACGAGTATTCGAATAATTCGAAATTCGAATTTGATTACTCTCATCTCATCATTCAACTTAGTACGTAGCCAACGAAAAACGTGTTACGTAGTAACGTAATATTTTTTAATTACTTTGAGCAATAAAGTACCGCCCTTAAAATTAATAAACACTAAAATAAACACGTATAAAGTTCAATAACAAATGGCAGAAATGGTTCTATTGAATGTGTATTTAAAATAACTTGAGTTCGACAGGTATCTTACCTATAATAAATATGATAACATCATGATTTTAAAATGCTTATTTTGAAGCGAAAAATATTTTATGATTTTATTTTCAGATTGGTTCGTTAGCTGGTAATTTGATGATAAAGCACACGATGCCATCTTACCAATCAGATATTTTCCTGATTTTCGAGGCGGTAGGAGCGATGATCAATATACGTAAGTTAGCAACATATATTATATAATAACATTCTTTTTAACGTTGGGAAATGCATTTACGCACGAGGTGTGGAACTCACCGGCAAAGCCAGTACTACCCACTAAAACCCAACAAAACCTTCCCCCGTCCTAATGGGGCGTCGCAGGATCGCTTACGCATTCAAGTACGACGCCCCGACGGCAGGTCTGCCGAAGCAGACCACCACAACCATGGGGTTGCTTCAGGTCCACTCTGCTATCAGAGAAGTACCAGGAGCAACCCGTATGGTACACCGGCCACCGAAGAGGGCCACCTCCCACCGCCCACCGAAGTGGGCATCAAATCCCTGTGCGTTTCTTAGATTCGCGCCCGGCTGGATTGCCGGGCACTACTGAGCCTCATCCACCACGACAAGGTGAACGCACGTTGGGGGGGATGTATAATAATGTTAGGTTACTAGCAGTCAACCTCCGCTTTGCCGGTTTGTTTATTGTTTATATTTGCCACTAGAAACGTATTGTCATTGACATATTATTATGTAAATTTCAAGATAAAATCGACGTCTTTTATAAAGTGACTTTGAAGTCGGTGTATTTATTAAAGAAATTGAAATTTTTAACTACAAAAGTATATCTTTTTTAGTTAAAAAAAAATTGTGAGGAAATTGTATAAACACAAGACAATCATGATGTTACAAAAGACGTGTATCTTTCTTACTAATACTTTTTTTTAGGTTTTACGTGAATATTTGACATCTACATTATATATAAAACCAAATCGGGTTAGTTACACCATTTATAACTTATAAACGGCTGGACCGATTTTGATGATCTTTGTTTTGTTGGATTTGTCTCCGCCCCGAATAGCTGAATAACTATTAAAACATCGGAAAAATGAACTTTTTTTAAATTCACATGGCCAACGCTGTATAATAACTATTTATATCTATTTTAAATGTATTGTAATTTTAAATAAAAACTTTTCGATTTTTTTCGATTTATTTTGAATTTTGGTTTTCTATGTTTCGAATACTTTACAGCGAAGTCACGGGTCCTCTCTTTTTTTCTTAATGCATGTTTTTCAACCATGCAGTTACCTACGTCATACCCTACCCGCCATAACCTATAGCGAATAGTGATAATAATAGTGACAAATACGCAGTACCTGAGGAATAAATTATAATTTACAAATACAAAACTACTTAATTCTAATAAACTAGAAAACGATAAAACAGTTTTTGTTACAAAATTATTCTATTTGGACAATTAGATAGAAAACATATAATACACGTACTCAATTTAAGTGAATGTAGGGTCTTAATAAATTATAAAAAAAAAATGATTGCGTGACAGCGACCTAAAATTGAGGGGAGAAGTTACCGAAGAAAAATAGTTAGCAGACAGTGCAGTGCAAACATACATTTTCAGTTCATACCTACTGCGAGTCTAGCTACGTGCATTCACGTAGAGACACACATATCTATACGATATATGTAGTTATCAGTTCGAACGTTTATGTAGTTATCCATTCAACTAAACTGGTTTGTTCTTTTATAAGAATAATATTTTTCCGTGTCTATGAAAAGTTAGTTATTTGATATATAACTTTTAGTGGAATAAATACTTGTAGAATCGCCACCTCACAATCGACATCTTCCAAATATATAAAAATGGTCTGATTCGCACATCAAGGAATTCTGTAGAATAAAACATTCAATTTGTTTTATTTTATTATACGATTTTTACCGTCGAACACGCGAAATGGAGGGGTAGGTTTAAAATAATTTTCATTTAAAGAATATGAGAAGCTCTATGAGCGCTTTAAGATAAGGCAGATATGGCGAAATTATAAGGGTTCTATTTTAGTTTTCACTTTTTAAATTGTAAATTAAGCGAATGTTATCTAAAAGTACGTTATATTTATCTGTGTATTAAAGTATACAATATATATATATATATATATATATATATATATATATATATATATATATATATATATATATATATATATATATATATTTATCTATGCACTTATGTCGCAGATGGATTGTCGAATCCGCTATTATATAAAACCTCTAGTTGTTTTACATGTCAGCTGTAATATACTTATGTAAAACAACTGTACGACGTTTAGCTGGAATGCCATTGCGCTAGTAGTTTTGGATATATTTATTAGATACATTTGATTGCATACTAATTAATATTATGTTCCTTGGTCAACTTGTTCTCCGCTTTTTAGTTCGCTTTTTTCGCAGTTACGTTTTTTTAGTTTTGTAAATAGTTTATTTCGTACATAGTACCTACACATAAATAGATAACAGGTTTCTCAAACAAATTAATTTTATTTTTCATTTTACTTCAAATTCATTATTTACACAGACAATATAACCTCGTAATGTCTGTGATTATTTATAATGGAATTTAATCCCTCCACGACCGCGGATACGCCGGCGTGTCAGTTAACAATAGATTTCTTAGAAATTTAATTAATTTCTTAGAAATTTACCTGGAGGATACATAATTGATTGGGTACTTTTTAAACTTAATTGCTTATAGGTGCATTTATGATGTCGTGTGTCTATTTAGGGCAATACTAGTCTAGAATTTTGAGCTGATGTTTGGCCGTCCGCCCGTCTACCTTAAAGTCATAGTTATTAAACCGATATTGATGTGTGTCGTTTAATAGATCTGGATAGATAGATAAGCAAATCAAATCAAAATATACGAGTAAAAAGAGCTGTCTAAAAAATTTTAAACGATATTTGTGTACTTACAGGCAATTCCCACGGCGAATCAAGCACATTGAGTTTGCCCAAGTTTCTGAAATTTGATATGAATGATAAATTGATTGTAAGCATACAGGTACCGCCGCTTGGGTCTAATCACATTTTCAGGAGTTATAAGGTAAATAATAATAAGTACTATGTACATTTTCTATCTATCAATAACATATAATAAATTGTAACTAAGCCGAATCTGTACATTTAATATTTTTTAGAAAATCTCATTGAAATAAACATTATTATCGATACAGATCCGCCAAATCTATAATTTTTGGAATTTTTGTCTGTCTGTCTGTGACCGTATCACGGAAAAACAACGAAACGAAAAAGAGGGTGAGTCGCTAGTACGTGTAATAAATTGCTTTTCTAACAAACATCACAACTTTTGAGTTATATTTTCTGTTTATTAGATGTAGCTGTTAAATTCTATAACTTTACAATTTTCTTACAATAGAACAGCACGAACAAAAAAAAATAAAGATTTAATTTTTTTTTGTAGAAAGCAATAGGTACCTTATTATTTTATATTTATTATAAAGTTTTCTTTGAAGTTGTAAAAATTACGAGTTTTCGAAGCATAGGTATGCAATAAATAGATTATAAACTCATTTTCACTGTTTTAAAGAAGTTAACTAGCATATTATAAAGGCTATAAATTAAATATCCGGTAATTAACTCATTTATTTGTACAGGAAAATGGTAATTATCATAAGTTACTGATAATTTATTACGTTACCAATTATTATTAGTTTTGTAGTGGTGTAAATAGTATATATATATATATATATATATATATATATATATATATATATATATATATATACTTATACTGTCTGTCTGTCGATCAGTGTTTTTTTTTAGAAAAACACATATATTTAGTACAGTTTATGTAGTTAGCAATTATTTTTTTATATTATAGATAATGCCAAGAAGTCAAAACGCATTAGCAATTGTGAATGCGGCTTTCAATTTGAAATTTAACTTTAGCACCAACGTTATAGAAAAAGCTACGATAGTGTATGGGAACATATCACCAGATTTCATCCACGCAACTAAAACAGAGAAATATTTAAGGAATAAAAATATTTTTAACAATCAAATATTGCAAGGCGCTATAAATGTGTTGAGTAAAGAAATCATTGCAAAGGACGAACCTCCTAAAGCAACACCAGAAATGAGAAAGAAATTGGCAATTGGTTTGTTTTATAAGGTAAGAGTTTTATTTACTTACGTTTTTTATGTGACTGGTAGGTACGCACATAAAATATCTAGTTACTAACATATAAATGTGACCAGTGGCAGCCCAATGGCAAAGCGTTTACTTGCTAAGTGAAGTGGGTTCAAATCCCGGGTATCGCACTTTCATCAGGAAAACATCGTGAGAAAACCAGCATGTCTGAGAGAACCTAGCGAGTTTTCAAAAGACATGATCAGTCCGCCCGCACTTGGCCAGCGTGGTAGACTATGGCCTGATCCTGAGCGCAGCAGTGGGACTTTAAAAAGGGCTGAATACATAAATATAAATGCATTAGCGCCTTTGATATATTGTCCTTCTATCACACGTCTACGAAATAACTGAACACCGCAGCCATTTTTCGCACGCTTTTAATAAATTCTTTTATTACTATGTATTTAAATCTATAAGTCAATAATAAAACACTTTTTCAGGGCAAGAGCCCTGTAGTATATAAAAATTTATATCAAAAATAATTTGTTATATAAATTGCGACACGCTTGCAATTTCAACCCTTACAATATTATTTCCAGTTCGTCCTCAGCATTTGCCCATCAAACATCATCTCCGCTATATACAAATCAGGGGGTGTCCCGAATCCTCGACCACTTTCCAGCGGACACCAAGATTTTCAAACAGACTCCTCACTATTTCCCTTAAATCAACCTTTAGATAAGCTTGAAGCTGTAATACAGAGTTCGGGAGAAGCGCAATATGTGAATGATATTCCGCCATTACCAAATCAAGTGTTTGCTGCATTTGTTCTGTCGACAGTACACGGCGGTGATGTGGACGTCGTTCAAAGAGATATTTTGGTGAGTGCTTTTATGGCAAATGTCCCGGATTGATGATTTATTTTTCGATTTTTCTTGTTTCGGGACGTTGAATACGTCAATATAAATATATGTTTTGATCAGGGCTCGGAAACCCGTTCAATGTTTAAACGGGTATTTTCATTGACCCCAAACCGAAAGGCTTTTTGGTTTAAGTTTCGGTTAAGTACTTTAACCGGTTTAATCCGGGAGAACAGTTATTGACAAATTTAGGTTCCATGAACAAAATATATATTTATATTTGGCGCGTCTTTGATAATGATAAATGTGTTAGTAGACGGATGCATGCACGTTTCTTACGTATCAATAAATTATCCGATTTATTTCGGTATCAAAACCGAAATCCAACCTTTCTCTAAGAATCATCGTTAACTATTATTACTTCGGTTTACTAAACCATTCATGTTCATTAAGTCCCTGGCTTTGATGTAAGCAAGTGATAATATTAATTTATTTTGTTGTCATATTATCAGTTTTAACTTTTTAGGTTTAGAACGAATTAAAATTATAAAGAATCGTCCTTACGTAGTGAAATATTGTACTTATAATTGGCAGTCACACTATGCTGGAAATCGCGACTTTGATAGTCGATACCAATGTAGGGAAAACTTTTCTGTGTTAAAAATGAGATCTGTATGTGAAAAACTCTGCGTAGTATTGCTAAGCATTACTCGTACTATATATCGAATTTTTGACATTATCTGAATGATAAGTTCGAAATGTAACTACCTATTTGCTTTCTGTATAAAAAAGGAATATTGAGGAATCATAAATAATAATTATTATCTGTTAACCACTAAGACAGTACTCATAAGATTTATATAACTTTCTCAGAAAATGGAGGGCGTCATTGCTTTGTACACCGCTAAAGACATCCCCGGCGTAAATTCATTCACAATCCCGGGATTCCAATTGCAAACGGAAAATGAGGAGATATTGGTGAATACAAATATTAAATATTACGGACAACCCGTTGCCATAGTCGTAGCCCGTACCCAAGATTTAGCCGCTAGAGCTGCGAATTTAGTCAAAGTTACTTACAAAAATGTTCCAAAAACTCCTCCAGTGCTAACCATAAACGAAGCGAAAAAGGATAGTAAGAGAGTGTTAACTGGCGATACGATTAATCCGAAGGGCAAAGGGACTGATGTGAAGAAAGTGATTAAGGGTGTCTTTGAAATAAAGGCACAGTATCATTATTACTTAGAGCCCTTAAGTTGTGTGGTGGTGCCCGTGGATAAGGGCTTGGAAGTGTATGATACGACACAGTGGATGGATCTCACTCAAGCTTCCGTCGCAAGGAGTTTGAATATACAGGAAAGCAAGTTAGTATGTATTTTTTAACCGATTTCAAAATTAGTAGAGTTAATGAATAAGTCCTAAACCTAAGGTTGGTGCTATATTTTTTTAATTTTTTTATTACTTTTTAAATTTTTATATTGAAGTTAATTCTCACTTTAAGGTGATAAAGCAATAATTATTGTTTTACTTTTAATAAAATTTTAATTATTTAAGATAATTGCTGCAACATTATCATGTATGTATGTATGTAGCGTGCGTTAATTTTTTGTAAATATTTTATATAGAACTAGCGACTCAAAATCGCTTCGCTCAGGTTCGTCCCTAGATTGATTCCACATACAAATTTTCATCCCCATATTCACTCCCTTAAGGGATTATTTATGGGACAAAAAGTATCCTATGTCCTTTCCAGGGCCTCACACTATCTTCTTACCAAATTTCAATTAAATCGGTTTAGTAGATCCACAGATTACCCCCTACAACCTCACAAACTTACAAATTTACAAAGTCACAAACTTTACCTCTTTATAATATTTGTATAGATTACTGGTATAATTTATATGCCAATGATGAGTTAAATTTAAATATTTTCGTATTTTCTAGTTTACATATTTGCACATAATAGGCGTTTATAAATATTCAATGAATTCAACGCAACATTTCCTTTAACGTAAATATACTTAGTTAATTTTGGCCAAAAAATAAAATGTGAAGACATAATTACTAACCAGTTTCAGAAATGCACTTTCATTTATGTATTATTATTACAACACAACGTACTTATTACGACAACGAAAACTTTACGAGCATAACACTTACGTTTACCTATCAGTCTAATTGGACTTCTTTTTGTAATCACAAACGAAATGAGACACAATTTTTGGCTTGTTTCAAAGTAGACTAAAACCGTTTTTTCTTATGACAATTCAATTTAATATAAATCTTTTCATCAATTTTGAGATAACGGTATTTTCTTTCCAAAATGGCGGTAAAGTTAACGGTTATTAAGTAAATTGTAATATCCCACCGTCGATGAAAATAACTCTCAACATCTTTAAAAAATCAACTCTCTAAAATTTTATTTTTTAAAAACCTAAAAAATATGTTTGACAAATTTAAATGTATGGGACTCGTCAAAACAAATGTTAAGAGCCCAAACCCTCGAGAGAAAAAAGCAATTAAATGTAAATGAATGAGGTTTACTAGTAGCCTCTGAAGAGTTGCACTATCCATATAATAAAGTACCCATATAATAAAGTATTGTCATCTGAACTACATATACATACATACAAAATTTCATTTCGACACCACAATAACAAATAGGTTAAAATTAACTTTCAAGATTTGATTTCATTGTTAGTTACAAGTGAATAAAAGCGTGTTAAAAATATATGAAATGTGTCTAACACGCAACAGCGTGCTAGTGCGCGTGCGCCGCATCGGCGGCGGGTTCGGCGGCAAGATCAGCCGCAACGTGCAGGTGGCGTGCGCGGCCGCGCTCGTCGCCACGCGCCTCGACAAGCCGTGCCGCTTCATACTGCCTCTGAGAACTAACCTCACTATTGCGGGACGACGTTTGCCCTGTCAGTGCGAATATGAGGTCAGTTTCGCCTTTCTTCTTATTATATTTTCGCTTTTTGATTATGTCACCGTAACCTTTTTTAAAACATTCATCCTTTCATGTTCTTGTACACCTTCATCACGTTACGTGTTACGTCACACTTTCTAGAACTCACCTAATTTTTAGATTCAAATAGTATGTAAGTTCTTTGATCAAAATCATATTGAACAAGAAAATTTGACCAATGAAATTTTACCATTTTCAATAACAGATAGGAATATATGAAATATTTTTAATTTAATTACTAAATATGCAATTAAGTAAATGTAACTGAAGATTTTTTTTTATTAAAACTTAAATAATAATCAGGTCGGTGTGGACGATGTTGGTAAAATCCAATATCTAAATGCAGTAATAACAGAGGACGATGGGTGTTCGCACAACGAGAATTTACTGAGTTACACTGCGGGAGGGTTCCCTAACTGCTACAATACTGATTATTTTAACTTGAAGACCTTTTCTGTGACCACGGATACACCTTCTAACACGTTTGCTCGAGCCCCTGGTAAGTTATAAGAAATAAGTTATAATTAGCTCAATATAAATTAGGAGGCTTAGACAATAGTGATAACAACATCGTTGAAGAATATAAAATAAAATTGTATTGAAATGATAAATTAAATGATAAATTGTTATCTGTGTCATCCCATAAGTATTATAAATATGAAAGTTTGGATGGATGGATATTTGTTAGTCAATCATGTCAGAACGGCTGAACAGATCTGGATAAAATTTAACACAGAGGTAGATTACTTTTCATACCTAATAAAAACTTATTAACAAAAAAATAAAAACCGACTTCAAACAAAAGCACTAAAAAGTAAAAAATAACTGATTGGTAGTTTTCATTTACTATACATACCTAATCAAATATTTTCGAAGTCGGTGTGCTTTGCTTTGTATGGGCTGGCACCAATTTCGAAAATATTTGATTAGGGTATGCATTTAATAGGTAGGCTTTAATTACTTAGCGAAAGCACACCGACTTCGAAAATATTTGATTAGGTATGTATAGTAAATGAAAACTACCAATCAGTTATTTTTACTTTTTAGTGCTTTTGTTTGAAGTCGGTTTTTATTTTTTTGTTAAAAAGTTTTTATTTTTCCCTTTTTAGTGTAGACAGTTACTGTCTTGTAGTAGCGAAGTAAGAATTCTAACGTGTTAGGCTTGTCAAATCAAACAAAATAAGCCCAAACTCAAAGAATGTACTATTAGCCGTTAAAGAGTTCCACCTATCCACCTTCTGGCCTTACCATCAGATCAGGTCAACAATACCGAACCACTGTACTATCAACGGAAATAGAAACATTTGCAGAGTTTTAAGTCAATATGACAATTAAAAGTAGGTTAAATTCATCATTAGCTATTTTTCCACCCTTAGGGGGGGAATTTTTTTTGAAATTTAAATGGGACCAATCTGGAAGTATACACTTTCAAACGACACAAAAATTATCCAAATCGGTTAATAAATGACGGAGTTCTGAGGTAACAAACATAAAAAAAATACAGTTGAATTGAGAACCTCCTCCTTTTTGAAGTTGAAAAATGTATGGCTCCCGTGGGATAGATTTGTTTTTGTTCTCCACTAAGGACGAACCCGAGCGAAGCGAGGTTGACGCTAGTTGAATAATAAAAGTTTTAGTAACTAAAACTTTGCGACCGTAAACGTAGAAATTTAGACTTATATTTATATTTTAGGCACATTGGAAGGCATAGCATGTATAGAAAATATAATGGAGCATATAGCCACTGTCTTACAAAAAGACCCCACTGATGTACGCTTAGCTAACATGAGGACTGACGATAACGACATACCACAACTGATGGAGAATTTAAAGAAGAAAGCCAATTACGATCAACGTTTAAAAGACATAAATACCTTTAACAAAAACAACAGATGGATAAAAAAAGCTATCAAAATCAACGTAATGTTGTTCCCGGTGATTTACTTTGGTAACTACTCGGCCATGGTGTCTATATACCGTGGCGATGGTACCGTCACAGTCACTACTGGGGGAATAGAAATGGGTCAAGGAGTGAACACTAAAGCTGCTCAAGTATGCGCGTACGAATTAGGCATTCCCGTTGAAAAAGTAGCAGTAATACCAAGCTACTCATTCGTGGCAGCCAATAACATATTTTCGGGATCAAGTATAGTTAGCGAGAGTGTGTGCTACTCGATCATCAAAGCCTGCAGGACACTGACAGAGAGATTGAAAGCTACAAAAGAATCACTAACAAACCCAACTTGGTTGGATGTGGTTAAAAAGGCTGCTGAAGACCAAATAGATTTGACTGCGACTTATATGATGAATGATAAGGACCCAGAGTTGCAAGGTTATAGCGCATTCGCGGTCACGATATTAGAGGTTCAGCTGGATTGTTTGACGGGACGCTTCGAGGTGGACCGAGTGGATATACTGGAGGACGTGGGATTGAGTGCCAATCCTAAAATTGATGCTGGACAGGTAATTAAATCATTTAGAAATTATTTTTCTACACATAAATAATGTGTAAATTTGTTTACCTGATCTTTAAATGAATATTTTTTACTGAATTTTTAATACAATTACAGCTAGCAATTACGTACTGCATGCCGATAATTTGAACTTATGTGTATATAATAGAAATATCTAACCCGGAAACCATAAATAATATTATTATTTAACTATAGATCCCATAACACGATATTCTAAATAAAATAACAAATATATATTGTTATAAAATTTTCTTTCTAATTATTATAATATTGTACCATTTTGCCCACCAGGTAGAAGGAGCGTACGTGCAAGGACTAAGCTACTACACGTACGAGAACTTCATCTACAACGAGACGACCGGCGAGCTCCTCAACAACAGCGCTTTAGATTACGATTTGTTCTTAGCTAAGGACATCCCAATTATATTCAATGTTTATTTCAGATATAATTCTAAGAATCCTAAAGGCGTGTTGGGATCTAAAGGTAATTTGTTATAATTACTCGTTTTTTTTCCTCCCAATCTATATTCTCATAATAGTTATGGAAAACATTCGTAATTCGTGAAGACATTGCGTGCGTAAAATGTACAAAAAAAAAATAACTACCCAAGTTCGACTTCAAAAAAGAAGTATGCTCAGTAGAATAAGTAAATTCTCACTATAACTAGGTATACAGATCTGACCTGATCAAATACAGATCACGTCCAGTACACAGATCTAATCTGATAAGTACATTTTCCTTTTTGAATTCTGTCAAAACGATATATGGCCTTCAAAATGATTTTGAACTCCAAAATTCACCAATACTGGTCAAAGACCTAGAAATTTATATTGACATATAACTTATTCTTTATGAAAATCGGTTCACAAAAGGTAAAGATCAAGAACAATCGTACAAGTACTTCCTTTTTGAAATTAGTCAAAAAACAAGCATTTTATATTTTTATTTAAAAACTATTTGTAGTTATATATACATTTCTTTTATTATATTAATAATTAATTAAGATATAAATAATCACAGCTGTGGGTGAGATGGGGATATGTTCCTCAAACGGCATCCTGTACGCGTTACGGCAGTGCATCATGGAGTCGCGCAAGGACTCCGGGTACGATCCGCACGAGTGGATAGACATCGGTAAGATTATAGTTATTCTTCTTCTTCTTCTTCTTGTCCTTATCGGGGTTTATCCCACACTACCACTCGAGACATGTTTCCACACACTTTTTTCACACACATATCCTCTTTCACACGTTCCATCCATATCTTCTTCGACCTACCTCTAGCCCTATGTTTATCTATTGTCACAGTTATTTGCTAATTTATTATATTTTGCAAGGATTACGATGCTTATATTGTAAAGTACAGTCAACATTACATAGACGAGTATATATGTAATTATAATAAGTTTTAAAATTTGCAAAAAAAAAAACTTCTTTTTCAGATATTCCAATGACAACAGAATCCATACTGAAGGCGTTGAACACTAAAACAAGCGAGTTTCTTTTAGAATAGGAAATATTCCAGTGATAACTGATAAGTGATAAAGTGTGTTTTTCTGTTGTAATAAAGTTATCTTACTTTTTTTGTTTTGTTTGTATCTATACGCTATACCTATATGAAAATAAATACTGAGGACATACAAGGAATGAGATTAAACGTTTGATTTATTAAAAAAATGTTTAAAATTTTAACGACTACTACTATTTATCGTATAAAGTATCAAAAAATCTATACCAATATTATAAAATTGAATAAAAATTGAGTTTAACTGGACGCGGTAATCTTTGGAAGTACAAGTCCGAATTGACTTTTTTGGCTACTTTTTTACTCGAGTACATCTCTGGGTGCTTACTTTACGTTGTTGTCTATTTGTGTACTTTTCATTACACATACAGATATTCGCATTATTTTAATTTATTCATGAATTTTCATTTCATTATTTTAATAATAGATCCATTTATTGAACAAGATTATATAACTATATATTTATATTAGGACCCTTAAGGAGCGGAAGTAACTACACATTCATAAACCAGAGTGAGAAACTCGCCAGTTCGTCTGAGGCGTTTGACTTATTTATATCACGTGGTCTCATCAAGAATAATGAAAAATTAGTTCAAATAAATGTCAATAGATGACATCACATGTTTCGATTTGTTATTAGTTGTATTAAATTAACCAAAGATAAAAAAATATAGATCCAAAAAGGCGAATTATTGTTTTAAAAAATATTTTAAATGCAGGGAAACGAAATAATGCACTCGTAAATCTAATTTGCGTAATTTTACTGATTTTTGAAAATCAGCAATCATATTATGGGTTTGTGGTGTATATTCTTGACAGGTGCCGCTTTTACTTTTTACAAATTGTTAAAATCATATATTTTTTTATTGGAATGCAAGATAAATTTTACAATATTTGATATAAATATGTATGCATATATTTATAAAATAAAACAGTTTAACTATTTGCGAATCAACGATATCTGTTATATTTCAAGCAAACAAAAATAGCCTAAAGAATAGCCCGAATTAGCGCTGTCCAATTTCTTTGTATAGAATGAGGCATCTGTACTAGTATGGTATTATGTGATCTGTGTTTATTACGTTCAGTAAAAATTGCAATACCTAATTTAATCCTTAGTTAAATATTTGGATATTTTTGGCAAAATTCCTAGTATACGTTAAAAAAGCATTAAAAATAAAAAATAAAACAGCAGCTTCGATAATACACGTTTATTGTTGTATCATTAAAAAGTCATCCATTCAATCATACAAAAATTCAGGCCATAATTACATTAGGCGTTTTTAGGCCTTAACAAAAAAAAACCATAAACCAATAATTATTGTAATATATCAAATAATAATAAAAAAATCACAAAAAATAAATACCTATCAATAAATTATCCATTCGCTATACAACCTAAGTCCGCTTAAGTGTCTACATAATACAAAAGAACCTATGAACGTACATACATAATAATATATCTATACACAGTAATATCAACAGTTATTATTTTTGTGTTATGCAAAAAGTGCAATCCGAATTACTAGCTTAAACGAGAGGGCGATAAATACACGATTCGAGTTATTTAATCTATACAATAATAACATCTAATTTAAATACTTATCCATTATTTAGAAACTGGACGAATTTTGATGAAACTTTGCATGAAAAAAAAAAGATTCCGACGAATTGAGAACCTCCTCCTTTTTGGAAGTCGGTTAATTAATATAAATTCATCAATTATATGAACAATAACTTAAATCGTGTACAATCAGTCGAAGCGAATTGGTCGAAATTCATAATGCTGTACTATCTATGGACAATGTAACTACGCCTTAGAAAACTACATCTAAATTAGTCGCCGTTACAATATCGACAGTTGCAAGGAACAATATTGCAACTCACTATTACATCACTTTTGAATTTAAATACAAAAAAAAAACTAAAAATTAAATTCTATTTATAATCGACTCAATACAGAGTTGCAATATTTTTCTTCGGATGCCGATTTGTAGCCTAACAATTAGCCCATTCATTTTCTCAGCTAACATGAGGAAAAGACGTTCAATACATTATAATATTGATAAATAAAAATATAAATAATACTTTGTTTTCGTTATTATTAAAATTACATAATAATAGATTAATTATAAAAAAAATAAAAAAAACGTCAATTTTCCTCGCGTTAACACAAAACAATTATAATCACATGTGAAGCTGGTAACTTGACTCCTACTTACAACATGTAATAAATAGATTATTTCAATTAGACACCGAAAATTAAGACAAACACTCGTATACGAGTTAGTCCAGTCAATACCTGAATCAATCTAAATAGAACAAAGCAATTTCTGCGATATTGCCATTCTATAAAGGGGCTTTTTCTAAGCCTAAAGTCAAGTTTAGGAAAAACCGTTTTAGAAAATGACTCTTGCTTGAATTGTTTTATTTTATGTAGATTTTGCAATTTTTTTCTATATTGACTGGAATAAGTAGAGAAAATCGATTATCGTCATCCAGTTTGCATAAATCCAACCTATGAGCTATAGCAGTTGGTTAATTTCTTCTAGAAGTTTCGAGATTTGTTACAGATCTTAGCTAACACACAGTTTTACTATTAACGTTAATTGTTCATTCATAAAATTCCATTCCATTCTTCATAAAATTGAGCGATTTCGCTGAAAACTCAGCAATTGCCTAGATATTAAGGCACCGATCAAACACTAGCTTTTAACGCTAGTTACACAGTCAGTTTTACAGTTACATGTTAGTATCGCAATTTTAATACTTATACAATATTTTAACATTGTTTTTTTTCTTCATTTTTCGTCTCATCTCGATTTATTTGGAAATTATTAATTTAGCAGTCAATTGAAATATTTTTTTTTATCAAACAACAGGTTTTAATAGAAGTTTTGTTTTTTAATCCATTTTAGAAAGTAAACGTAATTCTTCATTTTCCATTACATATTAAGTAAAGGTTAATATAATAAAATAACTTATACCAGTTTCGATAACACAAACAAGAAAAAAAATATAAATAAAACCTACTATTTAAGTCTAAGTCTATTTCATACAATGTCGATTATTCGTGATTATTATTATCTTTGGACACTACTCGTGATAGTACTACTGCGTCTAATTATACCCTGCACATATGTATAGAAAACTTGATGATGTATTGAAATCATTTTTTCACAAAATCGTATTTGAAAAATATGGCTATATGTTGAAAAAAAAATATTCAAATCCATTCTTTCTTTCTATTTCATAATAAATCATTTAAGTAAATATTTTGTATGTAAAAATATATGCCAAATTTCTTTTGTATATATTTTCCAAATACGATCAAATATTAATTTAAAAATAAACAATAAATCGCATAATTTTATACACAATTATTTACAAAAACGAGTTTATAAATTAAAAAAAAAAGACATATTTGTGTGTTATGACAATCTTCAAACGAGCAATCCCAATACACCATCAAAGTATAACTCTAATTGGCATTCGCAAACGTATTCTAAGCATTTAGCTGAAGTGGACGAAGTCATGCAAAATGGATCCAGCCCATGAAAACCGGAAATGGCACCATATCAAATTCAATTGAATTCAATTCAATCAATTAAGTTCAATGTCTTCTAAGAGTGCCGTTTGGGCACCATTTATTTTGCCAATGTCGCGTAGAATGGAGAATACAAGTTATATAGATAGTAGATAAAATATTTAAGAGGAATAAAAAAAAAACTACGGTCTTGTTATTCTGATATACCAAATTTACTAAAACTGCTATTTTCTCAAAAGTAAGTTTTTGTGGTTGGATCCATTTTGCATAACAAAGTCCAAGTGAAACCCATACAAACTATAATAAAAGCCAATCATACAAAAAGGCTAAATCGTTTATATGCTACAAAATATGAGGTATATAGAAAAATTAGCGACCGACATTCGTTTTCATCGCATTTGCCGACTGTCGAAGCATTTTAAACCAAATAATGGTATATATGTTCGAATGTATACACATACACGTCTTTTCCTATTTCCATCGTAACGCGTCTAATAGTTAACTATAATGGACGCTACTATATTTAGTTTTTATGAAAGTCATTTATTTTGTAAATGTATTTGAATATAGTATGTCTGCTTTGTCGAGGATAAAAAGAGAAATATAACCAAAAAATAGAATTGTAAAACGTAAGAATAAAAACCTGTTTATTGTATCACATGATAATAGACTTTAGAAGAAAAGTAAAAAAAAAACGGAAAGTTTAATGTGAATCCACTCTACTGCCTTTTTGTTCCGCAAAGAACAGTTCTCTAAAAGAGTTAATTGTAAATTTAAAATCAGACATACTGTACTCAAATAGCTTACATCCTCGATCACGCCACGCTATTGTCTTGACTTCGTTTCTTATGGTCCGGAGTAGATTTCAAGATGTCTGGTTGTCCGTGGGATAGCAGTCTGTCCATGTGTGGGAATGTTGATGTGTGGGAGCTTAGAGTGAGGGTTGCGTTACGGTCCGACAACGTCATTGTTGTGTGGGAGTGGGCGTGGGGGTGGGAGTGTGGGTGGGAGTGGGGGAGGGTTGAGGGTGAGGAGTGGGGTAGGGTTTTCCTAATGGACCGGTGTGATCCGTTCCGTGTTAGCGAGTTCATTTGGGGAGTGCCCGTCCCACAGTTTCTGAGGAGGGCGTTTTTGTAGTCCGCTATTAGGTGGGTCAGCTCGGCCATCTGGAATTTTAAGGTAAATTATATAAGAACTGTTATAAAAGATTCAATGAAAGATTTTATTATTTCACAGTTGGTATAAAATGTTGATGTAAATACTTTCTCAGATTTACGCGAATATTTGACATTTTCAATAAAACTATCTTTTTGAATTACTTCGTAGATTTATTTTGATACTTTTTGGTATTCAACATTTCAAATGCTTTACAGCAATCATGGTCACTAGGCTACGACTTTTTATGTAATAATGAAATATTTAACAATAATTTTCAATAATTGGAAAGTGGACACCACCAATCAATTTTTATAATCTATCAAAACTCGATTCCCCAAGATTTTGTATGGTAAATGCTATCCTATGTCACTTGAATGCTCACTCAGTTAACTAAACATTTATCGATTTCAAAAATAACTGAAAATGATCATGTTTAAAGGCAAAAAATATTTTGGGAGTATCGGTTAAACTAGTTACAATTACCCAATAAAATACTGTATGTCTGTTTGTTTAACAACTTACCTTTGGCTTATTGAGACTGATCAACATCTTATGAACGGGACTAGACGCATCCTCCGCGTCGATTAACATCATCAAATCATCCTGAAAACAATGCGATGAAATAAGTAATTATTGAAATTATACTTTTTTTGACACATTTTCACCCCCTTAAGGGATATATTTCCGGGATAAAAAGTATCCTATGTCCTTCCCAGGGTCTCAAACTATTTCCTTCCCAAATTTCCTCTAAATCGGTTCAGTAAATCCAGAGATTACCCCCTACAACGTCACAAACCACAATACACAAACTTACAAACTCACTAACCTCTTTATAATACTAGTATAGATGTATGTACGTACCTGTAATCCCCCAAACAGTCCGATAGAATTGAGCGCATAGCGGCCGATGACCGCCATGGAGGCGAGCTCCAACACCGTGACGCCTTCCTCTGACACCGCGAGCCACACCATAGACAAGTCCGGTTGTTTTATCTGTAAAATAAAATTATATAATAATAATAGCCTTTCCTCCCCACCCATTTCGTTTAATTTTCTAAAATTATTTTACTCTTGTTTGTTATAGTATGATTTGAGACACCCTTCCTCAATAAATAGGCTATAAAGCGCAAAAAGAATTATTCCAATCCGATCAGTAGATCCAGAGATTAGCGAGTTTAAACAAAAAATCTAACATAAGCTTTATAACGTATTATTATTATTGATATTTTACTAGTTTTTAACTTTCGTAATTTTACACGAATATTTGACGTTTTAATTCCTACTGTCTTTTAGGATTTTGTCGCGTTTTATCTGTGTAATTAATTACATCCAAATTAATTCACAGATGACACGTTTGGCTGTTTGTGGAGAGCCTACTTGCTGTGCCTCCAGTCATGGGTGTTTATATTTATAATATTTATAATGTATGTATTTAAAGTTATATATGTGTAGTGTATCAACTATCTGGTATCCATAACACAAGCCTCGTAGCTTACCATGGAACTAGATGGTGTTGTATATTAATAACCCAACAAATTTATTTATTATTTATATTTATTATCCAGCCGTTTAAGCATGAAGGAATAGCAAACATACACACATTTATACAAACTGTCGCATATACATATAAAAGTAGAAGATAGTTTTTTATCAATAACTTACCCGCGCTTGGAACAGCGTGGCTCCGAAAAACGGCCACTTTCTAGTACAATTGAGGTAAATCCTAACACAGTCCGCCGTACTGCGGCCTTTCAGCGCCATCCATTTCGATCTTAGTTTTTCTTCAATGTCTCTGTTTAAAAAAATAATTCGTTAGATTATACATATTTATTACTAGTTTTTTTCACGTGGAATCGCTCGCTTTATAGCGTTTATAGCCAAAAAGTAAAGTGTCAATTTTATTGCAAAAAGATTTTTTTTAAATTATATAAATTGTTAAACTGAACGGTAGTTTCAATAGATTAGTGCGTTATTAGAAATCATTTCTAAATGCAGTAAATAAACATACATTTCTTAACACTTACGAACGCCTGGCGCTTTTGACTTTTTTGACGTATAGGTTATTAGTAAATAATAAAAAGTTTCGTGACGGTCGGTATATATTCGTCGGTCGGTCGGTATATTACATTTTTCCGTTTGGCTCTCATTCGCCAAGTGCTAAGCAAGCTCTAAGGCAAAATTGCAAATAGATTGTCTATATAATTCTTTAATTTAAGTGTACCGCCCCATTACTAACTCCGAACTGCTATTGAAAATTTCTTCTGGCTGATTTACGCCATTTATATATATGGCTAGCCATTTATATATAGGTCAGGAGTCCATGATTGTTGGCATGTGGAGTCTTATGTTCGTGTGAAATGAGGCCACTGTCTATTTATTATTTTGTGTTGTATTTTATTAATATAAATATTTTACAAGCGATATTATGTGTATCCAGTTTTATGGCGGCCCAGGAGGGAGAAACCAGAGCAGGGCGGCATAAACTATAAATTCATAGTTAATAAAATATATGGTAAGAGTAGTAATATTGGTAACGCGCTCGCTTGGGAAACCGAGTGAAGCGGGTTAAAATCCCGGGTCTCGTATCTCTGCAATTTCATGTGCGAATCATTTCTAACATGATTACCACTTGCCACACGGTGAAGGAAAACATCGTGAGGAGACCTGCATGTCTGAAAGAACCTAGCGATTTTTCGAAAGACATGTGAAGTCCGCCAACCCGCACTCGGCCAGCGTGGTGGAGTATGGCCTGATCTCCCTCGTATCGAAGGGAGGCCCGTGCCCAGCAGTGGGACGTTAAAAAGGACTGAATACAAATATGTAACATAGAGTAAATGAGGAGCGAAACTGACCTGAGGTCGTCGTTGCCGAGCGCGGCGCGGTAGCGGTAGGGGTAGAAGCGCTGCGCGAGCGGTTGCGCGTGCGCGTGCGGCGCGGACAGCGCGTCGCCCGCGTCTAGCTGCGCCATCAGCGCGCCCAGCTCCGCCGCCAGCTCGCGCGTCACCGGGAACCGCCCGCCCACCACTGCGCGTCACACGACACATACACATAATCAACAAACCTATCTGTTTACATAATAGTTACATTAAATGAGTACAAACTTGAAAGTTTTACCACCATTTTAGTTTCACTATCGACTTAGGAACTTCGTAATCGAGTTAGTATAATATAATATTATTCATGTACATACATACTAGTAAAATATTTCAATACAAATATTCACCCTCATTTTCATCCCTTAAGGGATGATTTCCGGGATAAAATGTATCATATGACCTTCCCGGAGTCTCAAACTATGTTCGTAACAAATTTCATCTAAATCGGTTCAGTAGATCCATCCAGATTACCCCTTACAACGTCACAAACTCACAAACTTTACCTCTTTATTATCTATATATATAAAAGAAAGTCGTGTTAGTTACTTCGCTTATAACTCAAGAACGGCTGAACCGATTTAGCTGAAAATTGGCAGGGAGGTAGTTTAGAGCCAGGAGAAGGACATAGGATACTTTTTATCCCGTTCGACCGCGTTCCAATTTTTATGATATTTTAATTTTTGGATTTCTCTTAGTCCGGAATAGGTAAGTATTAAAACATATAATTAAAATGTGAGAAAGAAAGATTTTTTCTTTTTATATCTATTTAAAACGTACCTAGCGACGAACCCGAGCGAAGCGAGGGTGAGCCGCTAGTATTTACATAAATTCAGTGCATTACTGTCTTACCAAAAAGAAATATAATACAAAAACCATACCTTGGTGATTTATTTGGTAACAGAGAAGGAGTCTCTCCTTATCCGTTTCTGTCCTCACTGAGCTCTTGAAATACAACCTATTGCGGTATGTGAGTCGGATTACTCTGGAATTTTCGAACTTTCCAGAACCCTTTTCCCGTAACGCTGTCTCCCATTTTGATATGACGTCACATAACTGAAATAATAATAATAATAGAAACGATTATATAATATTATTGTATAATTTATATCGAATGTTTGATATGAGATTATATAGCGAATTTTTTGAGCGAAACGCTCATTTTTCTAAAATAAAAAATAGTAATTTTGTTACTCGTTATAACATCAGCTATCTGCCAGTGAAAGTCCCGTCAAAATCGGTCCAGCCGTTTCGGAGATTAGTCAGAATTTGAAATTAATATTTATGTAATAAAGAACTTCGTTCCTACCGGGTGTACCACGACACCGTTTTTTTATAATTTTAATAAGTTTTATAATTACTAACTTTAACTATAAATTTTACTATTTTTAACATTAATTAGTAATCCTTTTAATTACATGACAATCCTATTTATCTACCTTTTTATCAGGCTTAATATGATGTTCTAAGTCCTTCTCTATGGGGTCGTCGCTGAACAGCGCGAAGCCCGACGCCGACGACTCCCGGCAGCCGAGCTCCGTGCTGAGCGTCGACAGGAACTCTTCCACTGTCGTTGAACCGTCGAAACTGATTACCTGGTCACGTTGAATTAAATAAATTATATGTTGGGACTTTAACCCACAGCACCATCTAAGTCCATGGTAAGCTACGAGGCTTGTGTTATGGATACTAGATTATAGTTGATAGATACACAACACATATATAACTTTAAATATATATTATAAATATCCATGACTGCAGTACAAACATTCGTGCTCATCACACAAATGAATGCCCCTAGCGGGACTAGAACCCGCGACCGCTGGCACAGCAAGTACTACTAGTACACTACAAACTGAGCCAAACGTCGTAAAATTATTCATTATTAAAAAGAAATGTAGTGTAATAAAGGTTTACTCAGAAAATAAACATATTATTTTGTCGTATTATTTAAAAACTTACGTGAAGATCACGTACCTAATACATATAAACTGAAAAAAATATATACACTCGAATTTATATTCATACATCTTTTCCTATTTTTGGGTGGGTCAAAAGTCGATTCCAATAGTAATTAAAAGATATAAATAATGAATTTTCACATTTAGGTGAAACACACAAACGTGTTTAGTTAAGGCTTGTTAATAGTAACAAGCATTTTTTACATTAACAATCGAAAATACAACAGTAATTAATATATTAGAGAAAGTTTGAAAGAAGCAGAAAGTGACAGAGAAGTTAAGAAGTAATATCAAGTTACCCAATAATATTAAGTATGAATGTGGATGGATATACTTGTAGAAGAGATAGACCGAGGAAGTTATGAATTGACTGCTTCATAGAGGATATGTGTGAAAGGATTGTGAGATGACGGCTTTTAGAGGGAAATGGAAGAAGAAATTGTACCTAACCCACGTAACGTGGGAGAAGAAAGAGAGGAAGACCACAAGTATAACACTTCTACGGCTTACCTGATAAGTATTATTGAGCATATGCACAGGTATTGCATGTGGTAGGCAGTGGTGGTATGGGTTCTTTAGTAGTATAGATAGCACCTCCATACGGGAAGGCTTGTCCGTCCTACCGCCATTTCGTATCGTCCTTTCCAAAGCGCGCGAACAGTATGCCGCGTATTTACCACACTCTGTTCTGTAATGTAAAATATTTAATAGGTTATAGAGATTAAAGAATATGTAATGTCTAGAAAATAGGTAAAAAATATATATTAACTTACTTGGAATCTGCATGTCTACTCAAATGTAGTTTCAAGTACCACAATAGCCTGTTATTTCTTGGTACAAACAAACTGACAGCCAACGCTAACAATTGCCAGCCTTGCACGAAACTGTACGTAGGTGGGTTACTCTTACAATCCACTGACAAGAGTGGCGCCTGAAAAAATCCCCTAAATGTAAATATTACATAAAAATCTAAGTATAACGTTTCAAATGAATCATATTTTTTTGGCTTTGTTTGGTTCTGGATATTTTGTATTCTTCAAAGTAAAAATTACAATCAGCGGATCAGATCTCCCATGACCATGTTTGTGTTAAAGCATTCGGAAAGTCGGAAACCAAAAATATAAAAAAAAACTAACTAAAAAAATTTATTTAAAAATTCAAATATTCGCACGTGTCTAAAAGAGTATTTTATCAAAATTATATTATTTTCATAATAAGATTAGTATGAAATACTGAAAAAAATGCTTTTCTCATATGATTAAATAAAAATGTACATGAAAATAGTGTTTACTTATTGGCTTCTATCAAACATGGCTACCTTGGAACGAGTGTGATACATTTGATTGTATCTCACTCATCTGGTGGATATAATGAATGTATTTGTTGGTTAGAGCATAACTACATAGAAACGTTTTGTCGCGATCAGATCTAGATATTTTGATGTATTAAAACTACAGCTGTGTTAATTATAAGGTCTGTGATGCACTATTAAACATCTTTTAATATACAATTAAGGTTTTTTTTAATTTACACATTATTGATAAAAAATAAAACTAATTATAAATACTGTAAGTTTAGATAAATAAAAAATTTATAGTTCACTAGAAAACTTAACCCATAAAAAATATGTCATAATTTCCAACTAAATATCCAAACTGATTTTAACCATATAATTAAATCAACACCTATATATCTTTATTAAATAATTTGCTTATAACAAATATAAAATAAAGCTCGCCACAAACGGTAAGACAAGTGCACCGCAGACAGCCGACATTACCTGTATCGAGCTGGGCGATCCGGCAGAGTTCTGCGGGAGGTCGCTCTTGTTGTCGCCGGCGACGGACGACGCGCCCGTGTCGCAAGTGAACAACGACTGCGTCGCGCACAGTAGCAGTTGCTGTACAAATGAAATGTTGGTGTTCGGATCGTCAGTGGGGGGGCTTTATATCTACACTTCTACTGACGTTTCATTGATATCGATCGATTATGACGGATTATTATCCATGTGAGTGAATGAATGTTTGTGTATTTACACAATGTGGGGATTGAATGTTCTAGTATGAATTAATTGATATGTAAGAAACTAGATATAAATTATTATTAAAATAGTGTATGGGTTAAAAACTTATGTTAAACTTATGTTTTAATGTCCACTACAAATACAGGCATGTATGGAATAGTGAAGTTAGTAAGTAGTATGACTTATAGGGATTTTTTCAAGGATTTTTGACAGGCATTAAGTAAGAATATATATATTGTCATTAATACATACTATTAAATATTACCAAAGACCGACATAGATTAGACAAAAATAATTGTAAAATAATAAGCCAAAATTACTATCCCGAATTCGGGAATAGGTTAGATATTATGTAAGTAAATGCTATTCAATTAACCTAAAGCACAGAGATGTAAAAATATTTAATGTAAAAAAACTTTCAAAAATTGCACATATGTTTTATTTTTAGAACTTTAATAGATGAGAATCCTTAAATAAATTAAACTATATTAATTTCAATATTTATAAAGAATAATTATTCCAAAATAGAACTTTAGCATTTAAAGTTAATATTAAAACTACCCAAAAAGATTTTAGTCAAGTAGAGTCCAGAAAATAAATTTAATAATATGTATAAGTGTATATTTTTGTTTTAGTGTGCGTTGTGTGTTTGTGTCTCTAATTTTTTATTTTATTTTAAGAAAACCTCTCCTAAAAGCCCTTAATTGAAAAACCAAGTTGCCTGCACCTTTATGAAAAGCCCCACTAACAGATAATATATTTTATATATCAAAAGTTGATTGAAGAACCCTCACCATGTGTATACATACATTGGAGTGTATAGTACATTATGGTATGACTTAATATTCTAAATCGTAGCACAACTGCATAATATTGAAAAAAAATGTATGTAACAAAAAACATTATGAAATTGTTAAAAAACGAAATGTTTCTAAAAAATAATTATGAAGAAATGTAGATTTCACAATGATACATCAGCAATATCTTGTGAAAAGAAAACTAAATCACATAGCCTTATATGTAATTATTTATAAGCATATTATGACATGTTTAAACAGTTGATCCCCACGTGATTTAATGTACTATGCAGTTGTACACGAAATAAGTCTAATTTCCTTAACTTACCTTCAACATACTACACATAGATATGAAATACGAAAGACTAAACCAACTTGCAACGTCAGCCTTTCATACAAAGGAGATCGTAGTGCGAAGTAGCTATGACAGTATGGATGAAGAAAGAAAAAAAAACATTCCCTATAACTATGGGGAGGGCAGACATTCTTGGATAAAAACTTCAAATAAAAAATAAGGGAAAATTTACACCAACATTCCATTTGATATGCGACTATATGTAAATATTTCGTCATGGCAACATTTATTTACATGAATGTTGCCAGAACTAGATGATCAAGTTGGAATAAAACCTTTTTTAGTATATAGTAATATTGTTTTTGAAGTATATATTTACAAAATATAACCCATTATTATTAAGAAGCCAATAAATATTCACATTCACAATTCCAAATTGATCGACCACGTGACACGAAGCGCAGTTACAGCGGCACACAAAGCTGTACACTTACACATGGTTTGTTAGTGTATATAGATTACGAAATAAAAAGAAATGCGTCTAATTTCGGAAATTGTGCTCTAAACTAAGTGGTTAATTGAATATTTAGAATGGATTGTGCAAATATTGTTCCCAGATACGTGATTAATTTGATATTTTTTATATCGGCTGTTTTTTTTTTAATTTAGTCTCATATAGTAATCTAACATATTAAGTCAAAGTAATTAATGATTAAAATTTCTTATAAAAATGAATCATCATCATTTACTTAGGATTTTTATCTGTCTGTCTGTTACCGCATCACGGAAAAGCCACTGGAGGGATTTTAATGAAATTTGGTATGATGATAGCTGGTTATCCGGGTCAACATACTTTTTACTGCAGGAAAATATCTCATCTCTGAGAAATCTATACTAAACATAAGTAGGGACGAACCCGAGCGAGGGTGAATCGCTAGTTTTAATAATGATTTATTTCATTATAATGTGACAGACAAAACTGTATCCGTCCAGAATGCGCTTTATATGACTGATAAGGCTACTTTATTTAAAGTATAATATTAAAACTTCACTAACCTAAAATTTACAGTTTATATAACGTTTCTAATTATTTTCTAGTATATTGAAATTCTGAACATAATTCAGGTTTTTTTAAAATTGCTCAATCCATTCAATATTATACAAATATTACAATCTAAGTGTTTGTACATTAAGAAGTAACACCAAAACTATTGATAAATAAGGTTGTATGAGCTCATGTCTACATGATACTACCGTGTACAGATATGTGAGGTAAAAATATAAGGTGACATATGAGAAAAGCTTTAATGCGTATCGCTGGAAGCTTATGCTGATGAAGCCTATTTCATATAATATAGTAGCATAATATGGCATTTAGAAGGTATATAATATATATGTATTTTTCGAGTTTTATAACTGCTCTATATTTTCAATATAATGTTAAAACTTTATTATAATTCAAGCGGGATTCGAACCAACGCTATCTGTACATAACTACATATTTCATAATCAGATACAAAAAATACAGTATACACCATCAAATGCTTTACAATATAATGTACACCAACATTACTTCAGAGCGTACTTTAGTTTACAGTTTTAAATACGTCTAATAATCCTGCAATAATTTGCCATATAAGTTCTCATAGTTACGAAGTTTGTGCCTACAAAGTTTTATTAAAAAAAACTAGAGTAAACTATCGAAAGCTTCTAACTTAAGTAGCAAGCGGTAGCTGTAACAGTATATGTACTATGTATTTACTTGCAGAATGGTGTTTGTAAGGTTGTTTCTGCGAATGTTTAAATACGTTTGTTATTTTCTCTATAATTACAATTCATAATTTATTAAACATTAAAATAAAGGGTAAGAACTTCGCTAAATAAGACCCAATACAAAAACCTATATACAAATTCCATTGCCCGCTAAGCTACGATTATATACAAGTTAAATGTGACATATATCCTCAATGCGCGGTTGAACAATTTCGTATATCGAAACATCAGACGGTAAAAAGTCATATATACATCATAATCCGGTATTAATAATGAACAAATATATAAAATCGCATCGACAGAAAGAACAAAATATTATATTCATGCAAAGAATAACATTGTAGCTCGCTATTGAGATTATTTAAAAATATACATTAATTTCTCATATATTTAAAGCCGAAATTGCTATGGACAGAGTTGCAATGTTATTCTTTGGAGGTATCGATATTACGGCATTGCTTTGTATGATAAATTAATAAGAATTTGCCATAATACGTATTGATCGAATAAAATGTTATCATTATATATATTATATCCACGCTATTATATATCAGTTCTATCAATCGATTAAAACGAGAAAGAGGGAGAGAGATAGAGAACTATTTTTATGAAACAGTGTTCGCATTGATATATAATTAAATACAATCGATTTTAATGTACTACTTTTCAGTTCCAATTCAAATATGAAATATTGAAAAATCTCGTCCAGCTTAACTAGTATGTTAGATAGTAATATAATTACACAATATTTATTGAAAAGTTACCAAATAATATAAAGAGTATTGCATTAACTCATTTTACATCGTTCTATACGACCGATTAGAAAAGAACTAAAGAATCCACTCGAACTTAAGTTCGATGTTAACATCGTCAATTCACTATCTATTCACGTCTATTCACGTGTCGTATTAGAAAAAGATAGCACGAGTGGGTATATATGGCGGGTGGGAAAGAGAGCGTAAAAAGAAACTAAGAGCCCGCTCGAACCTAATATCATCTATTCACTTGTCGCGTTAGAAAGAGAAACTTAGGAGCCCGCTCAAACCTAACATGATCTCACGTGTCGCGTTAGAAAGGGACAGCACGAGTGGGTGTATATAGGCGGGGGGTAGAGAGAGCGTAGGCAGTATGCAGCAAGCACTCACAGCGCGCGCGTGTCGCCGCGGTACCTGCACGCCGTGCTTGGAGTGGTGCGGCGCGCTCTGCTTGCACAGCGCGGACACCAGCTCGTCCTGCAGCTCAGCCACCTCCAGGCACTGCTGGAGGGCGTTCTGCGCCAGTACCACGTGGTAGTCTATGCCAGCGTGTTCCACCGCCACTGACATGAACAGTTGTACACACTGGAATATTTAGAAGAATTATGTTAGTTTTCTTAAATATGCATATGGACTCGTGTCTCTATTTTCACGAAAAAGAACCATTGAAATATGTACATTCAGAGAGTATATCGTGTCAAATGTTACGTAAATATATTTTGTGAGTGCGTTGATCTTTTTTTAAACTGATGTAACACAACCTAAAACTCTAGGCTATTGATGAGTATTCGACAGAAAAACATAATAATTTTATTTAGTCTGATCTGATACTCCAATCCAAGACTTTCGAATCTGCAGCTAAATGTTAGCCACTTGACCAACAAGGCAGGTTAAGAACATACAGGGATATATATATACATCAAGCCATATCCTCTTATAGTTCTTAAAACATCAAATATGCCGATTTTTATTCATTATTAAAATCTAAACATTTAATAATTATATTTTACGGAATACGCAGTAAAACTTAATAATATTGTTCATGATTACTTTAAATAGTTTTAATGCTTCAGCTTGCAGTGCTTCAGAGTTGAGGGAAGTCAGCGGGGAGGTTATGTTTTCCTTTGAATACAGTAAGGTTGGATGCCTCCATAGCACGCAATCTGAAAAAGAAAATTATTGATGTTACGTACTTTTGTAGTTATTTTTAAGATTTTTATTTACAACTGGCCACTACCCTCGTTTCGCTCGTGTGCGTCCCTAGGTTGGCGGATTTTGTTTATAATTTCATGGGTTTTAATTTTTTTGCGCGGAACCCTGATTGTTTTTTTTAAATAAAAGTAACCTACGTTACTCATTATCAGCTATCTGCCAGTGAAAGTCCCGTCAAAATCGGTCTAGCCGTTTCGGAGATTAACCGGAACAACGACAGACGAAAAAAATTAAAATTGTTTTTTTTTTCTTATTAGTAGTATCGTTTATGCTTTGATATGCATTCATCAATGTTACAGTATGAAAGTATAACAAACATACAACACGCACATACAACATATTACATTTTTACTAGTACTCCGATTTAGCCATAAAAGCATTTTTAACTTTTTCACAGATCCTGTTTTAGATTGCTGTTGCCCACAACACTTGAGGTCTTCATCGGTCTCAAAGTTATATGTATCGGATCCTGTAATGAAAATAAGTATGTATTGTACACTCACTGGGATCCCCGTCAGTTTCCATGAGTTTCTGCACTAGCTGCTCGAAGTGCGTACCCTGGCTGAGACCGCCGCCGCTCACCACTGTTAGGTGGTACAGCCACGAGTCCTTGTCCGATTTGCTCTCGAACAGGAGGTAGGTCGGGCCCTGGAGAGGGTTAGATATATTATTAAAGTACCAAATCTATCCCACGGGAATCGTACATTTTTCCGGGATAAAAAGAATATGTGCTATTCTATATCTATCCGTGTGCCACATTTCACCCAGATGACAGATCAGCTGTTCTGACGTGATTGAGTAACAAACATACAAATATCCATCTAAACTTTCACATATATAATATTAGTAAGAATTAAGATTAAGAAATGACTTAAAAGTAAAGGAATAACCAGCCACTAACCCCAGTGAGCTGGTGCTGCGGGTATATGGCGACGGTGAGGTTGCGGCTGTCGTCGTTCTTCTCCTCGGAGTCGGAGTCGCTCACGTGCTCCACGTCCTCCACGCGCGCGTCCCGCATGTTGATCTGCCCTGTGGGGTTCTGTTGGAATTAACAAAGTTAACGGTTAGTCTGTACTAATATTATAAAGACGTGAAGTTTGTGAGTTTGTCTCGTTGTAGGAGGTAATCTCTGGATCTACAGAACAAATTTAGATGAAATTTGGTAAGAAGGTAGTTTGAGACGGGAGGGGAAGTACATAGGATACTTTTTATCCCGGAAATTATCCCTTAAGGGGGTGAAGGGGTGAAAATGGGGATGACAGTTTGTATTGAGAATCTATATATATCTATATATATATATATATATATATATATATATATATATATATAAAAGAAAGTTGTGTTAGTTACACCATTTATAACTCAAGAACGGCTGGACCAATTTTGATGATATTTGATTCTTTGGATTTCTCTTAGTCCGGAATAGGATAATAAGTATTAAAACATCAGAAAAATTAACGCAAAAAAATATATTAAATGTATATGGCTAACGCTGGCTAATAACTATTTTTATCTATTTAAAAGGTACCTAGCGACGAACGCGAGCGAAGCGAGTGTGAGATGCTAGTATTATATATGTACATGCATTGGTATAGAAAATTACTTCTCTTATTTGAGAAATAATTGATTCCCCGTACAAACTTCTACCCTCCCTTTACCCCCTTTTAACGGGATAAAAACTATCCTATGTCCTTCCCAGAGTCTCAGACTATCTCCATACCAAATTTCATCTAAATCGGTTCTGCCGATTAAACGTGAAAAGGTAACAGACAAACAGACAGACAGAGTTACTTTCGCAATTATATTGATATGGAGGGTTGAGTGATTGTGTATGTGTGTTTATGTATGTTCCCTATGAACTCCAAAACTGCTGGAGTGATTTTAATGAAATTTTCATGCAATCTTCAGATTAGTCCTGTGAAGTTTGGTAGCGATCAGAAATTTGAACGCGAAATACAGGAAAACGTGAAATTACTGTACTGAATTAGTTATTGGCAACAGGCAACAGTACTGTTTACAATTTTCAGTCGCCAACTTTTGTATTTAATATATCACATTTCTGCAGGCAAATAACTGTCTTAAGTCTTAGCTCCTCGAGTCTAGACCTATGTATACATTCGGGCATCTTAGATGATAGTATAGTTGAGGTGGTTTTGAGTGTTAGAATTATTTACTTAAACCTCTTATAAATATCAAATCCCAAAATTTCCCTAAACCACCGAAACAATAAAAAGTATTCTTACAAATTTTAACATGCACGCGAAAAATTATAAACGTTTGAAGTTTTTATTTAGAAAATCCAAAATATCATGTATAAACCCAACCTGGTCTCCGGGAGTCTTGAAGTACAGGAACATCTTGCCCAAGAGCACGCACCAGCTCTTCTTGGCGTGACCGTTTTTTACTTTCGTGAGCCAGCCTTGTATTGTGGGCTTGTTATCTTCCTTGCTTAGAAGGAGTTTTGTTGCGTTACGCCTTTGCACGTTCTGTAATAAATATATGGTACATATTAAGCACAAAAATACGTGAAAACTGTGATTTATCGCTATGACTAAAATGACAATACAATGAAAGACAATATTAAGTAAGGCAAAAAAAAAATTTGTACTCTGAGCAAATTTCTCCAGCAATATTTTATTTTAATTTGACTTTGAGAAAGATTAAAGATTTATCCTTATTATGTTAAGATTACTTAAACTCTCTATAATATCTTAAAAGACAAACAATAAATTTAAAAAAGTGTGCGTGTACTTATGTACGCTCGTGAGACAAATCTTTGGCGTAACAGAACAAAATTACTTAAAGATTTCATCCCATATGCCACAACTCTCTGTTTATAAAAGGAATAATAAATTAATAAAAATAATTTTTTTTTATCTCCACTGATATAAAACACGTGTTATAGATTTATGAATATTTGAGAAACTACTTTGAATATACGGGAACCGGAGAAACAGTTCACAGTTATCAGCTAACTTTAACATATCGCGCGCATCGTAAAAATTTTACTCTCATAATTTTTTCCAAATGTGCCCAAAGAAGTACAAATTAAAAAAAAAACTGTTTAACCAACATAACAAAGACAATCCCATACCTGCAAAACCCGTATCCAATCCTCCATGGTAGCAATACTGTCAGCTGTCAGGTAGTAAGTTCGACTTCCGGTGAATATCTCGAAGGTAGCGGCGCCCTCGTTGCGGGATATCTTGCACGCCTCGCCCAGCCCTATCTGCCCTTGGGGCTTCCGGTTCACTTCAGATTGGGACTTCCAGTAGGACAGAGTGCCGTTTTTGAGGACGAACCTAATAATTAATGTGTATGGTTGAATCAGATGAGGTAAGCTACTGGTGCATTAATATAAATCATATTTTTTTACATTCACATTGGTACTTATAGTGACAATTTTTCCTTTTAAATATAAGTATATACCTGTGGAGGGTTTGACGACCAAATCGCAAACTATAAACAACCATATTGCATAAATAAGAACCACAAACGAACTAAGCACGTTCTCCTTTTCTAAGTGGATGATTTCGAAACTAGCAGACATTAGACGAAAACGGATTGATAATAATAATTATGATTGTGATTAATTTTATTTTAAAACCGGTAAAAAATAAACTAGGTCTAACTGCTCTCCACTCTTAACTCAACTCCTTTCAGCCCTAGGAATCCGAAAAGATACAAATAATGATAATGATGAGAAAAAGAAAGTAAGACAAGTAATAGCCCACCATCTCTTCCGCCATGTCTTGAGCTTGCCGCCAAGCTTGGCGAGGTGGCCGCTCTTCTCGAGCGCGTCGTGGCGGCGCGGCGAGTCGCGCGCCTCGCACACCGCGTCCGGCGGGATCGCGTAGTCGTCCGACATGCCCGACTCGAACGAAGTGTCTAAGGATATCGTCTTGCTTATATAACACCATCGATCAAAAAAGTACTAGATACACAATCCCATGCAAACGTTCTCTTAAAACTGTCACCGATTGTGTTTAGGTAATTGTTAATTATTCTACTTGAAACATGTCCGACTCGAACGACATATCAGGAGGATGTCATTTTGTTTATATAACAACTAGCGGCTCACCCTCGCTACGCTCGGATAAGTCCGTAGGTATGTTTTAATTTTTTTGGGCGGAACCGTTGTTCTTATTCTAAAATAAAAGTAGCCTATGTTACTCCCTATAACATCAGCTATCTTCCAGTGAAAGTCCCGTCAAAATCAGTCCAGCCGTTTCAGAGATTATCCGGAGCAAACAGACAGACAGATAGATTCAAAGAGAATACAAGAGAAGGATGATTTTTGAAGTTTTTAAAAGTTGAATGTGACGACGTTTGGCTCACTGTTTGTAGTGATCCTACTTGCTGTGCCAGCGGTCGTGGGTTCAAGTCCCGCTAGGGGGCATTCATTTGTGTATGAGCACGAATGTTTCTACTCCAGTCATCATTTATAGATAGTGATGTGTGTTAATGTCCCAATATATTTAAAACAAAAAAAATACACTTACCTCTGGTTTTGCTCTGTTTACTCGGTGACCCACTGCTGGAACGCTTGGCTGGACTTAAACTGGAGCTTGTCTTAACACTCTTCGAAGGACTACTCGCACTAAGACTAGTATCAGACGAACTGCATTGCCCATTAGTGTTGTTCAACACTAGCCCATGTGGTCCAGCAGTTTGTTGTATGGAGACCGGCAGTACACTTGTCATGTTGATATTGTTTATTGGCATTTGGGATGGCTGACCTGAAATTTAAATTGCAAATTTATTTATATTATAATTATTATTAAGCATAACCGCACAAGCTATTATGCTAAGTTATAAGTATATTTGATGCATGAATTCAGCATAGTTTTGAAAATAACTGTAACTTAGTAAGTTGTTTAAAAAAATTGAGTTTAATATAGTTTATATATTTTAATTAGTATATATATTAATTAAAATTATAATGTCTATTTATTCTATTTCAATCATAATAATAGAAAAACTAAATATTAAAAGATTACTGACAGGACACTGAATATTAAAACAAAAATAAAGTAAGACCCTCATTCCTCACCATATATGGGGTTATGGTGTAGTGTGTTGTGAACGGTCACTCCCATAGACTCCTCGCCTTCAGACGAGTCGTCCGAGGAGTCACCGGTGAATGGCATTGATCGGATTTGACTGGCTCGCTGAAACAAAAATATATTGAATTAGCTTGATTCCCCATACAAACTTTCAACCCCAATTTCCCCCCCCCCCCCCTTTAAGGGACGATTTCCGGGATAAAAAGCATCCTATGTCCTTCCCAGTGTCTCAAAATATTTTGTTACCAGATTTCATCTAAATCGGTTCAGTAGATCCAGAGATTACCCCCTACAACGTTACAAAATCACAAACTTTACCTCTTTATAATATTAGTATAGATTATCTCACCCCTTTAACAGTAGCATAGACTGGAACAGATATATCCTGATAGCTGGTGGACTCGTGCATCGCGCGCAAACATGGCGGCGGGCTCAGCTCCTCTTCCACCGACTGTTGAAGACCATCATCAGCAACCTGAAAAGGCATTGGTAATTTTAATATGGCCAATCATTGTTCTTATAAAACATCTTGCCTGATTGTGGTCACGGCGACCAATTTTACTGTGCTCTGTTGAATCTCTTAGATGGCAACATCTAGAGCAAGGTTTCCCAATCTTTTTTCTGTTGAGCCTACCCGGATTATAAAAAATATTTGATCTCTCTCTCGGAAATCTCGGTGGGCGAGTCCGACTCGCACTTGTCCGTAATTTTTTGCTCCTAGCCGCGATGCATTTTATAGTTCTTATACTACTATATATAAACTCTTTCTATAAGCGATGCGACATCAGAGAGATCATTTTCTACGCTAAGGCATGTAACATATTAGAAGAGAGCCTGGTTTAGCTCTACTAAATATTCATCTAGAGATAGCTCCAGACGTCTCAAATATTATCAACCAATTTGATAGAAGACTTCCATTTGTTATATAACGTGTGCAATAAAATTGTATATTGTGCAATAAAGTCTAATTTACTCGACATATGTGTATTATTATTAGTGACCGCGCCTGTAGCACATACCACTAACCTGATAAATTTTGGCCTCCCAACTAGGAAATCTATGGAGAGGAGGTGTTGGGGGTCGAGGTTGTTCTGACGTGGAACTGTCTCCTGTTGAAGAGCCCCCTCGACTGTTGCCTTGCACTATAACATTAACCCCTTGCCATGCTGGCGTTCGTTCTGGAAGAAGAAACAATACATTACTATATTTACTTTGACTATATTGGCTTTTAGAGGCAGTGGTAGCTCAGTGGTAACTAACGCGCTCGCTTGGGTAACCGAGTGAAGCGGGTTCAATCCCGGGTCTCGCAGCTCTAATATTTACATGTGCGAATCATTTTCAACATGATTACCCAAGTGGTCTTGCGGTGAAGGAAAACATCGTGAGGAAACCTAGCAAGTCTTCGAAAGACATGTGAAGTCCGCAAGCCCGCACTAGGCCAGCGTGGTGGACTATGACCTGACCCCCTCTCGTATTGAAGGGAGGACCGTGCCCAGCAGTGGGACGTCAAAAAAAGGGCTGAATACATACATATTGGCTTTTAGGCTTCTTCTTTCCGAACTGGTTGGTAGTAGACACATGATGATCAGTAAAAATTGTAATAATTTAATGCTGAATAAAATATTTTGAATTTGATTAGACTAAATATTAATATTTAATACATAAGGAAAGATTCGTATTTTTTTGTCTTAATTTCATAGGAAAGACTTGAAGTAAAACAAATACAAGTTTGACAAAATTCAGTCCAACCATGCGAAATAAGGATAGACAAACTAATATTTGCTTATGACATTTCAAGCATTTTTTTTGTGTGTTATGTGAGATTAAGTCCCAACCGGATAATTCATAATATAAATAATAAACTATCCATGCTTCATAAAGAACATAGGTTTCATAAATATCTCAAAATTACCACTATTAAAAATAAAATTAGATCTACAAGTTTCTAATACAATCTAGTCAATTGTTGTAGAAAATCTGAAAAACATGCCTTTATAATTGACTGTTCCGGGAACCATACTAACAATGAAAACGAGACACATCTTGGTTGAGTGCGCATAAAATTCTAATGGAGAATATTCCAATAAGAATATCTTACAATGTCATTCAGCTTGCATAACGTTTGCTCATATGTTTAGTACGTCCATCGATCAAAAAAGTAGTAGATACACAATCAGCGACAAAAAATGTCCTCATTGAATAAGCCATTGGAATATTTGAGCGCGCTTTTAATTATTTTTTTGTGAAAACAACTTAAACATTGCATTTAAGATTCGATTTACATTGTTGTATATTTATTTCAACTAGAATAATTACCTAAACACAATTCCTACAAACCTAAGTCCCAGAAAAAATTATATTTAATTTTTAATAATTTTAGTACATACATGGTTAAACAATAATAAATTGTAAAATATAAGGATTAAATAAAATAATAACCTCTACTCGGTGTGTATATTTCGGCATAATCGTGTGTCGTGTCGCCATCGGTCGAGGTATTCGGTGTTGTTGGTAGCACCACTAAATTTTCCACTGCAGTCTAAAAATGTATAAAAGGAAAAAATGATTAAAACTGTATTGTTCATATATTAAACCAATGCTTCCAATTGCTTGGTAATATACTAATTGTCTTGCAAGAGTCTCTATTTTATACGAAAGGATAGAAATCAGACATTTAAGAATGATGTAGCTTTATACTTTCTCAGATTTACGCGAATATTTGACATTTTAATTAAAACGATATTTTCGGATTATTTCGCGGATTTATTTTCATTTTTGTTTCCCGACTTTTCGATGCTTTACAGCAATCATCGCCACGGGAGAGACATCTTAAACTTTTTTTTATTGAAAACATTTTGTTTGAATAGATTGATATAAATTTAAACTGAAACTAATTTAAAAGAAAACAATTTCCATATTATTTTTTTATAAGAAAACTAACATGTAAATTCTAAAGATTTCTTTTTTCCTTATTCCTTTATTTAATTTGAACTCAATAAAATATACTTTATTATTTTGTTACCCCTTAAAAGGGGTAACAAAATAATAAAGTATATTTTATTGAGTATACTTAAGTATAAATACTTGAAGGGGTTAAATTTATCTATTGCCAATATACCAAATAGTGAAAATTTCAGCAATTTATGCCTAAATGATATATCAGCTAACACAAGAATTTATGATGGTAGAGTTGTTAGTAACGAGCATATTTTGGAGATATTTATGCAAAATTTCATTAAAGTTAAAATTTAAATATTTTTGTCAGTCTCAAAAAGAGAAAAAATTACTTATATTATGTTAGTGTTGATAAAAAATACATCAAGTAATCTATAGTATAATGCTAATAAAATCAAAAACATACTGCCAAATCATCTGCAAGTAGAGTAGCCGTTGTCCTTTCATCCATTGTTCGGTTCATAGTATTCAATTGACTATTTGCACTTGACTGCGTTAGATTAGTAGTACCTATTGAAAGATTTCTTCTATGTCTTACTGGAGTACTATAATGAGGTTCCGATGAAACTATAGGGAGCTGTAAAGACAAACAAAGAATGTATTAATATTCATTTATTTAGGTATTAAAATATTCGTTTATATTCTAGCTCCATCTATTATAAATTGTAAATTTTTTGTAGTACCTTTATCCTTGTTAAGTCCTTGTATTTTTTCAGTGTTACCTCCTGTGTATTAGATTTTTAATGTTAAAATTGTATATAAAACTATATTATAAGGATTCAGGGGTCTAGTTAAATTTGTTATTACATTTATTTTTTAATTTAGTTTAATAAATATACTTATTATTTATCAATTTTAAATATGAAAGTATATTGATCTAATGTAAAGTATTATTTTATTACTGGCATTTTTAATATATGGTAAATTGATTAGAATTTATTGAAAATGTGTTAAGCTTATTAGAAATTATAGATTAGGTATCAAGTTTTTTTTAGCAAGTTTATTATTACACTACACATTGAAGGCTGAAACTAAATTCCTTAATAACAATACAGTGCAATGCTGTGATTAAAAATAAACTGCAATAATAATAGCATTCTAAAAGTTGTGCGAAAAGATTAGTAAAGTTATTAATAATGTTTGAAAATTTAAAAATTTGTTTTCATGCATTTAATACAACTTTAAGAAGTCCGTGTTTGGAAATAATACAAAAGGATATCTAAATTGTTAAGTTTCTTATTATTAATATGAAATTATTATTTTATTGTTTTAAATTAAAAATTTTCATTATTTAATTTGATTTCATGCCAAAGTTATTAGTATTATTTGAAAAAATCTATGTCTAAAACCTACCTAAACACTAAGCCACAATTAGCCATATATTCAGTCCATAGAATACATTGAATTATAACAGAAAATCTAAGTGTGAAATAAAGTAACATTTATTTAAAACTGAATAAAGTACTGAAATATAAATAGCGCTAACAACATTGACTCAACTAAAATCTACCTGGGGGCCTTCTAAGCTCTCAGAGCGTCGGCGATTGTTTGCCAATAGGCTTGATGAGGCTCGAGCGTCCTCAGACCTCACTTCAAGGGACAAACTCCCCCGAGAGGGTAGGAACTGCTAATAAAGGTTATGGTTCTAGATACAACTACATATTTAGTAACTTGGTTTTCATTACAATTTATGTAATACTCATACAATATCATTGGAAGGAATTTTAAATTAGGTAATTAAAATGTTTTGGAAACCATTAATTAGTCTCTCAAATATATGTCAAGTATGTATCAAGTGATATGAGATTCTCTATAAGAATATAACAAATATACTCAATTGATACTTACAGCACAATTTCTGCTTCCTTGAGCTGCTATATGATTTCTTAATAATTCAAGCTGCTGGTTACAGCGATCGTTCTGTTCTCTTAACAATTGGTTTTGCTGTTCAAGTTCGCGCAGTTTATTCGTCACCCACTCCTTTATCCGGGCGGCCTTTGCTTCCACTTGTTTCGCGTCTTGGAGTCGCAGCTGCTTCTGAAATAAATCAGCGTTAATGTATCTTTTACTGTTTTATTATCGCGTCTATTGTATTGAAATATAAGTTATATATGCGGAAGTGAAAGAGCAGTAATTTCTTTTATTTAATATTTAATTTATAAGGGTAGATTCAAGTACTTCGTTAGATTTTGAGCTTTTTATTAAGCAGGAAATAAAAAAAATGTTTTTGATTATACCTGCATTTTGTTTGTTATTAAACGATGTTTCTACCAAATATTATCCTTCAATTAATTTAACACTTTCCATTGCTATAGATCATCGTTTGCTGTATTGTATGATAATATTTATTTTAAAAATGTAGGGCTTTCATTCAAAAAATTAAAAAAATCTATATAAAATATAAATTATAAACAAAAACATCGCATCGAAGCATCGAACGTCATAATGACGTTACGCAATGACGTACAAGTTCATGCCGCCATAAAAAACCTGTTACCTGTGACCTCACAGTTTTAAAGATGCATTCAATTTATGTATAAAATATGTACTAAGCACAAATTTCAATTTTCATAATTTAGTTTTATTTCAAAAATTTTAATATTAAAAAAACTATAGTGTGACTACTACGTGATAACTTTTCGAATAACACAAAATTCTTGTTAAAAGATTTTTAAAATTAGTATCTCTATCATTAATGGCCTTCCGAATCTTGTTAACGAAACGATTCCCTAAAGAACACTAAAAGTACAATAGGATAAACGTTACACAACTCTATAATATATATTCTATCTTTGAAAGCTTTTACGTAAAGAATAAAAGTGGTAATTTGTATGGTTTGAGATTTACTTTGTATGAATTAACTTAAACAAGACATTGGGGCTGTTTTTACTCTCTTGTAAAAAACATACATACATATATCGATATATTCTTTTATTATCATAATTTCCATGTTAACGTTCTTTGCGTACCTGTTCTTCAATTTGGCCTTCAAGTCTTGAGATGGCTTTCGGCGCGCCCTCAGCGCCAGCCGGCCACTCGCACAGCCGCTGCTCCATGGCGCGGACCTGAAACAAAAACAAAATAACACTTTTGACTTGCTTTGTTTATATTCACAGGTCTGCGTTAGGTATATATGAACAATATGACAAATTAAAAGGCGGTCAAGATTAATAGCATATATTAGAATCTATGCTTATATTATGACGCTATCATTTTAATATTATATTTAATAGAATAGAATATACTTATATTTACTCGTGAAGGATATCATTACGCATGTCAATATAATATTAGATCAATGAAACCGCAGAAATGTAAAATTATTCCACTTGACATATAACTTAGGTAAGACAAGATACATGTGTATTAGGGTAATGTGGGATTTGATTGCATTCTGAAGCTAACCGCAATATAACTACATAATTTATCGACGTAGACAATGACAACATCTTATAATATGTAAACTAATTAAATGAAAAGTTTAATAAGTTAATAGATAAAAAAATGAACTTATAAAAACGTTAGGACCTCCTTCCTGCAACATTTCGCAAAGAATAGCAGTTATATTCAAAATATGTATATTAAAATCAAAATATATTGTAATGTACCCTACATGATACGATACAAAAAGTATTCCAAAAAGAAATAAGTCCTAAATAGACTTTTCTCTACAATAATATTTATAAAATACAGATACATTTTTAGTTTAAATATACTTACACACGTCCGCGTACATATATATAAAGTTCATTATGACAGCTTCACGTACAAGAGCTGGAAGTTGCTGAATCATCGACACATTTCAGTCTTATAGTTCATAATCCATTTCACACTTATTGTTCAATTATTAGTCTTTATTTACACTTTTAACGGTATTAAAAGTACCTATGTAATAAGAAATGTATTAAAACGTAGAGATTCTTGGAGCCATTATTATGTTAAAACATCACTAGACAATTAGTAGATAGCGGATAAGCAATTCATGAAAAAAAACATAATAAGATGAAGAACAATGAAAACAGCATTGAAGGAATACCCAGGAATAGATCGCATTAATCACAAACGCCGTAATTTGCCTGACTCACGACACGAGGGGACGCCACGAATATCCAGAACTTTCTATATCGGGTAACACTTAGACGGGGAACGTGGAAAAATAAATGATAGACATGTTGAGGAGGAAACTTTCCAAGTGGACAATAAAATACGCATGAATCAAATTAAATTTTATTAGGGTGGCCTGAAATTAATACTTGAATTGTTTATTACTTAACTGTTGATTAAATGTATGGTGCGAGTATACTATAGAGTTTAAAAAACAACAATAGATGTATGGTATGTCACTTACATACTGTGTATATTTTCAGCGAAGACGAAGAAAAAATAAATTATTATTACCGTCATTAAGCCTTATGCATATTCACATACATTAGTGCAGTAAAATTTAATATCGAGAAAGCCATTAACTTTCATTAATTAATTTTAATATGCGGTCAAGAGTAAAATAGTGTGTAGGAAGCATAAGTTCGTTCATTACCAAGTTCTGTCTAATTAAACCGTTGGCAGCAATGAATTGTTCAGTTAGAAGCTTCCTTATTTATTTTGTAGTCGGCAGCAGTTAAAAGTAATAAAGCGTAAGGGAGTTACAAAGCTTACATGTTTATCATATTTACGTTGGTAAACTAATCTATAATCACTTCGTTTCATTCATCATTTACATGATGTTAATAATTAAAATTAACAATCTATTCATTACATTATATATATTTTATTATTCAAAAGTTTCAACACAGGCTTAACAAAATTTATTGCAAATGAACGCATCGTTAAGTCTAACCGGATGTCGCGCATGTCGTTTTGCTTTACTGTTTATTTTTTAAATACATCACAATAATTTCATAGCTCCATAATAATACTTTAACCTATATGTAAAAGTGTTACTTCTAGTACAATTTTTCGGTTTGGGTTTATTTGATTGAGAATTTTGTACGAGCCAAGAAAATTTTGGGTAATTTCATATATAAACACTAAGTGCTTTAAACATTTATAAACTATAATAATTTATTGCTAATATACCTATATATAGCTAATATACAGACCAGATTAAAACACAACAAACGGAGGTACTTTTAATAGCGATATTTAAATTGTGTCACTTGTCTCGTGTGGTGTATCGAGTACTAAAGTATTTATTATGAATTGTTTAACGTTTCTCTTTTGAGTTCAATATCGAAATTTAAATTAGAATAGAAGCCAAATCAACAGAAAGTAAGCTCACGAATTTACGATTCGTATATGAATTTCCCGAATAATGAAACATGGTTTTTCGTAGAAAAGTTCTTCGAATTTATGAAATATGAAAACCAGAAAATGATTGATGATGATTGATGTTCTCCTGGCCGATTCCGGCCACGGCGGCCAATCTCATTGAGGCTAGCCAACTGCGCAGGAGATATTATAGTGCACAAGTGTACGCGCAGACACAAGTGCACTCTCTATTCCTGTCACTCTCATGCTCCGGTGGGACGACTGCTCGACACGACCAGTGAGAGTTAAGGCGCAGGACCGACGGCTTTACGTGCTCTCCGAGGCACGGGGGTGAAACACCGCCAACTTCCCAACTCCGGGCTGTTACTGAGACTTACTATACAGAAAGACTCAATAACTAAACTTGGCCCGACCCGGGACTCGAACCCAGGACCAGAACAGAACCATGCAAGCCACTACACCACCGAGGCAGTAGAAAACCAGAAAATATGAACTATGAGTAAGCATTATGACAAACTAGGTTTTGTAACAAGTATATAAGTTTTTTTTTAATTTACCACATATCTATATAAAAAGAAATAATGGCTGAAATTGGCTGTAAAAGTTAGCTAATATATAAAATGGTTTCTATTGGCAGTAATTCTAAGAACAGTTTGAAACTTGAAAGGAGAGCAAAAAGAACAAGTGCAAAGCAATTTCATGCCCGCCTGTGATGTTCGAATAGAGTGCTACTGTTACATAAGTTTCGCAACAAATAACGTTCTAAACACAACCTAACTGACCCTAGAATACGTGACATCGACATACTAAATTCGGTCAAGTAGATCCACAGACACAATTGACCGTTCGAGCATTAGTAGCTACTATTTGATGGTTTTAAAAAAGAATTTACAAACTACTAGCGACTAACCTTCGCTCCGCTCGGGTTCGTCCCTAGTTATCTTTTAACATTTAGTATAGATTTCTCAGAGATGAGTTATTTTCCCGCAATAAAAAGTATCCTATATGTTGACCTAGATAATCAGATATAATCATACCAAATTTCATCGAAATCTGTCCAGTGGTTTAATCGTGATGCGATCACAGATAGAAAAACAGACAAAAAATATAAAAACTATAGATTCCCTTATTTCAATAAGATCTTCCAAAAAATATTTAATGTACAGATTCGACTCGAGTTAGAATTTAATTATATTTACAGATATTATTCTTTCTATTAGTCATAACTCATAATTTTTTTTGGTATTTCTTGTATTAAGCAATAAAAAAGCTGACTGAAGCTTCACTCTACATTCGTACACCTTTTCCTTGCATTACCTTCTTGGGATTTTCTCTACCGATTGTACTAAGACTTAGTTAGTTTTTCAATTAGACTATTTATTAGTTATAATAAAAAATCTAAACACTTTTGTAGCGTAAAAATAAAAAAAAATTGAACAATTTGATTTGAGATATGTTTCGTTTTTTTTTTTAATAGTAATGTAATCAAGCTGATCTCCAAGTTTCTAAAACAGCATTTTAGACGCAAGACAAGATTAACTTATTGTCAGTAAATAAAGAAGACAGTTAAACCCTTTTCTTTAGAAAACCACTCAAATTGTACCTTTCATAAACAGATTACAATGTTTATACTCCTTTCGACAGTGTGCATCTGTGAGACACTCCAGGCGACAGATGGTAAAAATAGATCAAAGATAACCGCAAATAATCATGCAAGTTAAATTGCATTTATAATTAGTATCTAGTAGGTATTTAAGAAAATCCCCTTTAGAAAACGGACACCGAACTTATTTGTATGTATTTCTGTGTTAATGTGGTGTTTTGAAGTATAATTTTAACTAATGTGGTTACTTGTTTGTTGGAAAGTTAATTGTCAGATACTACTATGTTTATCCATGCCGTTAAATTAATTTCCAGGTTTTATTATTTATATTTCTTTATATCTTGCTTACTAAAGATTTTTTTGTTTGTTTGTACCGAATAAACTCTGAAACTACTAAACCGATTTAGATGTGGTTTTTTTCTCGGAAACTACCCCTAAAAGGCTTAAGGGAATGAAAATGGGGATGAAAGTTTATATAAAGAAGCAATCTAGGGACAAAACTGAGCAAAGCGAGGGTGAGTCGGTGTTTGTTTAAAAAATCAAGTGTTAGGTCGCTTAATATTTTTGTTAAAACTTCTACCATGATGTTCACGGTAACATTTATGTTTCCTTAAGTACATAGTAGTTTACGTGTACTTATTATTTTAAAATTATAACTAGCTTCCTTTTACGTGTGCAAAATTAGATGAGTTAACTAAAGATATGTATGTATAAGCTATCTGCATTCCGAAGACTTATTTAAACCCATGAGGCATTACAGCGCGAAGAAACGACACATTCATAAAATGTAGATTTTATAATATTAATAGTTTACAAGCGACTCACTCTCGCTCCGCTCGGGTTCGTCCCCAGTTACGTTTAGTATAGATTTCTCAGAGATGACATATTTTCCCGTAGTTAAAAGTATCCTATATGTTGACCCGGACAACCAGCTATCATCATACCAAATTTGATCAAAATATGTCCAGTAGTTTTCTCGTGACGCGATCACAGATAGACAAACAAAATTTCTAAAAACTTTAGGTTCGTCCTCTGTATGTATAATAATGAGTACTTCAATAAAAATTTCCAAAACATTATTTAATGTACAGATTTGACTCGGTTAGAATTTTATTATATGTACAGATCATATTTTTGAAATTATAAACTGAGACATTTTTATTTAAAACCAATTTCAAAGTTTAGTTTTTATTTTGAAATAATAAAACTTTTAATTAGTAGTTATAACTGTAAAAGCCAACAAAGATACTTAACTCTACAAACAAGTCACACATTGTTTGTTCTTTCCTCAGCGATCAATCTGAGTAACAGTGGCACGCTCCATTTGGCGTCAAAAATAGATCAAAGTTTAACACGAATCGCAATTACACTCCAAAAAACTTATACAAATTACTTTAGGAATTTAGATAGTTAAACACGTAACTTGTACCTTCTAGGGCACTTCTTGGTCACTATTTGCATATTTTATATCCAATGCTTTCACATTTAGTAGACACACATAAAGCACGCTCTGGGTCAAATTTATTTCTGTAAAAATTACATCGATTCGTTGTTTCCGCGTTAAAGGCGAAAAAATCCACAAAACATTTTTACATACAAAAAATTAGTAAGGTAGAGCGCGCATCCCTCTATGAAGACAGAGTAGGAAATAAAAAAATGATTTCAATTTTTGTATTTTATGAAATAATTTTGTAATTTTGTGGGTATATACTTTACACCTTTGAGACGTCGAAATCTTAGTTTCTCCTGTGACCATGATTGCTATAAAGCATTCGAAACGCGGGGAACCACAAATCAAAATAAATCCGCAAACATCCGCTTTATAAACCAGCCAGCATCAGCAAATTTATTTATGTATGATGATGATGTGTTCTCCTAGCCGATTCCGGCTACGGCGGCCCATCTCATTGAGATTAGCAAAC